TTTTATTCTTCATTTTCCAAAAGAACATAAAAAATAATGTCCAAATGTCGAAAAACAATTGAATTTGTTAAGTATTGGAGACCAATCATGTCGAATTTCGGTCTCATCACGAGAGGGGGCTGGGGGAGGGGGAGGGGGTTTGGAGGGTGCCCCTTGATCCGCCACAGATAATTAGTGATGGCAGATGTAAGCTTACTGTATTGGTCAACCTATACTTTATAGACAGAGTCGAGAGGTCATCCTTTCACACATATTTCAGAATCTCAGTATTCTCTTTAAAGCCCGTCTGCACTAGTTTGGCCAGGAGTGATTAGTCCTCCCTGCAATGTCACTGACAGGTGGTTATCTCATCAAATCAGCTCTCAATTAACATAAGAAAAAAGGGATCATGGGGGACCAACATGCACCGATTAGGCATTGTTTGCTATAAAGAGGGCGCAAGTAGCTATAAGTAATACAGTGGGGCTTTAAATTATTGCAGTTCACCTCTGAATGACTGGAGTTTTTTAGTGACGATATGACCCGGAAATGATTACTCATGTCTGTGTTATCTTTATCTTGGATATAAGCCCGGTATAGGGTGCAGTCGTTTGGTCTTGGGCGATATAATATACCCTTCAGCTAAAAATCAACTTTACAGGTTCATTGAAAATGTTATGCCCAAAGAGGCCTCCCTACCCCATGGCATTCAACAAACTACTCCCATCTCATAACAACTTAGCATATCATGCTCATTCTACTATAATTTACAGAATTCGTTAGTGTTCAAATTTTACATAGCTTTTATTAACTTTCAACGTCAGGTTAAACATAAAAGACTGGAAAGCTTTTATTAGAGGAAAACAGATCATTTGAAAAAGTAAAATTTCTTACAGATAAGAGTAAAGTGAAGTAGAAGGGTAAAACTGACAAATAGGTTGATCTTTATGAGTAAATACGAGAAGTATACGAATAGGATCGAGACTTATGTACCTAGCTTGGACAGCTTTTGGAAGCAAGCACTATAGTAGGATGTCTTTCAAAATTGTTATTGCAATCTGAAAATACTGTATGATGTGTATACTGCTTCCGAAAGGTATAATCATATACATGTAATTGTCGAGCCTAGCAACGATAAATTATTGCAGGAGAGAGAATGGTTTTTTTTTAAAGTTCTCTTCTAAATGAGTATAGAACCAGAAACGTTTTAATGGAGGCTAATGAAGAATCCTACCGATTACATCTCTAAATTTACAAAATAGGTGCTATACTAACAGGAGTTGAAGTCAAAATTGAAATAAATTCAAGTATAGTAGTATTGGCAGTTTGGCACCCTTACGTCGCTAGAGGAAATTCATTGATCCCGACCATTTTAATCGACCCCCTATACACGCTCCAGAAAAAAACCTTTTACAAATTGTACACTTAAAGATAAAATTGATTTCCGGTAAAAGTATGCGATTAAATTGTGAAATAAATTGTCTGGAAGCAAGTGGAATCGTTGGGATAAAGACCAGGGGGGCGTTTCACAAGTCTTTTGTTTTCAATGACAAATCACAAAAATCAGTGACAAATCTGCTGATATCCAATCAGAAGCAAGAATTTCAGTAACTTATAACACAACTTGTCATTTGTCACTGATGACAAGTTTGTGAAACGCCCCCTGGGTACCCATTTACAGCTGGACGGAGAATTGCAAATGTAGATAAACGTCTTGCCATAGGACGTTAGTGCCGGGCTTTAATTTAAACCCTGTACCTTGTAATCTACAGACCAGTCCGGTGACTCATCCTCTAGACCGCAACACCTCGGCAGTCATTCCTTCCTATATTCCGAATATGAGAAAATTTGAAGTGTTTTAGTTTTTTCAGGGGACATTTCTTTCAGAACGTGAAAGCATACACATTTATGTATCACCTTATCCAGAAATCAACCTTCTCTTTAAACCTATCTGGCTGACTGCCGAGGTATATGATTGAAATAAGTCTATACCCAATCGGTAAATCATAATAAATAGGACATTTTTATTGACCTGTCTCGGATTTGACCCAGATAGTTTGGTTTAGTTTTGAGAACTACAAAATTAAAAGAATCGGTTTACAGGAATGGAAAATTTTACAAGTCAGAAAATTCGATGGGTCTGTGGGGGGGGGGGGGGTAATTAGCAGTTTAATGTCACATTGAATAGGAAGTAGCTATTTGTGATGGGGCGCATATGAAATATTGAAATGTCTTATTTTTCATTTATTTGTTATTTCCAAAAAAATATTGTTGCGTCATATCCTAAAAGAATGATTACAAAATACCCCCTGCGATCTCAAATCCGGGACGTCAATTTATTTGGCAAAACCCAGGTCATTGTGTAGTCTTTATTGGCGTATCCAGCATAGGACGAAGCTTGGGGTACGCCCCTCCCCCTCCCTCCCTGGAAAATACTACAGCACCACGTGGTCTTCCAGATATATCCCGTTACCCCCCCCCCCCCTATTCTCTCTCTTTCTCTCTCTCTCTTCTCTTCTCTTCTTGTTTCTTCCCTTCTCTTCTTTCTTTCTCCTTCCTCCTTCCCTCACATAATATTTCTTCTCTTCCCCTCCCCACTCCCTCTATCTCACACACACCTTCTTCTTTTTTCCTTTCCAGAAATTCCTCCACAATACAATGAAATGAAACAGGTATTTTGAAGAAATATCTTTAAAAAACACAATTCAGAAAAAGTTCGACCTTTCAGTTCCCGCCATTTGGGGAAAAATATTTAAGCATTCCTCGAATGGACAAATCATTCATCATTGTCGCCTGCTATCAGCATACTGACGAAGTGAATAGAGTCAGTTAGACTTATACCCGATGCACACTTTGAAACCAATTCAAATCCAATGGATAACCTACAAAATAGGTGATCCGACATTTTGTATCCAGCGACAGCTAATGATCCTGGCTTTCTTTTGTCGTAGTTAAAGGGTTCGGGGTAGTGTTGTATTCATGTTAGGTTTAGTTTTAGGGTTAGGATTAGGTATAATGTTTGAACCAAGATTGTAGTGAAGCCATTGCCTAAGGGAACCGGGATGTCCCTGTATTAAGCCTATGAGAACTAGATGCTCTGAGGATGGTTCATATAACCCGAAACGCTAGACCCTTTTTTTTTGGGGGGGGGGGGAGGAGATATTACTTTCGTTTTTTAATCTATTGTCGGTTTCGTCAGTGTGACTGAGGTATCAACCGGCAACATGTTGGCTAGTTGAGGTAATGAAACCTTTTTCAGTCCCATGTTGGTCAAGTGACGTTCTGTTCCTTATGCCTGGGATCCGACGGAACAGTGACCATTTTGAGGTATATAGTAGAGTCATTTCTTTTTCAGTGTCTTGTCTTGTGTTAAAATTGACACGCATTTCATTGCATGGGATGTCGGCGAACTTGTTCTTATGACAGTTTCGTGAAACTTGCCCCGGTAACGATTTCGTTTGTGTGACTGGGGACTCAGAGACGAGACTCGTTGATAAGTTCAACCTCAAGGTTCATCAACAATTGCGTGACGAGTCCAAAGAATATTCAAGGAGCCATCTACAGGGTTTCTTTTTAAGGACCAATTTCCTGCAGCCGTTTATAATAGCAGAATTGTGGTCCCCTTACGATGGGTTTAAATTAAGCATTCTAAAACTTCATGAAATCCTTCTTTTTTCGCCAAAAAGAGAACCCCGAGTATTCACGTAGGGATTACGGCTTTAGAAAGCGGTAATAAGTTACAACTTATACCAACGGTAGTATAAATATCAAACGTTTATTTCTGGCTCGCTACTCTATCGAGATCAACAAAGTTGTTTCCCTATATATAGATGATATCCATGTTCACCTGATATTGTATAATTTATTATATTGTAATTGATAGAAGAATTAAATATCAAGTCTTTGAACATCTTTTCTGTAACCGTGTATTACTTAGCTCTGTTAGTAAACACAATACTTTTAAAAACAATCTTATTCGCCATTCTTTTTGGAATGATAAATGCTTCATTGGTTTGGTCTTATCATTATACTGAAAATAGCAACGTTTATGCCCAGTAAATTAGAAGGACAGGTGGTAGGGGAAAAACCACCAAAATACAGAAAATTAGTTAAGTCGAGAGTATTAGGGATGTTAGGAATAATTAATGGAACCCCCGGACGAATGAAGATCCATTTCACGATTAACGATCAACTAAACTGTATTTAGTTCTATTGTGCCTTCGTCGTCTATCATAATAATTAGATACCAATAAAGCAACTATAGGTACTAATACACCTTAGATAACACTTTCTGTAGAATCACCTTAAAACACAAAGTTACACTTCAATATCACTTGCTTTTTATTAATCAAAGTAGAAATTTACAAACTATCGAAATTTACAAATTATTATCATCATAATCATATCAGCCCCTATTAACATACAAAATACACGACCGTCGAAGATGAAAAAGAAAACGCAGGGAAATGTGATGCAAGATTAAACGCTCCACTACGCAAATGGCGTAGCCGTGGGGCAAAATTGGGCACGTGTCCCCTCCCATCAAATTTAATGGAACACAAAAGGAAAAAGAATTAAAATATGCAGAGAGAAAGGAAGGAAAAGAGAAAGGGTGTTTGTAAAAGATATACGACCCCTCTCCCGCACTACCCTTATTTGGTCGCTTTGCTCCCTCACAATGTATCCACTGGTAAGACTTTTAATGTCCACCCCACCCCTCCCCCACCCCCACCCCAACATGACGGCTCGTTGCCCCTCAATGACTGGATCCATTGAATGCCAATGGCTTTCATTTTAGCACATAGTTAATTCCCAAGCTTAACACAATTCTTCTGAACTGACGTGACTTTGAGCTAATGACGTCAACGATTATAAGAGAGTGTCAAATTAACATCTGGTTAAAATTTGAGAACTTAAAGATCTACATAATACATGTTGGTTTCGCTTTTGAAGTTATCTTGCACGAGTCCTACATTTTTATCTCAAGCAAAAAGCCATACAATTATGCTGTTGTTATATTGCTATACCTCATATACATCGTTCATTTTGTCATTCTTTTTCTAGAATAATAAGCTAATTTCTAAGTAAATCATTTCTACTGACCATAACAATATCATATTTTCAAGCAATCAAATTCAGTGTTGGGCCTATAGAAGAGATGGATTATACATACATTTGGGACCACTTGCCATTTTTTCAAATAAATATATTCAAATACAGGTCTGTACATGTGCATTTCCAATGCAATTCATTCTTGCTACTTTGTTCTGTACTTATTACAATAAATATACAATCACCTCAAAGTTTTAAAAAAATATTATTTTATCACTGTCTTCGTCATCTTCACTTCAATTAATGAAAATATGGATGAGAACGAAATTCGAAGTTAAAAGTTCAGCGAAGAATTCACACGTGGGATATCATATCCATATTCCTGCAAGATTATCATGTCAGCCGAATCAGTCTGGAAGTGCAGATAATTATAGTTGTTATTTATTTCACTTCTTTATTCAGGGTAGTCTTATCTGTTCAGTATACACAAATAAAAACCTGGTCTTCCGCAGAGCCATTGAAGAGTTATGAACAACCACTATCTACACCATAATCATATAAATGCATATATTCGCAAAATAGAATATCAATCTTCAGAAGATTTATGGAAAGATGACAGAGTTGCTTTTTTTTAATAAGGTTTTAAAGAAACGTGTTAATCACGCGATAATTTCGATGTAAACACCATCAGGACTTTGCGGCGATAGCACTTTTTCTTCTAGCTTAGGTGCTTCTTTGGTCTTAGGTTTTTGCTGCTCTTGACCTCCAATTTTATTTCTTGGAGGTGGGTCGGGCTCGACATAGTCTTCGAGAGGCAATTCCAGCTCTGGCAGGATGTCTGGTAACGCGTAGTCATGGAAACCGTCTTGGTGTTGCGGCCTAGGAACCACCCGCGTTGGTATTATTATAGGTTCTGCGTAGATGGTCATTGGTGGGGCATTGAGTCCCTGGTATTCGCTTGATCTTAACACATTTGAATCCAACTCAGCATACTGGCAACCCTCTTTCTTATTCTTATTCGAATTAGCATCCTTCTTTGAGCACGGCGCCGCCACCGTCGTCGCTGTCGTTTTTGTTGTGCCGACGGAATCAGAGCTCGACAGAGACCTTTCCGAATCTTGTGTCGTCATCAGTGACAAGCCAGATGCGACAGGTTTGATGTTTGATTTGGGTCTCGGTTGGTCTTTCTTGGGCTTCTTTCGCCTGAGGACGACGAAGTTGATGACCACAGCTGATATAACAATGAACAGTCCACCACATGCGCCTAGGATAACAAACATGGCGGTTTTATCTGTAGATTGCGTTCCATCAGCGCCCACCGACATCCCAGGACTGGAAACATCGTGCTCCCCTCTTCGGCCCATCGAAGAAGATTCGTGTCTTGTCGGTGAATCTGTAACTAATCTTGGCGGTGGCAAGGTTCCAAGAACTTCCCCAGTCATGATGCTAACCATTATATTAGCTCTACCGGTATAGGGCTCTGGAAGGATCGAAACCACGCATTTGATGTTGGCGCCACTATCCGCCGTCGTTATATTTTTGATAGTCAAAGCCCTGTTGTAATCACCGATGTTGAACCTCCTTGATGATGCCGAGGTGATGCGTTCACCTCGGAAGAACCACATGAACCTGTCTTCGTTCGGCTTATCCTGTCTGTTGCAGAGAAAGGTCACTGTTTCACCCACCTCGGCTTTCTGATTGTAAGGCCGGATGATGACCATTGGGTCGGCGAGTGTTAACGACGTCGTACACCTGCGTGCCTGGGTGATGCCAGGGCCTTCGGCGCGACACTCGTACACAGCGTCTATATCGGACAGGTCTAGCACCCTCTCGAGATCATTGACCTCCTGGTACACCTGTCGATCAGAGAGCAACACCCCGTTCTTGTACCAAGTGAGATCCGCACGAGGTACACCTCCGTGTGAAAGGCACATCATGTGAACAGTGTCCCCCACTGCTGGGTTGGTGTTGCTCGGCTGCACGGAACACACAGGAAAGCCATCAGAAGGTGGCACGAGCACCTCCAAATAAGCCCCCTGTGTCTCGAAGGCACTACCAACGCTGTATCCGCAAAGGTACTGTCCCACATCACCACGTTGTACCTGGGTGATCTTCAGGTTGTAATCACCTCTCTTGGCATTTGCTTCGATGATGTACTGCCCATCGGTGGGCGTGGCACCGGCTAGCACCCGTTCGTTACTGCTGATGACGGTTCCTGAAGAAACTTGGATCCACATCATCTCCCCTCCTCTCAGGTCTCGTATTCTGCACTCGAAGAGGGCTTCCTGGTCTTGCCTAATGGTGACATTAGTTGGTCGTCTCTCTATCGTAGGCATGGACCTCACCTCAATAGCGCAACCAAGGAGGAGGATGCAAGTTAGCTGGTATATGGAAGTCATCCTTTTGCCTATGAAACAAGCAGAAAATGAAAACGAGATGATTACAATTATTATAGACCGATATTTATATAATTCAGAAGGGATGATAGTGGGTTTATCTTGAAATGAGGCGATTTCTTCCCCCTTTTCTTACTTGCTCATCAAACATTATTTTCATAACGTCTTGTTAAATATTATAACTACGTTGCAGGAGATAAAACAGGAAACGCAATGGCTCATTGGTAGATCAGTGGTGTCGTAACCGGAAGGTCCCGGGTTCGTAACCAAGTCGATGCGCGAGTGCCCTTTGGTACGCCATTCATCCTCATCATCAAGTCCCTGATAACTAACCTCCAAGCATAAAATGCTTGTTTAGCAGTCAGATTTTTTTAAAACATAAAACTAAAACAAATATTGAAGTTTTGCTGTTTGTTATTGGCTAATCAAACAGATAGATTGCTAAACATCACATTTTGCCTAAACCTCAAATTACAGATTTTACTCTGGAGCAAACCAAGGCAATTAAGCTAGATGTTTGCTTTACTTCCTTACATGTACATTACTAAAATGGTTGGGTCATCGCTTATCATATCCGAGTGTCATCGTAAAAAAAGCCATTTTACCCAGATACGTTGTCCAAGCAACGGTCATATCGGTCTTTCCCTAATCAACGGTCTACAGCTAGCACGTGCATGTTGTGCATATTGAGGACGAGGCTGATAATAGATTAAGTTCGGTGCTGTTAAAATTTTTGAAAATACTCATGGTTTAGATAGCAGACTCCCGAAAAGCTTTATTATCCCTTTTTCTATCTTCCATTTTTCAAATCTGATCTAAAAGTCATTAATTTATATAGTTATGAAAAGTTAATCATAAATATTTTTGTTTTTGTATATTCATTTAATCCGAATGAAGTAAGATGAGACTGTAATCAATTTTTAAGACATGCTGCAATATATCTCTTAATTCGATAGAAGGCTTAAGAGGGAAGGGTAGCTAATGTATAGGTGCATCACGATGGTGACACCCCCCCCCCCCCTCCGACAATCTCCTAGGGGCATGCACAGTCATCCCAAATTCCCAACGCTAGGAGGAAATAAAATCCCATGATGACACAAAATTAAAACAGTCATTTCTCCCCACCAAAGATGTGAGAGAGGCCGGGGTAGTGTACGAAAATCGTGAACGGGGAAGCTAGGGACGTAGTCGGAATTTCGTTCATATTAAAAGGGCAGGCTGCAATTGTTTAAAGAAAAACAAATCGCGAAGTCGCCTCCCAACGCCCCTTCATGGCTAGGGGACATAGATAACAGAATGTTAACACCACAGTTTTGTAGTTCTTGTGTGTGGTATTGTCCAGAAACAAGTGATTCAATCCCGACTCTAGCATTACACCCACCAACAGGAAGAGCTTCATCCTAATCTGTCATCTTCGAATACCACAATTTCTCGTCACCCATCATCGCTTCTACGACATAACAAAATATGCTGATAAGGATTTGAGTGATAGCCAAAAAATTCGTTTTGTCTTCCGAGTAAATGTCATCTTCTTCTGACTGAAACAAAAGCAAATCGCTCGTAACCAGATTTCCTTGACCCATAACTGATCGTAACTTCCAAGAAATTAATAATTGTTGTAATTGTCAGAAAATCATCCTTGTTTTCATGTTTGTATCTTTTGGTGAAAGATGTCCGCCCGTCGATTGACTTAGTATATTGCGGTAAATCAAACATCGAAATATTTTGGTGAAAAACACCAACCCTCATTGAGCCTACGGGACATAGATCTTGATGGATAGGATGCGAGCGAACAAAGCGAGCGAACAAAGCGACCGAGCGAAAAGGATGACGGACGGGTTGTATCGAACATTTTCCACTTTACCATTCTATTTTCTTCCTCCCCTCTCTCTCTCTCTCTCTCTCTCTCTCTCTCTCTCTATTATGTTTGTATGTTTTGTTGTTGTCGCTGTTGTTTTGCATTTGCAATTCCATGGCATACATGTACGTGCCTTCTTTGTGTGTCTAATTTCATTTTTTTAAGAATACACACAAAATGAATACAGCTTTTGAAGTAGGATTCAGGTAATGAAGAAAACAAAGTTTAGTGGGAAATTAGGCATTTAAACAATCAACCTTTTTCATGAAATAATTTGATCGGTTTTCCTGCTGCAATTTGGTAACTTAAATAATTTGGTTATTAAACTGAAGGTCAGGAGACAGATCCGATTTATTGTCTTTGCTGATCACATCCTAGTAACAGAATTTGAGTCAGAACAATTTTTGTAAAATCATGCTGGGATGCTCCACAGGTGTTTTTCGGCATCCCATACATGCACCAGGGAGACGAGAGGGACATCTTCCTGCATGCACACAGTTCAATCTGAGTTCATAGTCCAGATTTGCTCTCGTATACGTTCCGATAACGTCAACCTTCATTTCATTTGTGAATTTCATTGACATCTTCGTCGGCATCAACTTTCAAACTGTATTCAAACTTTATGGACCATGCCTTCAAATTTGGAAGTGTTCCTTTTTACATTTATGTAAAAACGAATCTTATGTGGGGATATTGTAACTGCGCCTGTCACATTGGGTGATTATTGGTTGATAAACATTTATAAGCAAGTGCACTTTCATTATAACATGTGTGCTCAATTTCTTCAATCTTAATCTTTTTGTTTTGTCTTTAGAAAGCGTCCCTTTTTCCACGCTCGTGATAGATGTTTGTACATAGCATCTTCCAAAATACCCCCTTTAATAAATGAAAAGATCCATGCCCGCATTTAACATGTTTAAAGGGATGTAGATGTTTCGTGGCAGCCGTGACTATAACTATTTTTTAATTCCCCCTTTTCGAATTGTGTACGCACATTCATCGAGGAACATCATAGCGCAACTATTAGTCACGTTGCTCTTCTACCATCCTCGAAGAGATTCGCTGGCATTCTTCTTGTCCTTTTTTAAAATACTTTATTTGTTATATTTGACATTTCTTGAGGGAGCGTAATATGTTATGGGTCCGAGGCAGTGAAGTAAGAGTCCGTTTAAAGTTTCCTTGGCAGACAAAACTTAATCATGAAATTTGTTTCTTTGTTTGTTTACCTGACTACTAAAGAAGATATTGTGTATGCTTGTTAGTAAGCAGCCAGAGGACCGATGGCTTTAGGTCTTCTCCGAGGGACTAAGCTAATACATTCCTTTACCTTCAACACTTAAATATTTCTTTTTGAATAAATTATCTAGGGTCTGGGATCATTATAAATAGATGAATAATCAGAATATGTTATGACTGATTATATGGGTGTAACAGAAAGAAACATACTTGTAGTTCATATAATCTTTTTAGGAAGAAGTTCACATATCTTCAATCATGTTTTCAACATGATCAAACATCTTTCAACATCTTTCAAATCTTTTAAATGGAACCATATTCTAAATGTATTAGCCTTTGTCAGAAAGATACGGTTTCAATATTTTTTGGAGCGACTCATATGTTTTGACCCTATAGGCCTATACTTTGATACATTTACACATCCACTGATCTGTTCAAAACCCGGTCGCGGTATAGGTAATCCTTTAGCAAGACATCGGTCTACATTTGCCACTTTCTCCAGACTGCAAAAAATAAATGGTAGAATGCCAAAAGCCCCTGTGGTCAAATATTATGTCCTGGCGGTGACCACTACTATCGACCGGGATGGACCAATGGCGTAGCCAAATTGAGAGGGGCAGGGGCAATTGCCCCTCCTAAACAATTTTGTAGAGATTGGTTGGAAAACTTAAAATTTGGCTGACTAAACATGTTGTAATGTATGCACATAATTATGAGCATTTTTACTTTTCTTTATTCCACGTAATAGCCTTCTATGCTCTGAATGCCCCTCTGGACAAATGAAATGCTAGGCTATAATGATCTCAATCGCATTAGGGACTCAGTGCTACTGAACAGTGATCAGGGATTAGTTATAATTTTTCCAAGTAGTTATTAAGTATATACAATATTTCATTTTAACACTGGGAAAAATATCTGACTGCCAATTGAATAATATATCTCACCTGTAATATCCACTCTGGGAAATCCAAGCCCGTTCGTTCTGGATGCCTCAAAATCCGTTTTTGCAGAGTTAAATCACGGACATAATTCCGATGGTGGGGCTTGAAAATCAGCACTGCGATCACTGACTATTTTCCAGTATGTAAAATATTCACCACAATCTCCGGGAAAAGGAAGAAATCTCTTATTTAGTCATCAATTAAATAACGCACCCGTACTCGGATCAGCTAGAAAGTAGCAGACTATAATCGCATTTGTCACATTGGTCCGATTCCCAGTGGCAATCGCTATCGACTGGTCACATTCCTTCAAGCATTACTCACTCCTAGGAACACCGAAGAGAGGCGGGAGTTTCAGATCTAAAATTCCAAGTCTTATCATAAACTTTCCTTGCGATCAGTAATTGTAATCCCAGATCATCTGGCTAAAGAGCAAATTAAAGCTTATTCCTTATAGTCGAAATAAATTGATAATTTCGACTTTATCGATGCAGCGTATAGCTTCCACCTGACTTGTCAAAGTTTCGACTGTCCTGTATGATACCTGATGCAAGGTGAGCGAGGTCTCTAAACGCCAACGAGGGATTTGGATGACGAGTTGTTTTAGACTCATTGCTGTATACGTGTAGGAGTCAGCTAGTCTACAGACACAAACCTTTTCAGACGTAATGTGTCATGGAGTTGCTGATCTGTAAGACTATTTACAATCTACTGCGTGACCTGGGCATTATACTGCAGCTGCTTCTGATATCATGACATAGCCAGAGACTGACGAAGTTAGGCTATGCTCAAGTTTTTATGGAATTGTACCTAAGTGTCAAATATAGTCTGTTTCTAAAGACTAGGATTCCGTCGGAAGACAATAGATAGGAATGAATCAGACCTGTATAAAGATTTTTTTTTAAAGTTTGTGATGACGTCATAACTGTATTGTCGGCCTGACATTCAGGTTTATCTACGGATGTTTCGATTTATAGTCTCAAACACAGACATTCTTGAAGTTCTATGATATAAATCAGATAACTGTCCGAGTATATTTTGTTTACATTTTCTCATGCATAATTATACAGATCCTACCATGCTCTGTTCATCTCCCTTTGTTTAATTGCCCAAGTGGATGAACAAACAATTTTAACAGGAATGTCTTACATATTAAATGCGCCGACCAAATTTGAATAGAGAATGCTACCCCGCCCCCCCCCCCCCTACCCCACCGCCCATCCCAAATTGTTTCGCGATTACTGGCTAATTCAATCAATCACTTCTACATTCTATATTTGTTATTGCTACGACCAATTGTTCTAATCTCTCCATCTTCGTAAATTGAACATCTACAATAAAAAAAAATATATAAATGTATAAGTGATCTAACATTGCAAATTGGTATAATGCATCGTTGTATTTTGTAGACTAAACTAATATTTTACGAAGACGGAAATACGCTTGAACGCAACGAACATGGGGTAAAGAAAACGCTGAGTGAGATATAGTGAGAACAGTTTTCCGGTTACCCGAAGTTCAAGGTATTGTTTGGATTATCTAAATTACCACATGACCATGTGTATGTCATTGTTACGTCATTGTATAGCAACATAGTTACCCACTGGCGTAAGAGGGAATAGAGATTGAAACTGAAGATGACGGTGTTAATTATGATAAGAGAAGAGAGAGAGAGAAAGAAAGAGAGAGAGAGTGACAGGCAGAGAGAGAGAGAGAGAGAGAGAGAGGGGGGGGGGCGAGAGGGGGATCGAGAGGGGGATAGAGAAAAAGGAAAGAGGATTATGTGACAAAAAGGAAGAAGCAAACAAAGAAGTAAAAATAAAAAGACAATGGGGAAAATATGGAGAAGAAGGTACGAAAAAAGAGTTGAGAGGTATGGGCATGATGGATGGTAACGGTAAAAAGGGAAACTTAGGAAAATACAAAGACGAATACCAAGAAATAAAAAAATAAAAAGATTAAAAGAAACATTATTGAATGAGAAGATGAGGGTGGAAAAAGGAATTTAATTTATTGCTATGAGAAAAAAATAGACGGATAAGGACAAATGAGGAATAACGATCAGAGAACATGATTAGACAAAAACAATTATAATAAAAAATCAAATAATATATGAGTAAATTTATTCAACTAATTGATTCCCCGGAATAAAAGTAAAGAGGTGAAAATCAAGAACAATCAACTTCAAAGAAAATCATGAAATGTGTTTAGAGCAATACAACTGTCAAAAAAAAAATAGATATTAGTGTTGAAGACAAAGATAGATGAGCCGCGATTGAAAACCACAAATGTGTGTATGAATCATTATTCCTTTCAATCGGAGATTGTTCTTAAACCCATTACTTAACCGCTAATAGCAATACAAGGTGATTTAGGGTGAATGACTTGACAAGCCTTGTTCTCTTTCTGTCCTCGGTTCATTTTGTGGTTCATTGTTTTAGGAGGGGTGGAGGCAAAGCCTGTAAATATACACAATTTATTACTTGTGGGTCAGACATGATATCCTAAAGAATTTTAATTCAAATGACGAATAGGAGTATGGTTGGTGCGGTGACACTGGTTAACCATTTTACTATCAATGAAAGTAAGGTCAATTTAGAATCTTTGTTTTTTGTATGTTTGTTTGTTTCTCTGTGTGTTTGTTTTGTTTGTTGTTTGTTTATAAGTAATCAAAGACTCTAGTCGTTATGGTACTTAACTTGATTTAGAAGTTGATATATCTTTGTTTATTTGATGTACAAATGATTATATTTGATATTACATATATGTTTACATATTGATTTATATAAATCTAAAAACGCAATAAATTGGCTGATTTTGCCTCATATTTCTGACTGTGATGATGTGGGGCCAAGTGTAATAGTTGATAGGAATAATAGTTCACTTTGAAAGTGCTCTATTGCAGGTTTTGCAAGCTCACTCACTTTCCCTCTTTTTAAAATGATTTTCTCGTTAGGTGGTCGACTTAAAACAAGTAAAATGATGAGTCCACAGCCATATCTCTTTCCAATAGAAAAATCTTTAATCTATGACGGTCATTGAAATACAATTATACGTCACACCTTGAAATAGTAGTAAACAAACACTACTGAATAGTCAGCGAATAAAACCACTAATCTCTACGAGAGAAACAAATGTGGAGACCAGTTGATTAAACACAGCCGATTTATGTGATGGCGCTCTTTATGTCGAGATATTTGTCCACACTCATGCCAGTGGGTTTAGTTTTGTGACGTACGTAATTATGAACTCAATAGACCATTTTTCAAATTTCAAATTGAATGCATACTTCTTTGTTAAGTGTCATGTTAACAATTATTTCATTCACCTGCTATGAATAATTGTATTTTAATAGTCAGAATGCGAATTGAATACATTAATTGTTGTTAGGTAGGACAAACAGTATGTCCTACCTAACAACACGTAATGCAAGTCGCATTCTGACTATTAAAATACAATTATTCCTATGACAGGTGAATGAAATAGTTTGTAAAGATGTACTTCACAGGTATTGTGCATTAAATTCGATTACATTACGAAAAATGACCTATTTTCAATAATTAACTCTTGTAAGACAAAGTAAAACATAGCATCACAAAAACGTAAATTCGTTTAGGAGTATTAAAGCATTGATCGCAACATCAAAGATATCTTTGCATCAGTGATATTCTTTGGCAAATTAAACATTTTATACTGGAAAAGTATGTTGAAAAGCCCAGTTCGGCCAGTGAGTGTCTTCTCAAAATAATAGTAAAATGGTCAAAAGATGAAAGCTAAATGGCCACAAATATAGTATCATACAACTTTACATAGCATAATCTAAATAATGAAACTGTGCAAAACAGCGGATCCGTCACACTCCTAATATTCTTTCATAAGAAAGTATAAAACGCTTAAGTTGTAAAATATACAAAAATGGAAGATAAAGCAACTTCCTTAAAATAAAAGTACAGCCAGCTGCATATTATAAAAGACATTTTTCAATCTTAGAAGCAATTCAAGAATGTTTTCATTTTCGAGTTCTTACAGAATGATCGAAGTAATTAAGAAAAAACGATTTACCGATATGATGAGAACTTTCCAAAGGATAATGAAGAATAAAAAAGCATCTAAAGCATTTTTGGTACTGTTTTCCGTTCCATCTTGTAATCCACATCAAATTTCTAAATGCGCGTTTTCAAACTTAAATCAAAGCATATTTGGTAACATACGGAATTTTGTCTGTTAAATGAAAACAAATTTTCCGACATTTAAAATAACATACTATCAGATTTCAGATGCACATTTAAAAAAAAACATTTACATGTATATCTTTCTCGGACAAAATTGAATAAATAATTGTAATTATAATTAACATTTACATTTCAACATATAGGTCAATGTCCAACATTATGACGACTCCAACATCTTTCTACATAATACTGAAAGCGATTCCTTGCATAGACATTCAAAATAATTTTGTATTCATTTGCAAATGCTTAATTAAAGCTATTACCTTAAACATGATAGAAAGGGTAGACAACATACATTCACCCTCTCTCATCACATTTCATCTGTTCAGAGCCAGAAGGGCGTTAACTCTGTGTTAAAGAATATGAGTTAATGCCCTTCTGGCTCCAAACAGACGATTTTGTTCGTTTCGATACGAGCAGACGAGCCAACCAAGAACGCGTCTAAATTGAATACAGGGAAAGGGATTTCGGGCCCTTTATCAATTTTTCAAAAACTTAGCCAGTTTTGCAAAAAACTTGTCGACAGTGCCTTAAAAATGTATTTGCCGACAAAAGTAATATAATATTTGAAAACTGAAATTTCGAATGGGGTGTAGGTCTGTAGGACCACCCCCTGCCCCGCATCTAGCGACGCCCTTTGAAGACAACCCGCAAACAATAACTCGATATTAGTACAATATCTGTCATTCATCAAACACGTTCCCGATCATTTGAATCGCAATTAATGTGCGTCTTTTCTCGCTCTTTTCTCATCAGCGACGAAAATTAATTTGGTGCGGAAGGTTCGAATATTTTGAATCATTCCATTGTGAGCGTTTGACTGGCTTGAAAGATGGCGCCGGGGTGAAGGGTCACGGATTGGGTCACGTGACCGCATCCGACAGAGATCATCTCCCTGTACTCGTCACTGGTGACGTCATGACTGCCTTGAGTCGTCTCCTCCCATGGATTCCAGATGACTGAGGATCAAGAAGAAATAATCATTAGTTAGAATCGGCATGATATTAAAGGCGGACTTTGGATTTAGGCAGTAGGGGTGCTAGATTGGAACTTTGTTGAGAGGCCTCAATCCCCACAACAAATTTTGCGAAAATCCCCAACCTTAAGTCCCTTTCAAGCTTTCAAGCTCATGCCTTAACAATCCAAAGTAAATGGGCCTATTCTGGAATGTTTTATTTGCTTAAAATGTTGGTAACTGGAATATGATTAATTTGATGACATAAACCAATTCGAATCTCATGAAGATATTTTGTAAAATATTTTGTAAGAGTGATTTATACGACTACTATGCGGATTATCCACCCCCTCCCTTTCCCTCCATATCTCTCTCTCTCTCTCTCTCTTTCTCTCTCTCTCCCTCTCTCTCTCTCTCTCTCTCTCTCTATCCCTCCCTCTCTCTCCCTCATTTTATGTAGAAGTGAAAAACAATTTAAATTTTATTTTCATTTCTCCTGTATTCTTTTCTTCTTCTTCGCTCATATTTTTTTACTTTCTACCCTTAAAAAAAATCGATCCTTTGTTTTGCAAATTTTACCTGTGTCGGGCAAGTTCCATTTTCGGAGGAAAAGTGAAGCGCCATCCTGTGTATTCTTCAAAACATGTTCAGCTGATGTATTCGTGTACAAACTGAATGATAAAATTGAAAGTTCAGATATCACCATGAGTATATGATTCATTGCATGTGCATTAATGTGTCATTTACATTGGATGCATTCCCCCCCCCCCCCTCCCCATTACAGTACATGACATTGCATTTTTAAATATTATAGGGTACGAAATTAAGCTACACGCTTAATGCATAATCAATTTAGATAAACAATAATGATAGAAAAGGGCTACAGCGTAAGCAAGATATGATTGATGTTCTTGCACCCTCCTTTCACAATGAAATAGTAAAAATATCAGAGTAAAGAGTAATCTTACACCAAATGCATCACCTTATGCTAGAGAAATGAAGTTTAAAAACTACATAGGCTATTAATTACTTTTGTCTGATAGTTGAGATTAGTAATTTTCGAAAAGCTGTATATAGAATCATTTAGCTCTATAAAAATCAGCATTATTAGATTGATCTTGTCTTCCTTTATGCGTTTATGAAATGCATTATATAATGTAGTTGTTTCAATGTATCATGAATGCTTATCATACCTGTTTAATGGTCCGTCGATTGAGACCCTATTCCCGCATTCTGATGTTGTCAAACTGTAGTTAATCTATGAGAAAATAAACAGAGATAACATAATAATAATAATAATAATATTCCGCTTGTATAGCGCTTAATACAATGTCTCTATAATTATAAGCGCTTTACAGATATACTAACTAACTAATTAACTAACTATACTAACATAACGTTAGATTCATTCATAATCGTTTGGCCCATCAAATTAATTCATAATAATTTTGTGCCTTTAGTGATAATTGTTGCATTCTGTCTAGTAGACAATCATGGAGGTCAAATAGTTCTCATAATACAATTGACCTCGTTTTGAAAAAGACATAACTCCATTTTTTAATAATATTTGATTAGAGATGTATTTTCTCATGATTTAGCCCGTTATTGAGAGGCGTTGAATACTGTATTACTTAATAACATAATGGAAATCGGGTGAAAAGGTGTATGAAGAATTGTTTTCAGTAGCACTTAAAAAAAACCATTTACCTCATCGGAGGAATCTGCATCTTGGAGTCCCAAAACGGAGGTATTTGTGACGTCATCGACAAGGAAATGATTTTGAAGCATTGGGGCGCATGTGAAAGGCTTGGAATCTAAAATTAAACAAAATATAGATGATGATAAGTTCTTCGTTTTTCATTTCATTGCTTTTTCCGGATTCATATTTCGACATATATCACTTTTCCCAATACGTATCTTCAATATTTGTTCTATACTTTTTTACCGTCTCTATTTTGTCTGTTTAAATCTTAATTTCAGTTCAATTCCATCTACATGACGTATACTCGATCTTGATACTCGTGTTTTCATTATTCTTTTGTTATTTCTTTCTTATCTTCATCTAGTTGTTATATATTCTTTTCTTTTGTGCATTTTCTTCTCTTTCTGATATTTTCATCCCTTTTCACACTCTAGTTTCTTATTAATCTTCTACTACTAATTTTTTCTTTTCCTTTTTCCTCTATTGCCATCTCCTTACTTTAGCTCAAACTTTGAACTCTGAATTTAAACACTTACGTATGAGCTTACCTTTATTTTCGATAATGTAATCAAATGTGATTTCCTTCTTTTTCAGCGAGATCTTTAATGTGGCCTTAAATCTGTGGAAATAAAGAGAATATCGGAATATAATTTTAAAATTACAAGAGATATAGACAAAAAAGAAGGAAAGTCTAATAAAATCTGGACTTTGTATTTAAATAGTTGCGTTCTGTTTCTGGAGGAGCAATATCTTCTTTTTCAATGTTATCACTAGTTTTATTTAATCAGGGATGCCTCTTTATGCGGATCAGCTGCTATCACAGAGGGTCTCCATGGAATTCTCATACTCTCCGTTCTGAGTACCTGTATATATTTTCTGTAATATAGGCCTATCACTCTCACGAGCCTCCAAATTAATATTTTTATACAAAATATATAGAAAGTAAGATCTCATCTGTATCTTTCCTCTTAGAGCATGTTTTTTTCTAATGCTTTCCACTCACTTTTGGTCCCACTGTTTTCTCGTGTTTTCGTTGTCTTCAAGAACGAAAGACGCATTGACGTCACCGTTGGGATACTGCAAAACAGGGGGTAAAATAAACAACAAAAATGCAAAAAATGGTTAAAATGGGGTTTATATCGAGAATACAGCCTCACCTATATCAAGAAATACATATAATTGATCATGATAATGCCATTAGTCAACAAGTATGACGTGAGGGGCAGAATGACGAGTGAAGAAGAAGAGAGATGGAAGTTTGTTTCAATTCCAAACATTACATAGTATAAGTATAGTATATCTATAATGCTTTCCACAACTTCATGTATGTATTTACATTGTTATAAGTTAACCTGTCTACTATTAGATGAAACAAATATTATCAAGAAAATAATTCCAGTAAATGATATTACCTTGTTTTGTTCTACGAGAATCCATTGTGACGTTCTGAAGAAAGCGTGTTCCGGGTCTTCAGCTGTATGAAGAAAAAAACATCCTTTTTGTTAACATGTTCATCCATATTCCCATATTCGAAAAGAGGATTTAATATAAAATCAATACGTATGCCAATTGTTATCAGTTCTCCTTTATCATTTGGAGAGAAGAATTGTTAGTCGAAACGTTTTCGTGATAAAGGTAAATGCTTCTTTACCATCATAAAACTATCAATGAAGATAAAGATATTTTTCTAAATGGTTACGTGTAACGATAGAAATAAGGATACTTGTATTTGTATATACCATCAATAAATGTTATAAGCATTAAATCAACAATTCTAGCCAATATGTCAAACTTTCAAAGTGTTTCATTTTCACAAATTGAACAAAAATAACGGCCAATCACTCTGACTATTGCCAAACGAATTTAAATTTCAACTAGGGTACTGATCTGATATATAAATAATTTTTGTGGAAGACTAATTACATGAAAAGTAATAGATACTTACACAATAACACTGGAATGCCGCTCCTAATTGGTGTCTTGTTGTTCAATACCGTTGACTTACTGCGAGGAAAAGGTAAAATAATTATGATTGAGATTTAAAATTTAGAATTTTAGAATTTAGAATTTTATTGACTCTTTGACCCCTCTCGGGGTATGAGAGTACAAACTAACATAAAAGTATAAATAGCAATGCATGACTTATGAATACAATTCTCATACATTATACATAGATAAAAAAACACAACTCTTTACGATATCTTATTTCTATGTCATTATGTTTTGAACACAATCGTCAGCTTTCCAAATGCGATTTGCGGCAATGGTGTATTATTTAGTATATTTTATTGAATAAGTGATTTCGTTTCAAATAGAAAATTTAAAAATACAATTTCTTCACCTTTCCATTTTTCTTGATTCTTTTTTATTTAATTTGTTTTAAAATCGTTATTATCATTATTATTATTATTATTATTATTATTATTATTATTATTACCTATTTTTTTTTTAATTTATTTATTTATTTATTTTTATTTATTTATTTATTTATTTATTTATTTATTTATTTATTTATTTATTTATTTATTTATTTATTTATTTTTTGTTGGGAGGGGGGGGGGGGGACATTCCCTTATGGTGAGACTTATTTGCCCTGTAGCTGCATCACCCCGGGGTATCAATTTCACCTCGACCTAGAATACTACTCACTTCACTTTTCATTTCTTTTCATTTTGAAAGTGAACGTCATTCAAAATAGCAATATTTTATTAGGTCGCGTGGATGCGTTTTCTATGGGTCAAATATACCAGTCATCTTGAATAGACATAAATTAATATAGTCAAAATGTCAAAATAATTATGTGAACATTGATAAATTATCTCACCTCAAAAACAGTCTTTCTACACCATTCATCGTGAGTGACGTCACAGCTGCACCTGTTATAGCATAAATGAGTTAGGAGACAATGTTAGAACAAGATGTTAGAGAGGGGGTGACACTCAGGAAATAGGGTCAAGAAGGCAATGATAAGAAATAGAAACTCATATGAAAATAAATCATATTTAATTTTTTTTGATGGTATTGTGTCCAAATTCAAACAAAAACATTTTGGCTTTTGCCCTCAAAGGAAATGAGGAAATCAGACGGTTGGGTTCAACCAAGTCAATGCTCCTTATTCAGCTTCAGTATGTATCAAACATTTAAACAATATTCTTCCTGAAGCTGTTTGTTTTATCTGCTTGTTTTTTTCTTCCTGCAACACCGGTTTGTTTTTTTGTTTTTTTTTGTTGCTTGTACTTGATTGTCAGGGCTCACAAGACGGCAAGCTTCGCTCATCTTGGAGCCCTGGCCATTTCTGGGTTTTTTTAAGTTTACATTTCTTCATATTTCAATGTATATTCATTTTATCATGTACTCAGAACTGAATACAAAAATAATAAAAAATATTTTCTTTGTTGTTAATGTTAACTTATTTCATTTTAGGGGGGTATAAACTTATGCTTCTTTTTTTTTCTTCTTCTTCTTCTTATCGATCCTTTCTTTGAAAGCTTCAATTCAGCCAAATCCAGAATGTTACTAACACTTTTTCAAAGAAATAAAAGAAATAACCGCTAAATCAGCAGCGGGTTCAAGCTTAGCGGGATATGATTTGTAAATTAGGACAAAATGAATAATGTACTTGGTTAATCCATCTTGACTTCATTGTAATGAAAGTAATTATACACGTCACCAGATCAGTGACATGTATTTTCATTTCATAAATCAAAGTCATATACATGTCTCATGATTACTGCCTAATGATATCATAATTTTGACTCATTTGTTCGGGGGTACATGACACATTATTTCAGTAGACTTCCCCCGCCGTGTTTCGAGTTAGCAGACGACAGATCAGTTCACTGGCATTCGAGGAATTCGCTGCTCCGCGATTCGAGATTCCACGGGCATTAGCCAATTAACCACTTTCGAAAGTATTTTGCTGTTGACAGCGAACAATATTGAGAAGTGAGTCGAATGTGTTCTCTAACACGGACCATCGCAATTAAATAGGCTACATGTTTATAAATACAATTTTAAGTGTTACTTTGTGTTAAAAATCTACTTTTATTTCAACTATTTAAAAACAAAATAATAATTAGGCCTTTTTGTTGCTCAAAATGAAATGTGACATACGTTAAAACTTAAAGAAGCTACAAGAGCGACACATTGGAATTTTGTAGAAACTTCACAGGGTATTTGCTGAGAAATTGTAAAATGTAGACGTTAAAATTAGGCAAATCACTGTTTTTGATAACAATCACATATCGCCGGTAGCTTTTCCAGGAACTGTAATGACTTTTGCTCTTGTTGACTGAAAAATATATATTCCATTTTATATTGTTCGTATTTTTTTCTTCCAAACAGTAATATAATCTCATTGTTATCAAATAAATATATACCTCTAAAGATTGCAGTACTTCTTGAACCTCCACCCCTATTTCAGACAAATAAACAATTCTTCTTAAATCGCTAAAAAATCTGAAATAGTGAAATTCCTTTAGAATTGTTCTGTCATTCATGACATATCTATATTACATATAAAACACCATTGAGGTATGTAATTCCACTCCCCCATTGATGTATCGTTTTTCCCCTATAAACTCTACAAAACGAAGTTATGTAGACAATGAGACAGTCAGAGATATACGAATACTCCACGGAATCACTGCAATGGTATTTGACATCTGTTGAACTTCAGCATAGTTTTTATTCGACGAGTGAGACAATTTGGCGGTGATTCCGTTCCCTTTGGGCGTAATATAAGCCCAATCGCCCACATGCATAGCAGCTGGCGGGTTTGTTCGGAACACGATTTATAACACTTCAATTTCTAACATGTTTTTTATTTGATATTTGATCGCTTTTGTTTCGATTCATTTTTAATGGTGCATAAACTCTCTGGGGGAGGGGGCACTAAATATTTCGAAAAACAAGTGTCTCTATTACGAGACAAATGTAAACACTTTATGGTTTAGATTTATGAGCTTTGTCAAATTAATTTTCTTGATAATGGTCTTTTCACGATCAACAACAACTGTTGAAAGCTCTTGATTTACATTTATTATTCTCTATTTTGATATTCGTAATTGGGACAACTACAAACTTTTTTTTAAACAGTTAGTTTCGCACTCTTCTTGAGCAGCATTAAGTTTTAATTTGAGGATAGTAATATTGATGAGTTATTTCGTTAAAATTGCTAACATTATATGAATATTTTCCGATAAAGTAAATACTTAAGACAAACGAATTATCCCCATGCTCCCGGCTAATAACCCTCTAAAAATATATTCGATCTCTAATTCATTTCTATTCATATCTTTACAAAGATTATAGAAATTTGACTTTAAAAGAAAGAAGGATCACAATTGCGGTTTAGAACATTATTTTGTCAAAATGTGTATATCATCAGTGTAAATTTAGCATTCAAGCATTCTTTTTATATGTGATATCGGTCATTCTGTCTTGATAAATTTTAGAATCAAAATCATAAGTAGTTGGATAAACCTATATATTAGAATTACATTTCAGTAATGTAAATCAACAACAAAACTTTCTTTGCACAACAATTTTTAAAATTTATCTTGGCATAAAAACAATTGAAGAAAAAAAGAAAGCAATCAGTGACGATATATACATGCTTTTAAAGTATGCATACACAAAAGCTCACATAAAAAGAAGGAGAAAGACCAACAAAGTAACAAAACAAGCATGTTAAAGAATAAGTCCTAAAATTAGTAAATGATAATTAATACTCACCGAGTAAATTGACGGTGACGCTTGACTCGAGTCTTCGCGCCAAACAAACTTGTTCAACATGATTCTTAGGTTGCTGAGGCATGACTGTCGTCTGCTTTGTAGCCAAGAATAATTTCAACAAAAGAACTTTGACTTTGATCCTGTCAAAAGAATTAACTAGATTTTTTAAAACTTCTCTTCTGTTCTGATCAAGTGGTTCTGATCTCTTCTCCTATCCTTCCTTGATGATTCTTCTAGTGATATATGACTGAACCACCGCACGATCGCGGTATTTATACCCATGCTCTGACGCTGGTCTTGCACGAATCGTTTGGATCGAGATGTGCGCATGCTTGCCGAGATGGAGGAGGGGAACATACATTATTTTCATGTCATAAGCGCATGTGCTATTTTCCGTCCGATGAGTTATCGCCAAGCCATGGGAGTAGGTTGACATCCCCGCAGCGAGGCCCCGTTCACATGTAAAATGACAATGACAATGAATTACAGAGAGAGATATAGAAAGAGAGAGAGAGAGAGAGAGAGAGGGGGGGGGGAGAGAAAGTGATGACCAAGTTCATGTGAACGTGGTTTTAAATTATATACGCGTGTCAAAAGCGGCATACCACAACGGTTGTATCACACAGGAGTTCGCGTTGACGATGCATCTAGAAGTGCTTTTTTTTTAAAAATAGAACAAAGGGGTAGGTGATGAATGTTTATTAATACCACCAGTGTGGTGCATTGATATTATATAGAAAGGACGTCGCTAGAAAAGCTGGAGGTTTTTCCTTTTAAAAATCCATTATTTTATGCGGTAAACAATAACTTTAATCAACTTTAAGCTTTATTTTAACATTAAAGAAAAGAAAAATAAACAAAATTAAAGTGACATGATGTATGAGGAATTAAGTGTATACAAAACTTTCTCTCTCTCACGCACAAACACATACTCACACGCACACACACACACATACACACACAATCTCTCTCTCTCTCTCTCTCCCTTTCATTCTTTCAAGTTCTTTCTCAACCTGTCATCCTCTCTTCCTCTCTCATGCACACACTCTTCTTCTCTATCTCTCTCTTTCTCTGTCTATCTTAATTTTTCAATCTCAATCAGTTTATTTTACTCCTATTCCTATCATATTATACTCTCCCTCTTTTATTTTTCATTTTGTTTATATTCACACAGGCTGAAAGTCTAATCACCCTTTATCTATGTTTTACATTAGAGTGGAATCGTTCATTAAACTTTACTGACAAGAGAAAATAATTTATTCCATAATTTTCCCTCCCTGACAGGTTATGATAACAACCATCATGCCTATTACCGAAACAATCATCATCCCCATCATCACGATCGTCACCGCCTCATCTACGACCGCCGACCACCGACATGTTACATATCACTTCCATGCAAGGAGACGAAACTTTCTCCTGTAGTGCGGACTCGTTCAAACACAACCTTCAGGTATCATGTACTTGGGTTATATTTTCCGATGTGAACTTGACCTTGCCATTCCTCGCCGACGACATGCCGAGGGATGACGAGCGATGACATCGGTACTAATAGCCACCGGAAGGATCAGGGCAGACATCATTCGAGATCTACGAAGAAATCCTCACCGGGCAGCGATGATCGCGAATGTCATAGCTGGTTGAGAATAAGAGAGATAGTTTTGTCACTGGAAGTCGCCTCTGATTGGTCAGTCATTCAATGATCCTTAAATAGTTTCCTCCTATAGGAGATTGTATGTATTCGTTGGAGGGAACTATTCCAAGCTCAATGATTTCATCTCTGACCGTGTACGCATATACGGGTGTCCCAACTATCTCTCTTGATACGCGATGTCGAATGGAAATTGGCGCCTCTCCAGTCAAATGGTGAATGAGAATGCATGTTCCATGTTGGTGTCGTGCTGGTATTTATGTCAGATGAAGACAGTCTGATGAATGTTTTGCTGATGAATACAGGATCCCTTTTATCCCGGTATTCCTTGAATTCAAATTCCATCGACCAAGTGTTTTATATCTACTTGAGACTTCCCACAGGATGACATCAATATAGCTCCATGTTTCTGGAATCAGCATGGGATCAGCATTTTCAGAGAACATTGAAGAATGATTTTGGATGAAACACACAGCACCTAATACATACCATTCGGATTCTCGAGACCTAATACATTCAGCCTATTTAACTGGAACGAATGTGTCATCTTTTTTTCTTCATTTTCTTCAAACTAGCTTAGGGAAACTACAAAAACTTGAGTCGCTTCTCTTTTACACATGTTTCGTATTCCCTTCTCCTTGAATTCAAATTCCATCGACCAAGGAATTTATATCTACTATAGAGACTTTTCACAAGATGACATCAATGTAGCTCCATGTTTCGGAATCAGCATGGGATAAGCCTTTCTCATTGAAGAATGCTTTTTGATAAAACACACAGCACCTGATACATATCATTCGCATTCTCGATAAGACCTAATATATTCAGCCTATTTAGTTGGAACGAATGTGTCATCTTTCTATTTTCTTTTCTTTTTTTCAAACTAGCTTTGAAAACTAAATAAAATAGTCGCTTCTCTGTTTCATGTTTCATATTCCCTTCTCCTTGAATTCAAATTCCATCGACCAAGTGTTTTATATCTACTGGAGACTTTCAACAGGATGACACATCTCCATGTTTCGGAATCAGCATGGGATCGGCATCTTCTCAATCTTAGAAAATAAAAATAAAAAAATAATAAAAACGGGAAAAAAAAACGACAGAATGTTATATTCTGTTTCTTTCCAAAAGTAGAAAATAAATTTGGCAGTTAAATCATTAATGTGACAGAATTTGTAAAAAAAAAAAAAAAAAGATACATACAATTTCTAGCAGGTTGGAAGTGATGTTCTGTAAAAAGGAATGAGAACGCATGGTAAATCAATATGCCAATGCATACATTGTTATAATAAAGTTGTTTTAATTCAATTCATCATACCCATGCATCAATAAAAGATGGCTTATAATTTACAGCACTTATATAAACCACAATCTTATGTGACCCGACGGCGCAAAACCACCATAGAGTAGCAACAGAGCCAAAAAAGAGTGATTTCTCTAAATAGATGCCACTAATAGCTTTTAGTTTAACATGAAATTGGAGTGGCGATTTTTATTGGAGTAATTAGTGTTATGATTCTTAGGAATGTTTGGAATAGCTGGTTAATTAACCAACGAATATTTTTAGCGACTCTTTTGGTAGTTTTGGGCCAACGGGTTACATAATATATGACATAAATAATATATAAATATAAATTATCTCCATATAATATCCTGCATACCCTGAATTCCAGCTTTGCCAAAACGACTTAATTGCACATCAATGACGTCATAATAAACACTCTATGTACATAGATAATGTACTATTCACAATATAGACTTCTGAATTTACAATATCCATAATAACTATATAATTTCTTAAACGTTCTCATATCCTCCTCTCTATCTTGCACCAAGACCGAAATTTAAAATTCTTGCATCAACTGTTGCTCCACAGAGTTACGTCTGGCTTCACCAACCATGTATGGGGAAAGTTGACAAAATTAATGTCAGTTTTAGTAATGAATTCTGCATACCAGGCTTCACTTTCTGTCTGTCTACCTATTACACCAAGACTTTTTCATCTGTTTATCATCTAGAGTTAAACAAGGCATGGAAACGGGCGTGTTCACTTCAGTTTTTTTCAGTCATTGGTATGATGGACAGTTCTGAATTACGGTGAAAACACTTAAAATCACTAAATTCGCAAATTTCGCATTGGGTAATTTTCTTCCACTGTTTGCTACTTGCACTACATCATTATGACAAGAGCACAAGATTCCAGCCAATATTCACAAATGTTCTGGTGCCTCACCAGCCATGCTCCTCCAATGATTCAAACGAAGGTATACATCGCATGTGCGGAGGCATTGATGGTATCGGATAATTGTCTTCTTTCACGTCTTGGGTATGTTGCTAAGCAACGGGATGCTGAATTCCCCCAGCGCATCGTTTCTAGATAGAATCCCCTTCATCTTTATGCTCCGGGTGGTTGGTCCATTTGAGGATACCAGAAAAGAGGAATCCCTCTGTACATTATGGGGCTGCGTGTGCGCAGATAGAAATCATGCAATTGGTGATTCTGACTGTCTCTCCTAGCTCTTTACATGATTTCACCGTGCTGGAGATGCACGGGCCTGATAATAAAACTTCAGAAGTAAAAACGTATATGCATTTGCTTTGGAGACCACATATTGATTGCTTCTCAATTAGTCACTGACGAATTTGATGGGATGACGGAAAGTAAAAAAATGCATATATCCAGACGCCATGCTTTTAATTAATTAACAAATTCATATTGCAAAAATTTGTTCTCCATTTTCAACGACGGAAACAACCCGCTTTCATTTCTGTTCTGGACTGTCTCAACTGTTCTTCTTGATGATACCAATTACCAGGTACCACGTTCCACAGTCCTAAGACAAAATACACATTCAGGAATGTGCTATCTTTCATTCTCGTTGGGAAATTGATGATAGAAGTCAATGCTAGAACACGCCATAATGTTTCATATCTCCTTGAACCAATGGCGAAGAGGGCGTGCTGCCAGAAACGACCGAGAGTCTTTCTTTCTCATCTTCTGTCGGTCCCCCAGTTTGTTTCTCTTTCATGACAGTCTCATAGCTCGGTGGCAGACCTGACCGGAAGCAAACAGAATAAGATAATTGGGCATGTATACTGATTGTCTCTCATTTGAAATGTTTTATATTTTGAGTAATCATAGTGATTTTTTTTATGTTATTTATTTTTTTGTATACAGGTGTACGACATAATCATAACATGGTATTTCGAGACAAGTTCCTGCATCATTTAAGGCATCTAATAATAAACTGCACAGTCTTAGTAACAGTAATTACTTTTAAATCACTTCACCAAACTTTGTTCTCGTATTCTAGAGCCAATTATTTGTTTCTTTCTCTCTTCACTGCTATCATCTTATCATTTTTCTGAAATTCATAACTTTCTTCATCCTTCTTTCTCTTCTCTTTCTTTTTCGCTCAGCTTTCTTCTTCCTATCTTTTCTTTCACACCATATGGTCATCTCATCTTTAACAATTTCGCTATCTTATCATTCTTCTATTCTAAAATTCTTCTCTTCATTCTCCCACATTTTTCCTCTCCCTCCTCCTCCTCCTTACCATTTGAAGATGCTGACTGCCCTTCTATATCTGACGGTCTTGGTCCATGGTATGACGCGGGGAGTGGTCTCACGGAGAATGCTGGAGGTGGTTGCGGCCTCTGGATGGTCCGATGTGCCGGTATGGTGCCGATGATGATGGGGAAGCTCAACGTAGCTACAGGCTTGCTGCCGCCAAGGTATGCTTTGATCTAGGTAAATGGTGGTAAAATTGATTTTGAATTCGTAAGTTACTTGCCTATTTGCTGTTTACAAACATTTTAGAGGTATATAAGTGAACAGACAGGCGCACTATTATGTCATACAGATGAACGTTTTTTTCTTGTTCTCTCCATTGTATTTGAGGGAGATAATTATTAATGCAACATACACCCCTACATACCCACACTCAGGAGCATAGTTGACAAAATGCATGTCAGGACGTGGGCAAAAGAACACGATCATCTTCCTACATGATATTGAATACAGATGATTCTATTAAAGATGATTATTGAAGAAAACAAAATATTTCTAAAGGGAGCTGTCGTCTTTTGTCCAAAAATCAAATGTCAAATTTAGCAATCCACCAAAGTAAGCAAGCGTAAATTCAGGAAGCATAGTACAGTCCTTATTTTTTTATCAGTAAATTTTGGGATATGAGGACCATCTTTGTTCCTTCTCGGAAATTGGTAGCAAAATTATCGATAAATTCTCATTAAAATACTCAGACGCCTATGAACGGATCAACCTTGCACTTGAGCAAAATAGAAATAATGGTCCCGAATAAAATCTGATTTCAATTTCAGAACTATTGTTTTCTTAGAAAGTTCCTTCATTACAATCTTTTCATTTCTTTTTACCTCAAGCTCATAATCCAATGCGATATTTGAACATCCTTGGAAGGCACACGGTGTCAGGTCTCTGGGCAAGAAGATGGCTTGATTTGAAAGGCGTCGAGGCTCACATGCCACGTGACCTGACATTACTGACGTAATCATGACGTCACGAGTCGTCAATGTGCCTTCTTTAGATTTAAATGTCGTAACCTGAATGAAAAACGGGTTGACAGAATTAAATTGTATAATCAGTAAGACTTTTTTTGGACATACACATCGATACAAGAAAATTGTTTCTATCATTACAATCGGGAATTACATGCCTACAATTTATTCACAGTTTACTTCCAGCAGGGCCACTTACAGTAGTGAAATTGAAGCATAGGAGGGCACGTTTCCCTCTCCCCTCCTCCCACCTTTGCGACCTAATTCCATATTCTACACTCATGAATTCATGCTATTTAAAATAAGTGTAAATGGAAAGCAAGATAGGGTTTTCTACAGATTAAGAACTTGTTAAACTTGTATAAATTGAAGTGTTTACACCCGTCCTCATCCCAAGATCCTGCTTTCGTCGTAACTTGCCTCTCTACCAAATAATTGGTAATGTTAACATCATCTACAATTCGAGTATTGCGCCCACACCTTTCCACCATATTAAAGGCATCATTTAATGTTAAATCTGAGATGCACGGCCCTACGTGTTATCAGTGTCTGATATGGTGTGATATTGAAGCCCTTAACAAATTGCACTTCAAAATGATCAAGAATTGCTTCAAAAAAGTAAAAAATCTTTGAGTGACCGGTTTTACCATACTCGTTTTCCCCAATAGACTGTAGCGTAATGAAAACCGTTAGGAAAACGCAAAATTGGATTTTGATTTCCAATCATAAATATCTTGATAAGCAGACAGGCGATCGGCTCGTAAAAGTGATAGGGTTCCTGACTGACCTAAAGGCTTATAATTATCATCGCAGCATGAGCTAAATCCAGGCTTTTGTTTCAGAATCTGAGACAAAGTGTCCCAATCCCTTTAAGAAGGAGATGCGTACCTGTACGAGTGCTGCATGGATGTCGTACCGATCTGTACTTTCATCGTCATCCTCCACCTGCCCGGAGAGGATGATGGGCTCCCCCGTGGCGTAGCCTCCCTTGTCTATCCCCACCATTACTGTGACCTGACCCACGTGACAACAGCATGACGTCAGCGTCTGGGTGCTTTCCCTCATCACCGGTTCCTGTTATCGTAAGTATATAAGAAAGATTTTTTTTTAAATCTTTAAATGTTTTATTTCTCAGAACATCAACATAAAAATATACAAAATATATGTTAAATTTGTTTTGGTGTAAATAAACAATGTTACTGTTGTACACATTTATAATTTTAACTTTAAAGAGACAGCTAATTCATTTTAAAACGATTATTATCTGAAAATAAATCATTTTATTACGTTACAAGACACAACATGAAAATGAAAACTCGTATTTCTTTAAAATCTTTGAACCGAAAAATTATTTTTAACATTACAAAACACAGAAAAATTTATTGATAAATTTTGATTATTTTGCTTTCTGTTTGCTTTAAGTTTCAAAACCGTTTGAGGTGTAGATATGAAACATCATGAGCATAGTAAAGACATTTGATATTCATTTTCTGAGATTAAGGCTTTGATATAATTATGAGTGGAATCCCTCTCCTCCACCTTGAGATGGTCAAACTAGCTCGTCCTCTTTCAGGATAATGCTTTGATCCTTGCATGTAAATTCAAATTCTTGAATATAATGTTTGGCTTCTCCCAAACATTTAGGGCTCCCTAAGAGAATTGCCTTTGCTATTAATTTCTTAGTATTTTTTATTTAACTTTAAATGTATTATAATTACACTTTCATTTCCATGAGGATGTTCATTACTCAAGGACAATTAGCATAAAAAACACTATATATTTATTAAAAGACTGAAGACTGAACCCTGAAGACAATAGGTACAACCTATTGAATCGTCGAGACAGAGCATGAGTGAACCCTTTTCAGTGTCGATTAACTCTGTCGAAAAATACGTGGTTGAACCGCAAACCTCGAATCTATCATCATCTTGGAAGCCTTCAAAGATTACACTATATTTTTGTTTTGGTTTAAGTTTTAAATTATATCCTTATCCTTTGACGAACTTTCCTTGATCCTTACCAGAATATCATCCACAACATTCAAGTCCAGATCTCTTTTGATGTTGAACTGTCTCTTGACCTTGTGAGCAGGTTTGTCATTCAACCGATGAATCTTGACCCGGACGTTATAGCTGACCTCTCCCGACTGCTTCCGGATGATAGGCGGAAGCAGGGCATCTGGTAGTCGATACTGGAAAGGAAATCTGTGTTCACCGGGTGAGAGTGTCTTGGGACTTTTATCTCCTTGGACTGGAGGAAATGAAATGAATGACACATCCATATAAACATCATTTGCATGATATTTTTTTTGCAGCTTTAAATTAATATTTGATAGCATTTTCCTTTAAAATATTTTAATATTATAAAACGTATTGATATGATCATAAAACGTACACAATTTGTATTTCAATGTTCAAGCAAAGAGACTGCCATTTAGAACTTTAAAATGTAAACTTTACTGACAAAACGAAAATCGAAACGAAATACCACTTTTACCTACGCATTTCTATATCTAAAGAAATATTTTACTCAATGATTTGTTATCTTGTTGCCTCTAGATTACAGGAGTCATTATTTCTATGACTAATATATGGGTAGTATGTTCTATTGTACTTTGTAATAAGATATTATAGTATAGATACCACAATAACATTCTGAGAAAAATTAAACTTTGTCTCAAAGCCAATCTCTTCACTTAGGAATCTTAAACAATTTTATATCTTCTTTTATGAGACATGCACTCAAAAAACTAGTATTGTGTATAATCTATACTGAGTACAGATAAAGACAAATATAAATTTACTCAACTTAAGGTGTGGCGTGCCATATTTACAGTAAAATACAATTTCCAGAATCTTATAACTATAGCATCGTGCTGTAATCACCCGCCAGCGACCTCCATTATACATCTTATTAATTACTTGATGTTGAATTATTGAGCGATTTGGGCCTCGTGTCTGTGTTATCAATGCGACTCTCGTATGAACTCTCACACATATTACCCATTTTCATAATGTAACTAAATTGTTAATAATGATTCTAGTAAATGAAAAGCAGTTTTAGACGTCAAAATCTTTAAAACCAAATACAAGTCCATAACTGCTTTGCATACGAACTTAGAAGCTAAAATATTTTTGTAAATTAGATCATTCTAACTGGCGAATGAAAAGCGAGGCAAAATGTGCATTGAACAAACACTGACCTATTTTTATCTATGTATCATTTCCACAGAGACAAACACTCGACTGGATGAATCTTATATCATTTATTCATGTTTGCGAGCGAAGGCTTCAAGCCCATTACGTACGGCATTGACAGCATAATGGGTATGTTTATCATGTTGGCAAAGCACGGTTTATTATATCGAGCGGACCCACAAGGGGGAGTTCATAAGGAATGCATGAATCTGGCTACCAGAATCCACAGTCATGTAGCATGGAAGCGATGACGTAGCTCTTCAGAGTAGGTAGGGCATGTGTCCCTCTTACATCGAATGGCGAAAATAAAGAAGAAAGTAAGGAAAAGAGAATAATGAGGGGCAAAGCGAATGATAGGAATGGAAGGTAAAAAGAAGATGATTAGACCCCTCCCACACCCTACCCGTAATAGCGGCTGGCCTTGCTATTCTCATTAAAACCACTAAATGAGACCGATAGCCCCCACCCCCACCCACCGCCACCACCATGATACCAGTGTCCCTTCAATGGATGGATACAACCTACGCCACTGTGTAGCATCAATACAATAAACCGATGTAAATAATGAATTATGACGAATAAGAATGTAAAGATTGACTCCACATTACGTTTCATTGGAAATATAAATCTAAGGTTTTAAGAGGTTTCATACTGGTAATCATATTGATATTGGCGGAGACACTGCCTGCAAGAAGCTTTCTTAATTTCACATGTCACTTTTGATTTGATTTTCATTAATCGCCAGAAAAAATGTATTCCTAGAAAGAAAAGGAAAGTGAGGTTTATGAATCCAATGAAGTTTTAAATCATGAATTGGATAGAAATTTGGAGTAGGGGAAATTATTGTCCTTCAAGATTATCCTAAAAAATCTGGATGAGAATAACATGTGGAATGCATACTTCGTATCAAGGGAGTAATTGACATTTTGTTTCCACCTCCGTAGCGTTTTAGTCCAGCGATTGTGATCAATATGACAGAATAGAAACAAACACAAGTGATAATAAAATAATACAAATTAAGATAAAAACAAATTCACTGAAATCACTCAACTGGAAATTCAAATCATGAATTATAAGGAAAGCAAATTGATCAGGATTACAATTTATGAGGTTAAATCGCAGACAACGATGTTGGAAATAGGATGCATACTTCGTGTTAAGAACGTAATTGACATTTTGCAACCACCCCCGAGCATTTTAGCCCAGCGTTTGTGATCAGACTCCCAATCTCTTACGTAAACAGAGGCGAGATTTATGCATTGGGATGACTTCAGGAAAGGGCAGGGGTACTGAAAGGAGACGAGAGGGGAGATGAGAATGGGAGGGGTTAATTGGTTTGGTGATCGATGAATGGTTGTTTTGAAAAACAAAACAAAACATGCACCAATATCTCTCATTAAAAATAAAAAGTTATGCAATATTGAGATATGGCAGTAGTCAGTAAATTTATGTATACAGAAATGTACCTATTAACATCTCATTTATATATTTACAAAATTGTGTTGCCATCCACTCGACAATCCCCCCCCCCTCTCTCTCTCCCTCTCTCTCCCTCTCTCTCTCTTTCCCACTGTGTGTATAATGTATGCACTCTATCTGATTTTGTCCTAAATTGCTCAATTTTAGATTTTTTTTCTCCATCTGTCATATCTATTAATGCTATCGTCTTCCTACATGTACATTATGTGAATGGTTCTGCTACATAAATAAAGAATGACTTTATGATGAAAAATCAATTTATCAAATCTAGCAGATTCTTACGAGAAAAAAAAAATCATTTGCATTATACAAATTATTGATTACTCATTATTAGAGTAAGAAATAGGCATTTTAAGAAGGGAAACGTTTAATAGCGAGCACAAAGACTTTAATGAGCGTATGCTTGGAATCCGAATGCCCTGAGAAAACAAATCCTCAAAAAATATTTGGCTTGTAAAGTTGAATTTTAATAACCCTTTATCAAAACACACACCGTGAGTTTCGATGCTGCCAGTGCAAAACCTCTAGCCTGGAATGCTACCGTAATTGAATAACCAAAATACAATTATGGTTCATGCGGTAGAGCTGTGTTTGCCTAAAATTTAACGACCCGCTTATCAAATTGACTCACACATCCACACAATCGGTCCAATAGTCTTATATCACTGTATATTGCTTTGACCTTAAATCACTCAATGGCTCCCGTCATAAATTAAAATACCTATCGCTTTATCCCACCTTGTATTCAAATCGTTCACCACTATCTATCATTTTCACTTATACTTTACCCCATTATTTGATATAAACTTACATTACACTCTTTAGTCTTTACATGATCTGCAGTTTCAACATGAGTAGCCATTTTATAACGCTCATCTGAGTATAAATTGGCGCCATATACGCGGCGCCTCAGGCCCTGAATAAAACACATGCACGCTTCTTGATCACGTGACGCTCCAGACTTGAGCGGCTTAACGAAGTTGAATGCTGCTTATGTTGCGGTCTGTGCGGATAATTGATACTGTGCCAGTACAATCACTGCTCAAACACCGTCATGATTATTACATCCTTGGTTACAACGCACGTGTCGGGTATACGATCGATGAAATCAAGGCACCGAATTAGCTTATTTGCGTGCCAATAACCTCCGATTAATGCGATTTCACGACATATTTTGGGATTATGTTACAATGATTATTAGATGTATGATATTATTGTTGTGAAGAATTGATTCTTCACATTTTCTTAAGGAATTAAGAGTGTCTATTCCAACAGAGATTGTGTCTTTGGTAAAATATAACTGACTGCACCAATCTCATTAAAAAAATTGGGGGGAGTGAAGATATTGATATTTTCAATTTTGAATTTAAGTTTTAGCACATTTCATTGAACCAAATTTTTTGTTCGCTTCCGTATTAGTAATGGCCTTTGTTATTTCGATTATTTATGAAAATTCATTATTTCTTCATTCTCTCCCCTAGGTTGTAATACTGCATCAAGTCTCCCCTTCTCGTTCTTCAATTATCTGTCCCTATCTATCTACCTTTATATGTATCTATCTATCTCATATCTCATCTCTACCTCCCTTGTATGATAGAAATCAGTTGGACTATCAATTTTCAATTCAGTCAATTTGAATGTTGTTTGGGTTAGGTTGTCACGATTATTGGGGGTTGATGGGTTAAAGAGAACTAAATTTATTTCGAAATTCTATCAGAAAATTTAAAAAGCAGCTAAAAATATCTGCTTTTTAAAGATGATTTGTTTTTATATATCCTATTCCAGGTTTTCCCCTCTCTCTTTCTCTCTCTCTCTCTCTCTCTCTTTCTCTCTACCCCTCCCTCTCCTTCTCTCTCTCTCTCTCTCTCTGTTCATCATACTGCAGGCATTTCATTTTAGAAAAGCACGAAGAGGTTTGTAAGAATGTCTCTTTAGACTCAAGCAAATTGTATATTTTAGTTAATGCTATTTCGTGATATGGGTGGAAGATACAAAATACATTAAGTAAAATTTGACTTTCGTGTATCTCTTATTTATAGATAAGCATTACTCCCGAAGAATATGACCTCCCACTCCAAAACTCGTTCCTCATCATCATAATATGCAGATTATAACAGTTACCTTCGCCGTACAATATCCAACTGTCTTTGAAGAAGTACTCTGTCGAAGCATATGATTTGTCATCTTTTGTCCAGTGAGTTACCGATTTTCCTTTGATTTTGATGTCGATATCTAGCAAAGAAAAATGGTACAACAGGTTATTTGCATTGCAATATAAATAGTCACATGCAAAATCGTCCGCCATGTAGGCTAGCTTACAGGTTACCCAAAAGTACATTACTAGTTATGGTTCATTCACAAATCTTAACCCTAATGTACTGGAAAATCCTCATTGCATTTCTAGTCATCATATGCGGCGATCCGGTATTCAGAAGATAAAATACTAAGATCTTTGATGAAAAAAATTCTATTTTATATGTCATATAGCAAATATCACTTCATTTGCAACATAGGGCCTATACACGTACTGCACCTTGCCAATCTTAATATTTACATTGACCTATCGAATTAACTGACCGTTAACGGAAATAGAAACATTAAGTGAGTAAACGGTGACAGGCGTTTCAAAATTATCGACATTTTTTTCTATTTGACTCCTTTTTCTCGACTGTGATTTTTTTATTTGATAAGCTAACACCTGCCCAATACAAAACGCGACAATGCGAATGCGCGCAAAGTAAATCGATACAATACAAGATGCCGAGTATCTTAAAGATGCTCACCTAAGAAGCTTTTCTTGTGTTGGAGCACGACACGGACGAAACCTTGCATGACATCCCCCGGTCTGAATTCTTCCCCGTCATCGTCCGCGAATACGATGTCCAAGATATCCACTCTTAAAGAATATGTGTTGGGCAACGCCATTTTAGTTCGAAGAAGAAAGCGAGGATATTATTAAACCACCCGTGGGTTTTAAAATCCGTGTGTGTGCATAAAATTAATGTTACCAAGTGTAAACACTGCCGCTCCTGTATACATAATGCGTGTATTAGGTATATCTGTGGCGCTCTCGCATTTAATGCGACAAATAAAAGGTAACAGGCAATCCGACTGGCTAGCGAGCGAACAGTCGCGGCCGGAGTCGCATGTAGAAATCTGTTGCCTGCTTTTTTAGGGGAAAGCGGACGCACACATAAACTACACATCAAATACTATTCCTGTGCTTTTTCGTCGAGTTTGTATTTCGGAAGCTGTTAGCGATGCGATACACGGGCACACACTCTCGTATCCCCGCACAGAGCAGGTGGAATACGATTTAAGGGGGGAAAGAGCTTTGCGAATGGGACCTCATTTCAAATTTATGCGATGTAGGAGCGCGCTCATTTTCTCTCAGTCGTCCTTAAAATGATCTCGGTGAGTGATTGATCGTGGAAAATGCCCTAGAGATCGAAGGATGTTAATGTATGAAAAAGTCAGAGAACATGAGTGGTTCGCTACTTCAATATCTACTCTAGATGAATGGCAGTAACCACGGTGCTTAATTGAGACATGCATGGGTATTAGTTTCTCATTTTGATTAAAAATGAGTAAGATGAGAAGATATCTGAGTATGCCATGTAAAACAGATATGACTATCTTTTATAGAAATTAATCTGGATCCTTTTCAAACATCTAAAAAAAAGAAGTAGAGTTAATAATCTTTTAGAAAGGTGTGTTGTTGAATTTGAGATGAAGGTCTATGAAGTTCATAATCATTATCAAAGTGATGATTACTATAAAGTATAATGACGAAGCTCTAATTTCAATACCTTGTTTTCTTTTTCTTTTTATTCTATGTGCCTCACTCTCTTCCTTTCTCTTGCTATACCCACTCCTTTCATTTTTTTTTTAAATTCCCTATCTCTTCCCTCTCCAACCATCCTCTCACCCCATCACCAACATCTTTCTGTAAACCCTCTTCTTTTCTTCTCCTTTTTTAAAATTCTTCTCTTTTTTTTTTCTTCTTTTTTTTTCTTCTTCTTCTTCTTCTTCTTCTTCTTCTTACCACGATTATGAACTAATGACTACAAGTGATGTGAGGAAGATAAGTGCAATAATGGGATAAGGGCATTAGTTGCCTCGGGACTGCTTTCCCTCTCTCTCTCTCTCTCTCTATCTCTCCCTCTCTCAGTCCCTCTTCCACTCCATAGTCCAATATTTAAGGTCAATAAATTATGTATGGTAACAAAACCAATCAATAAATTGGGCATAAAATTCATATGCAGCGATCGCATGATTCAATTACACACTGTGGTATATGGTTGATCACCCATTACGAAGTTGAAAATATATAAGAAAGAATGAGAATATGCACTTGAATATTTAAACCTCTTTATAATATTTATTAGAAAAGTGGAAAAATTTAAAGATATTTATTTGACACATTGGGCCCGAACCCCATCCAAACTATAGATTTACTGGCGGCTCCATGATGGGTTTAATTGGCATCTGTACAAAGCAGGAAATTATTATTTCAATTCATTTAGATTGCGAAATTGTACATATTTTGTAGATTGTAGGTATGCTCAATTCTGTTTAAAACGTTATTTTTCATTTTCTTTTTTAAGATCAGGAATAAAAGTAATAAACGAATAGGTTTTGTATCATTGCATGTATAAGAGTTTTGTTTGTTCATGTTTAACGAATGTTGTTTAAAAGAAAGCTTTGGCAATCTGTTTTATAAAATGTATCAAGTTCCAAAAAAAATGAAGCTGTAATTAGTAATTTTAAAAAATGTATTAAAATCATTTCAAAATGAGTCCACAATATTATGACCAACAATCTTTGTTTTTAACAGTTTCAGTTTTCAGTTTCTGTTTCTGTTTAGTTTATTTCATCACATTCACGTTCATTAGTCATGAACACTAAATGATAAGAATGATAAATTATTTTTGTAATAGGTGTAAAACTACATACAGAAATAATTTTATGAAGCCATGAAAGTAATAACAGCCCGGTTAGCTCAGTCGGTAGAGCATGGGACTCTTAATCCCAGGGTCGTGGGTTCGAGCCCCACATTGGGCGTCCTTTTTTTAGCGCTTAGAGACTTTTTTAGTATTATTATTATTATTATTATTATTATTATTATTATTATTTTTATTATTATTATAATTATCATTATTATTATTATTATTATTATTATTATTATTATTATACAATCGAAATTACATACGGTGATATAAATCTCATTGCATTGTATTTACGCTGAAATTTGACAAATATATTTGCAGTGAAATATGAGGGAATCCAGTACGAATCTGAGCTTTTAAATTGTAGATTCCCTTATATATAAGAGTAGTCTGTTGTGCACGTAAATTATATTCGATTAAAAAAATATATTAAAAAAAAAGAAACGAGAGAGACGAAATAAGATGAAGAACTAATAAAAAAAGAGTTGTGAGTTTAGACATAAATGATTCCAGGTTGAATTATAGAGTTTACATGAGTAAAAGAGTGGGGCTTAAATCCAACAACATTAAAGGGATGTAGCAAGCTTTCTTGTTAATGATGCTATGTTCATCTAACTGTGGTGTGTTGGTTCCTGCCCCACTATTTTCACTGTCGTTCCAGATAATGTTCCAGCTACAGAAGACACCGTGATTATCCCAAATCCTTGGATGCTACCAACTCCGTTTTGTTGACTGTAGAGGGCGGAGAAATAAGAGAAATGATTGGGAAGATAAATGTAAAGATACTCAGTCATTTGATATGAAGAATTCTGTGGTTATATTTTAAAAGATGTTTTATTATCAGCATAGTTTTTGCTCCAAAGTCCTTTTATAAAAGGACTTATACATATATTTAAATCTTTTATATATTATAAAAGACAAATAGTTGTGATGTACTAAGGGAAAAAATTACAACAAGTTTTGAAAGAAAGTGCTTCCATTTTCCTACAATTCTTAATGCGTCCTTTGACAATTCCTCTGGAAAAGCCGTTATATAATTCTTATTACCCTTAGTATTACTATTAGTATTACTATCATCATAATCATCGGGTGCTTGGAGCTTAGAGGATTGTCTCGACAAGCGGACTGAAACTACTGCACCAAGCAATAAACAAAATACAAAGAAAACACCAGTCTTGCGTTTGGCAAGCTGGAACGTTAGGACCATGTGTCCTGGCATCACAGACGATCTACTTGAGGTTGATGACACCCGCAAAACAGCGATCATCGACCGTGAGCTAAAGAGGCTCAACATTGACATTGCTGCTTTGCAAGAGACAAGACTCTCTTCAGATGGTAGTATTAGAGAGGAAGACTACACTATATTTTGGCAGGGCAGAGAACTGCAGGAAAGGCGACAGCATGGTGTTGGATTTGCAGTAAGGAACTCCTTACTCTCCTCAATTGAACCACCAAGCAGAGGCACAGAACGCATCCTCTCACTTCGACTGCAAACCGCCTCAGGTCCAGTGAACATCCTGAGCTGTTACGCACCAACCTTCTGCAGCTCTGTGGAGACTAAGGATCAATTCTATGAGCACCTGGACTCTGTCATTGCGAACATTCCTGCCAACGAGAACCTATTCCTACTAGGAGATTTCAATGCACGGGTGGGCACGGATCATGACTCCTGGCCCAAATGCATCGGACACTTCGGCATTGGAAAACTGAACGAAAATGGTCAAAGATTGCTAGAAGTCTGCTCCTATCACGACCTATGCATTACGAACACATTCTTCTCCACAAAACCATGCCACAAGGTATCCTGGAGACATCCTAGGTCTCATCACTGGCACCAGCTTGACCTTGTTATTACACGAACTTCATCCTTAAACAGCGTCCAAGTCACCCGTAGTTACCACAGCGCTGATTGTGACACAGACCATTCACTGATTGCCAGCAGGGTGCGCCTTCAGCCCAGGCGAACACATCGCTCAAAGCAGAAAGGTCGCCCCCGCATAAACACTGCCAAGATATCGAATCCTGACTTGCATGATCTCTTCGCCGATTTCATCGAACAGGCCCTCCAGGACTGTCCTTCTACTAGTGCTGAAGAGAGATGGAATCACATTCGCGATGCTATCCATCACTCAGCCATGAAAATATATGGCAAAAGAGAAAAGCAAAACCCAGACTGGTTTGTAGCTGGAATCGCAGAATTGGAGCCTGTCATCGAAGCAAAGCGAGCAGCACTCGCTAACTACAAGAGTGATCCATCTGTGAAGACACTCACAGCTCTACGAACAGCAAGGATGGATGCCAAACGGGTTGCTAGACGCTGTGCCAACGGTTACTGGTTGAGCCTTTGCCAGAGCATCCAACTGGCTGCAGATAACGGCAACACCCAGGGTATGTACGCAGGCATAAAAAAGGTCTTTGGACCAACCATCAAGAAGACATTACAACTCAAAGCATCCACAGGAGAGGTTATCACAGACAAAGAGCTTCAAATGGAAAGATGGATTGAGCACTATCAAGAGCTGTACTCACGGGAGATTGAGGTCAATGAAGCTACCATTGAGAGTATTGAAAGCCTACCTGTCATGGAAGATCTTGATAGTGAACCCTCCATAGAAGAGCTGAAAAAGGCTGTGAACTCCCTTTCCTCGGGTAAGGCCCCAGGAAAAGATGGCATACCCTCGGACATAATCAAAGTCGGAAAGGACACAGGTCTTCTACGCCATCTCTATGAGCTTCTCTGCCAATGCTGGAAAGAGGGAACGATTCCACATGATATGCGTGATGCTAACATCATTACCTTGTACAAGAACAAAGGGGATCGCAGTGAGTGCAATAACTATCGTGGAATATCCCTCCTAAGCACTGTTGGGAAGACGTTTGCCCGTGTGATCCTGAGCAGACTGCAAACGCTTGCAGCCCGTGTGTACCCAGAATCGCAGTGTGGTTTTCGGGCTGGAAAATCAACAATCGATATGATATTCTCCATTCGACAACTGCAGGAGAAAAGTCGGGAGCAGAGACAGCCACTGTACATTGCCTTCATCGATCTTACAAAGGCCTTTGACCTAGTCAGCAGAAAGATCCTCTTCAATCTGCTACAGAAGATAGGATGTCCACCTACACTGCTAAGGTTGATTGTATCCTTCCATGACGATATGCAGGGCACCATCCAGTATGACGGCTCTACATCGGCCCCCTTCCCAATCAAGAACGGAGTGAAGCAGGGATGTGTGCTTGCTCCCACGCTCTTTGGGATCTTCTTCTCTGTGCTGCTATCACACGCTTTCAGGTCATCTCAAGACGGCGTGTACATACACACACGAAGCGATGGAAAACTGTTTAATCTTGCACGACTTCGGGCGAAGACGAAAGTGAGGAGCATCCTGATTAGAGAGATGCTATTTGCAGATGATGCGGCTTTGGCATCCCAGTCTGAGGAAGCTCTACAGAGGCTGATTAACTGTTTTTCAGAAGCATGTGCAGACTTTGGCCTGACCATCAGCCTAAAGAAAACAAACATCATGGGCCAGGATGTACGCAGCGTTCCCGATATCTCCATTGGAAACTACACCCTCCAAGTGGTTGAAAACTTCACCTACCTCGGCTCCGCGATATCCAGCAGCCTCTCCCTCGATCCCGAGCTCAACGTACGTATTGGCAAGGCAGCAACCATGATGGCTAGACTTTCAAAGCGTGCCTGGAAGAACACTTTACTAACTACCAACACAAAAATGAAGATCTACCAGGCCTGTGTGCTCAGCACTCTCCTGTATGGCAGTGAGTCGTGGACCCTGTATGCACGTCAGGAGCGCCGTTTGAACGTTTTCCATCTCCGCTGCTTGAGGCGAATCCTAGGCATCAAATGGCAGGACCACATTCCAAACAAGGATGTCCTCAAGAAAGGAGGCATGATGACCATCTATGCTCTTCTATCACAACGACGACTGAGATGGCTTGGTCATGTCAGCCGAATGGAAGACGGCCGCATTCCAAAAGACATAATGTATGGAAAGTTAGCGACCGGGACCAGGGCTGTTGGAAGACCTGTCCTTCGCTTCAAGGATGTGTGCAAGAGGGATATGAAGGCCAGTGAAATCAACCCTACAAACTGGGAAGCATATGCCTCAGACCGTCCTGAATGGAGACGCGTTGTAAAGACGGGTGTACAGAGGAGTGAGCAGAGGAGAGTAGAACAGTGGGAGGAGAAAAGACAACAACAACAACAACAAAGACAACAGCTAGCTACGGCTCCAACAGCACAGCCACAAACGACTTTTATTTGCAGCAACTGCAACAGGACCTGTCTCTCTAGGATTGGACTGTTCAGTCACAGCAGGAGCTGCACACCAAGAAACTGACAACTATATAGCGCAATATTCTATTGTCTTTCGAGACAGACAGATGCCGAAGAAGAATTATTATTATCATTATTATTGTTGTTATCATTGTTGTTGTTACTATTTTATTTGATTTATGTGAAATATTATCCTAAATTCTTTGAAGGATTTTTCGTTAGCTCGTACTTTTCCGAATATTACCAGGATTCGTTCCTGGAATGGTGTCAGTCAAAAAAAGAAATTAAAGATTAGTATTAAATGTTGTGTACTACAATGTATTAGTATTGAAATACGCTTACCTTGGAATAACATTCGACGTCATTCGATTGTATTCAAAGATAACATTTTAACGAACTGATTCCTTCACAATGATGTTTCGTACAGAAGGATTATTGTATAATGATTCGGTAAACACACACTAATTCATTTTGCAGCAATAAAATTATTGTTGTTTTTTTTCTTCTCACAAATGCGCCTTGAGCATTTCATATCATGTGAATTTAGCGCCTTACCAATCTAAATTTTATATTATTATTATTATTATCATTATCAGTACATATTTCTTCACTTTTCAAGAAAAAACACTATCTTTGTTTCCTTTTGCATGGATCATCCAGAGAGGCAGAGATAGACACCGGGAGACAGAAACAGACGGACAGGGGGTATGTAGGTCAGGAGGGGAACATAATATAATATAAAGTAAGAGCGAGAGAGAGAGAGAGAGAGAGAGAGAGCGAGGATGATGCAAAAGAGACAAGGAAGAAAAAAACAACATATAGTTAAGTAAGCAGAGACTGTGGCGTATATATATATATATATATATATCCCTGTCGTAATGGAGAAAATGGTATGGAGTTAAAGAACCCTAGTTACATTCATTACATGAGGTGTCGAAGTTGAGTGGTCTGATCACTTGACTGGAAGTGTAAAGGTCGAGGGTTCGAGGTTCGAGCGCGCACACGCACACAAAAAGAAGTTTATTTTTAAATAAACGCCTGATGTTCTAATATAAACACTTTTGAAACATTTTTGACAAACGACACTGTATAAGAAAAAGTAAAGTTTTCTCCTCACTTTGAAATAATAAACGTATGATTTACTCCTTAATCAACATAATAGATACGATTTCATAAAAAAAGGTAGCTAAATCGGTATTAATACTGCTCTGCCTGCGAGCCTTGTAATTATTTAATTACTCCAGCAATTGCCAGGTACTTGTTTAGATCTGAATGGAGAGAGATATATGTGCCAAAATAATAAAAGTGCCGGGCTGTGATTCGAACCTTCAACCTTTGTATTGAGAGTCAAGTAAATAAACTACTATTAGCCTCTTTACTCTTCTTTTTTTTTTAAATTTCTTTTAATACACGTTCCCTCCCAGTATTCCTCTGTATACGTGTATCTATCTTCCTGCCCATCTCCTCCCTCCCTCGATCTTGCTTCTCCCCTCTCTATCTATATCTCTCTTTTATTCCATCTCTCTCTCTCTTGCTTCTCCCGCCTTTCTCTCTTTCCCTTTTTTCTTTCTCTCTCCATTCAGATCTAAACAAGTATCTCTCCCCCTCCCTCTCCCTTGATTCTCGCCCCTCCCATCTCATTCTCTCTCTCTCCCTCTTCCAGCTTCCCCTCCCCTCTCCTTCTCTCTCTCTCCCCCTCTTGCTTCCCCTTCGCCGTCTCTCTCCCTCTCTTTCCCTTTAAAGGTAAAGACCAGTATTGGAAACGCCCCAATTTCAAAAAATGAAATGGAAGCTCTCATTACCAATCATGTGAAAGAATATGTTTTGATTAATACATGATGATAAAAAAATCGCCAGGAAACCGCCTACTAATTCATATATTTGGTAAATTTGTTTCTCTCATGGTCTGTGAGAGATATAGGGTAGTCCCATATACATCTTTCTGTGTATAGTGCTTGTAAATTTACGAAGAATGGGCCAAATTTCTTATCATTTTGATGATTCCAGAACCTTGCAGATGCTAGATGCTAGATGATCAACCTTTTATGATCGATTCCACAATGTTTCTTTCACAATGCAATCGCATGACCATAACTGGTCTTTACCTTTAACATTACTATTTATTTCTGTCTTACATACTCACTCTAGAGATTGCATTATTTTCCCCATCTATAAGTGTATATTTACACATTATTTTTTGTATTTGTTATCACATTATAAATTGGTTGGTGGACAGTTCATTAATCTCCTCTCACCACCATTCTGGGGGATTTTTATTCCTGTATCCTGTATCTTTTGACATCATTCATTATCTGATTTTCTCAATTGCTATTTGTTATACACCTAAATACATGCTTGTTATGTTGCAGATCTTAAAGAGCTTCCATAAAAATCAAAACAATCACGAGATTAGTATAAAATATTATAGATTATGAAACCCTTCCAAATCCAGGACTTTTATTCAAACAATTATTTATGAATACACGTATCTAATTTCCACGGATTTCAAAATACTTTACCAAATCTGTACATAACTAGATCCATCCTATATACATTTGTATCATATGGCAAACAAATTCAATATTAATCTTTCATAACTTATAGACCCTGCTAAGTATTAGAATGTGAGAAATGTAGAAAAGTAAATAATGAAAAGAACATTTGTAAGTACTATTTCAGTGTTGTAAAGCTCAATCCTATATAATGCAAAGAGAAATTCAAAATAAAGTTTGCATTTTCAAGAACTGCTTTTGAGCCACATTGGATTGGCTAAGTGATTTTTGTGTTACACCTCAATACTTTAGAGATGTAGAGTATTTTCATATTTTTGCTTCTTAATTCACTAATCCATACATGATTATTGATTTTTCAATGTATTGAGTTTTGGAGACAAATCACTCTCAGCCTTTTTTCTGTCATTTCCATTGCTAGAAGCCTTATACATTTTAAATGAAAACATGAGGTCAACAACAAAATTTATCCTATTCAAGATTTGTATTCAAATACACAGAATGACTTTAGGACATGGGTTACAGTATAGAGTTGAATACAATCACATATCCACTATTAAGGTATTACAGACTCTTTTCTGGATCTCTTTTATTAAAATGACAGGTTAAAGGATATTAGTGTACAGAGTGCATCTCAAAAAAGTACAACCTTTGAAAATATCCTCCAAATTTTAATTTTGTGATATCTGCATAATTTTTCTCAAAAGTATGACATTATTATGGGTGAGGGTCCACTTAATTCAATAGCACTACACATATTGACAGTATTTACACTTGAGTGAGAACTGGCTTGGTTTGCGTGGAAATCCTGCCATCTTGAATTAGACAGAAGTGCATAATTATCAGCCATCGATTGCAGTTGTTCTTTTAACTATAAATAATTGATTTGACCCATCAGTTGATCTCTGAACTTACATCTGCAGCCATGCTCCCTTTTCCCCTCCACACTCACAAACACATAAGCACATTACACGTTATTGTCTTTCCTGCACTGAATTTCTATTGTTGACTTCAGTATTTTAACAAAATGTAATGCAGTACAGAAGATATAGATACAATTTTCAAGAGAATTATTTATGAAATTATAATTTTGGAGGATATTTTCAAAGTAAGTAGTCCTACTTTTTTTATACGCACTGTATATGTTATTAATTGTTTATAAGCACGTAATCTATTTGTTTTATGAAGTATTTTATTCAAAATCAATGGTTATGCCTCAGGATACTTTGATCCAACAAGAAATCAAAGTCAACGATGTGGTAAAGGAAAAAACAATCATGATTCTATTCTCACTGCTTGTTGAATAAGTCAATAATAAAAATATTTTAAAGGTGACAATTAAAAAAAATCAACTTATGACAGAAATGGCTGAAATCTTCCAAGTTAAGTTTTATAAGGCAAGAATTACTAAGACATGTAGATCTATTTTAATATGTCTGTTCATGATGTTGAATGTTCTTCCATATTCTATATCTCTATATCTTGGCTGTCATTAAAACTCCATCTCCTAGATGTCTCTAATTTGGAGGTCCTCCCAATTCAATCAGTCTACATCATATCTGATTAAATTTCTCCTTTATCCAGATCCTATAATAGTCTCTAACTCAACCTCTTCTCTTCTCTTCAGATCCCATGAAACCTTTGAAGCAGTACCAATAACATTGTCATCCTACATTCAATTTTAATCTATGAAATGCCAACTAGGCTGTTTTCAACTGTCTTCTGTCAGCTTCACTCAGTTTATCACATGTGATGTCTGTGTTCAGTGAAGATAATTCTACTTGAATTTATATAAAAATACCTCTTGGACAACATCACATCATCAACATGCGAGTATACCTCATGTCAAATCAACCATTGCATTCAGTTGAACTCCTCATTTAAAGGGGGTGTAGCATGGCGAGACTATGTGTCTTTCCCGTGGCCTGACTTAGGGCCAATCAGGTATAATGCGACTACGGACGACACGACCGCAGTATTCACGTGCGTGCAACATACGCGAAACTGAAGCATGAGGAGAACTTTGGTCTGTTTCGCAACGCAAGCGCGTGCTGACCGTTAATCAAGTTCATTTGTTTACGTGCAGTTGTCCAAAAGAAGTCGTAGATGGCGTTAACAAGTATTTGCCATGCTACACCCCCTTTAAGATGCAGTTAGCACAACACTGGAATGAAGAGTCCAAGAACAAACTCATGATGATCTCTTGTCCATGGACCTTTAGAAGAATCCATACTTGGCATTTTGACTCTTTCTGGTCGCGCGATTGTCAGCCCACTGATTCTTTAGCTCCAGTTCTCTCTCCTTGGCCTGAATAATAAAAGACATTTTAAGAAATGAGATGTCAATATAATAGTCAAATTCATAATTATAATACACGGCTTTCCAACAAATTTCATTTATGGTCTGTTAAGTCTAGTTATGAAGCTAAATCAATGAGTTATCTCGGTCCTAAACAGTGGAATATGATTCCCCAAGTAATAACAAAATCACAATTCATATCTTCCTTTAGAAAACAATATAAAATCTTACTACTAAATAATTATTAATCGACACAGTTGTTGATTTTTTTTCTTTCTAATTTTATATCTGAACCCTCTTTCATTGTTATCTTGTTCAGTTTTTTTCCTTTCTTTTTCCCCTTTATATATTGTTTTTCTTCTCTCTACTTTACTTTCTCTTGTCTTATAGATAGTTGAAGTGTTTGTACTTTGCTTATTTTACTTAATTTATTGTTGTGTGCTTATAATATGTTATATTTCTTTTTGTATTGTTTTTCATTCTTTAATGGGCGATCCAACTTCACAGGTTTGTGCAACCTTCGTGGAAAGCCCCGCATATAACCTTTGTAAACATAGTTAAAATGTACTGTTACTTTGTATATTTTGATTTTTATATTGCGAAATAAAATTGAATTGAATTGAATTGAATTGAAAGCATGCTGAGGAACCACATGCCATTTTACCTGATGAAAAATGAGATCGATTAATTTGTCTGAAGAATTTTTCGCAAAAAAAAAAAAATATTGCTTATGAATATTATGTTTCTTTAATCAATACAGCACCCTTGCATTTTGATGATTTGACTCAAAGTTGATGAATAAGAAATCTATTCAAGAGAAACCTCATTGTTAGCTCAGATAAAACAAAAAGGTGAATGTTAGCTATACAGTCTTTAAAAAAAAAAGTTTACATTTAATGTAACAATGAAAAATGTAATCGCAGCTAGCCCCAGCATATTGCAGACAGAGAGATTTACAACAATGCATTTTTTTTGCAATATCCTTGACAAATGGAAGAATATTATTTAAAAAAACACAATCTTCATTATCAAACATACTGATAGGAATAACTCCTTTCACGCAAAGGTTACTAGTAACTTGTTAACTGAATTTATCTGACATAATTCATGCTATACCTCTCAGGATTGTCAACATTTGCAATGTCAACCTACAAAACATTTAATTCATGTCTTCTTGTGAAAGGTTGCCAGTAACAGCAGAAATTACTGATTATAACTTTTAGCCAAAAGGACCTGCTATTACTTATCTGACAATTACATTTCATCAAAAAGACTTACCTGGCGAGCTAGGTATGTGATCTGATGTTTCCTCTTCTGTTGGGAGGTAGGCAGTTGCTCCTTTTTCTAGAATGTAAAATGAGAGAAGAAATTACAATGTGTGTTGTTAATCTTCTCAAGAACCAGGGAGATGTGACAGCCTGGCACCTTTCTGGCAGAATTGTTAAAACAAGCAGGTGAGAAGCCATTTTTAATAAATCATTGAAGTATTTTGTGACTCTTGATTTCATATTACTCTCCACTGTCTCTGTCATTATGATAACATAAATGGAAATGGTGATAGTAGATCAGGGGTATTAAGTACTTAGTTATTTTCCAAAGTTTGCTTTCTTTTCCCAATTGGAAACATACTGGAAACTTTCCAGGATATTCCATCACTTTGGAAAAATTAAAAGGAGGTTTTGCACTTTGTATCTAGTGAAAATGTGCTTATAAATGTAATATATTATATTATTACTAAGTTTCTTCATACATGAGTATCTTCATAAACTATCTGCTTAACATTTATATCAAAGTAATGTGACTCCATGATGAATGGCTCGGATCGTTAAAATTCAACATTATCAAATTTCCTTTGTCATTTACTGATTCAAAACTGACAAAATAAAAGCAACATGTTTTTTTTAAAACAAATGTCTTCAACAGAAGAAATAATAACAAAGAATTTATTTCTGAAATTGTAAGTTTTTGTTTGAGAAGAAACAACTATATTTAATACATACCAATTTTACTCTGGACTCTTTCTCTTCTGTCATAGATTTAACCATATTCTGTAGACTAGCTGTAGGTCCTATCTGATCATCAGCATTGATGTCGATGAATTGGATTTCTTCTCTCCCGCGATTATTCTTACCGACCATTTTGGCAAACTGTAATATTGGAATAGATAAATAATATTATCAGCATTACTTTCACTGGGCATTAACTAATACAAGAGACAAAAAATAGCATTTTTGTTTTAAACTATGTGATAAACGAAACCAAAGTAACATATTGTTGGGCTCGACACTCTAGGTGCCTGGGACACATGGATGCCAAATATCTAGGTCCGGAAGGCTCGTAATACCCCAATTTTAATTTCCATACTCACATGATCAAAACAATTCTGAATAAATTTGATTTCCCAATTTCACATCTTAATCTCACTGCTACACCATCTCTTCCAAAATAAGCTAATCAGACATTTATAGGGCTTTAGAAAGATCAAGTTGGTCTTCATAAATATACTGATAAACAAAAACCTGAAGATATAAGAATTGACGAACCCCTTCATCTTGGAGGACTGACTGACTTGAGCCCTGAGCGCTGGTTCCGCTCTCTCCATACCCTGTATCACCACCCTCTTGATAGGGTTGATTGTAGTACTGCATAGCCTCTTGACTATCCAATCCTGTTTGGTTATATGATCCATATGGCATGCTTCCATCATTAGGTTGTGCATAGTTTGATCCTTGATGAGATTGTACATTGTATTGAGGATTGGACAGTGCATGAGGGTTGTACCTCGGTACAGAGAATCCTACATTGTTTGACTGTGATGGGTTAAAAACAAGTGGCTGATCCTGTTCAGTGGGTATCACCGGTTCCACGACCCCCGGATCTGCCGCACAAGTGATCCTACTTGTTCCAATATCAGATTCAGTGATAGATGCATCGATCCTTGGTTTGCTAAATGCAAGGGGTTTACTTTGCACACCTGTTGCAGATTCTTCTGTAGTTCTTTCCTTTACATGATCACTTTCTCCCATCGAGAAGAAATTGACTCCACCACCACCATCATCCTCTTCGTCGTCTTCATCGCTATTGTAACCCATCACCAAGGGATTACCACTTGTAGGTTTACTCTTAATGACAGTACTTGCACTAGGATGGGTCGGCTTTACAGGTTGCACTGGAGCCAGAGGATTCCCTGGAGGCTTTCCTGGAGGCTTGGCAGGAGCTGCAGCAGGTTTCTTGGTCAGCGTGTAGGGGATGAGGGGACGTTGTGCTTCCCTTCTACTTGCTATTCTGGGTTTGGGCAGCATTGCAAACAGCCCAACTCCCTAATACAAGGTCAATACAGAACAAAACAGGTTAAATAGGAATAATCAAACTTCTAATGACAGATATAAATGGCAGTTGTGAAGCAATTCTACATTGTGTCATCATGACTAGGCGTTGTGGCGTGTGCCTGTAATCCAGCTAAAAGTGGAAGTTACAAACTGATTCAGCTGAGGACGCAGGTTCGACACTGAGTCACGTCTTTCGGATGGTGACGTTTAAAAGTCAGTTCCCAGACGTAAATAATCAGATCTGATTGATACACGTCTGTAAAAACCCAATACACACACACACACAATAAAACATTGTAAATTGCAACAAGAAAAAGTTGTATTTTTTTAAATTGCAATAATGTTTGATCCTGGGTATCATCTTCCAGATGGTGATATTGATAGACAATCTCCAGACAAGATCTAATTAATACACATCTGTTAAAAGCTAAAAGCAATTTTAATATACACACCAAACAAAAATGTGTATTTCTATGCAGGAGTTGTGGTGCATTTTCAAAAGGGCAAGGGCAAATTGAAAAATGGGCAAAATAATTACTTCTTTATAAAGAGAATTTGAGGTGTTTGAAAACCTCGAAACATATGGTGATATTGATATTGATCCATCTCTTACGTATGTTAGCCATCGGAAAAAATTGCAGTATTGATGGTATATATTTTCACCTCAAATTAAATATTTTGTCATACATTAACTGGATACATTAAAAATCATGTAAAGCAAAGATAGTATTAATGACTATTACCTTGGTACTTTTAGGTCTTTTTGTTTCTGGTTCATCATCATCAGAATTGGGCTGCAAAGTTGACAGGTAGAAATCATTTTAACTGATATTAAATTACATTCTTTTGGACCCCCAAAATGTAACATAATCAGATTTCTTTAATAAACACTTTTCTGGTACAAACCTAGAATTTGAAAGTAAACTTCAGTCAGATGCGAAACTGTATTTTAAAGACCGTCAATACTACTGGGCCAGAAGGGATTAGATCACACAGCAAGGTCACTGACAGGTGGCTATCTTATTAACTCAGCTCTCAACTAACATAAGAAAAAAAGGATCATGGGGGACCAACAGGCACCGATTGGGAAGTTTTCTATATAGAGGGAGCAAGTAGCTACAAGTAGGACAGTGGGGCTTTAAGAACGTTGGATTGCAAGATCATCGGAAAGTTGTATAAAACAATTTAGACTGTATTAACACCTTTTTAACAATTTACAAAAACTTTTCAAATCTCCAAATGTATATTTCCTACCTTAGCTAAATGCTTGAAGGACACAGCAGATCTATACAAGCAACTATACACAGCTTTTCAAAATATGATGTAATTAGCGTTGTTGAATTATATTTAATTATGTTAAATTATTTTCGTTCAATGTACTTACCTTGTTAGGCGCCTTGAGCATCTCTTGGGGTGGATATGTGCGCATTATAAATGTTGTTATTATTATTATTTTCATTAAAAGGAATTACATGTTTTAACTAAATAAGCAGTAATGAATATTCTTCAGACATTTCCACAAGCTGAAGACATTTCAAAGACAAAAGAAAGATGTGCTGAACTTATGATCAAATACAGATCCTAGAATAAGACATAAGACATGATATATCATCTGATCCAGATTTTAAGGCATTTTCAATACTCCAAAAACAATTTTAGTAGAGAATGAATCTTAACCGTTACTGATTTCAAAACCTGTACAATCACCATTTCAAACGTGTAGCTGATTTTTGAACCTGTACAATAAAAATTCAAGCATGTAGCTGATTTTCAAAGCTGTACAATAAAAATGTAAACCTGTCACTGATACATGTACATACATGTTTAAACCCCTTGTGGACCACTTTGCATACATGTACACTACTTACGTCAGGCAGAGCAGGCAGGCTTATTTTCACGGGTTGCTTCTTTTTTGGAGGTGGTAGATTCAGCAGACCCTTAGAGACTGTGCTGTTATTGGTGGATGAACTTGTTGCCACTGGGGCAGGTTTATGTCTAGCTCCAGAAGTTGGTTCTGAAGATATCAATAATTGATGTCAAATACACTCAGCAAAAAAGAAAATAGACACTCATTATTGTTCAGAAGTTTCATATAAACTGTAAATGACATATAAAGAAATATATATATCAAATTAAATAAAAATAGTACTCTACACGTACCAACATCAATCATAATCAAGTATTGAATGTTTGCAAGAGCACATTCATTTAACTGTTTTGACGGTTTGATTACCAAAATTGTGAAAATAGAGCAAGTAGCCAATCCAATGAAAATGAAAGTGTGCATCTGCAAGACATTCTTGTTCAACATTGAAAACAAAGAATTAGAAACAATGAGGATTGACATTTGGGTGTCAACTCCTCAGGACTGCATGTTATATGACAACCATTGTCAAATCTTGCCATTTTTGTCATGTAGCTTGTAAAGATTATAATCACTTAATGAATTTTCAAACCATATAAGTGAACAAATATTTACCAGCTGATTTTTCGGTTGTACTTGCAGTCTTCTTCGGTGGTGGGAGACTTGAAAACAGACTATTTTTACGAGAACCCTCTGCCCCTCTCACATCCGATCCAATGCTGGGTTTAGTATTCATGACTTCCTCCATGGCAGGTGTGCCGACGCCCTTTGGCTTCGGTAGAGCTGCAAACAAAGATGACTTCTTTTGAATCGAAGATGATGGTGTGGGGACGACTTTCGGCTTTGGTAGAGCTGCAAACAAAGATGACTTCTTTGTATCTTGGGTCTTGAGATCCATCTCCTTAGGCTTCGCTGCAACTGGAGGACAGTCTTCTCCATCACTGCTGTCGCTTTCATCACTACTTCCATAATTGACTAGACAAGACATTTTGGAGTTTGATGGGAGAACCTGTGACCAACGTGAAAAGTGAAAAATAAAAAAAAAGACAGATAATTTACTTACGATGCCACTAGAGGTCTATCAATGATATGATTGACTACATTATCTGTTGAAAGTCAGAAGGGCATTAATTAACTCTGTGTCAAAATTAATGAGTAACAGTAATGGAAAATGGCATATAAAAATACCTAATATTGAAATTTTCTTTGAAATTGGGTGCAATATCATTGACAAAATATTGGAAAGTTGAAATATTAACCTGCATAAAACGGTCTGGAAATCTTCATTTCAGGAGAAGATGTCATCAAAATTGTCAGTAAAAGGTGATAGATCTATTGTCTGATTATAATGATATTTTGCCTTGCAAATTAGTAGCTTACCTTTGATTGATCACTTTTTTTGTTGATAAATCACTTGTAAACTCTCATGCACAAATTAAGGACTCACTGTTTATATGACTTGTTCTTCATTCGAGTTGCAGCCCATTCCGATCCGACACCAAATTTTGAGATTGCAAATTTGCAATAAATAATACTAGATCTAGATTAACTTAGATCTATCACCAGAAGAAATCTTCTGTTCTGGCGATGAATTTTCTAGTTGCAGTTGCACCCATATGTAGTGTAAAACATTTTGCTTCCATATAATAATAGTAATAATTTCACATTCCTATTATGTTTTAAAATATGCGCAAACTTTGGACATCCAATCATTGTGATCATATGATTCATATTGATATTAATTATTAGCTCGAATCTAACAACATAATTTTCAGTATGTGGGTCAATATTAATATTATTAAAATCTGTATACAATAAATGAAAGCGAAACGAGGTCAGATTGATCTAAAATACAAACATAGTAAACTTAAATACGTGAATTTAATCTAAATCAACGTTCTCCAATATTTTGTATAGATGAATGTTAAAAACTTACCATTAAAGTATGTTGAAGGAAAAAAATGTGGAGTTCAGTCTTGATGCATTCGCCAAACGGTGTTGCGTGACGTCATACGGTTTCGTAGTCTTCTTTTTTGTTGTTGTAAGATGTTGTAAAATATATCTTTGCACATAGGCCTATGAACCTTTTAGCTGTATTTCTTCCTGATCCCCAGGTGAGTCCGTTTAAGAAATAAAACAAACCTTCCAAACCTTTCAAACAAGGGCGGCGGAGCGACTTCATAAGTTGGGGGGGGGGGGCGCATGCAACAACAAAAAAGGGCATTTTCTAGGAGAAAAAATGAAACGGCACCTTCAAAGGGAAACCTCAAAGTGAAAATATGCATTTTTTAGACATTGGTTAATACCTCCCGGCCCCCCCCCCCCCACTCAGTGTTATTTAGGGTACACATATGCGTGTTCCAACCGACCCCCCCCCCCCCTTTTCAGCAAAAGTCCGGTGTGTAAAGTCAATACGGCTCGACCTTTTTCTTTTGTATACGAGCCTTTTTCCGCACCCCCCCCCCCCTTTTCAGCAAAAGTCCGGTGTGTAAAGTCAATACGGCTCGACCTTTTTCTTTTGTTACGAAAAGGACATTTTGGCAACACGCATGCGGTCATTTTGAAACCTGAGTGGGGGGGCCGGGTAATACCCCTACATTGTGATTACATTATCAGGGATGATTTCAATATCTGTTTCTCTCTTTTACATGGTCCAAGATACAGCTTATAATCATGATAATTTGCGGTGTGACGGTCTGAATATTCATTTGCGAGCGAGCAAATTTTAAAGATTTGTGAGGTTGCAGTGCGAGAAATTGCATCTCATAAAGAGGAAGAAATAATCCTGATGGGGTTTTTAAGCACAATCTTATCATGAAAGAATGTAAAAAAAAATCTTTAATAAGAAACAAAATTATATCACGTTTAAATGTTGTTAGAGCACTTCTTGTACCTGAAAAAGGCAACCACCTGAGATGAATGAGGGCATTTGTGAGAATGGAAAGGGGCACTTATTACCAAGGAAAATGGGCACTTGTCGAACTTGGTAAGGGAAACCTATTAGATTTTAATAAAGTCATTTATCAGAGATGTGAGAAGGGGAAGGGAATTTTATTAAAAAGAAAAGGGTCATTTATCAGAAGGAAAAAAATAATGCACTTATTAGAAAGAAAAAGGGGCACTTATCGGAGTTGAAAAGGGGTACTCATCAAATAGGGGGCAGTTATTACAAAGGAAAAGGGCACTTGTTAAAAAAAAGTGCACCTCTCAGATTTGTATATGGGCAATTTTCATCGGTGAAGGTGGCACTTATAATAATGTAGAACGGGCACTTATTAGAAATAAAGAGGGGCACTTATCTGAAGTAAAAGGGGCTCTTTTCCTATGTAAAAAATGCACTTTAGGGGTACTTCAAATAGTGTGTTGGGGCACTGTTTAAAAATGAAATACACTCAAATTGATTTTTCCTAAATATAAATGATTCAAGTTGGATTTTAGTTGCTAATCCAGGAACGGCCCATTTGCAAACGGACCCGGATATACCAGAAGCACTTGAAGAAGTGAAGTTTGTGAAACAAAAAGACGATCCAATGGCCCCTGCGTACCTACCATGCGATATTTTCTCGATTATACCTTTTTTTAAAGCCCGAAAAGAATAGAGGCTGTAGGGTGACATCAGATATAGGTGGCACAGATCGATCCCTTCAGTTGTTGTCCTTTAGTTACAGCCTCTGGACGTACCCAATATGATTTGCTTGAAACCTTATAAAGATTTGTAATATTGATATTTTGCACGAAATTATTGAAGCTTAAGAAAAATGGGGGCCGACTCAAAATTGTTTCAAAAGAGATTGAGATAACGTGCCCGGGGCAGAGAGATCGAGTGGGGATGTGGGATGCAGGAGCCAAGGAGGGATGGAGGAGGGAGGAGGAGGGAGGAGGAGGGAGGAGGAGGGAGGAGGAGGGAGGAGGAGGGAGGAGGAGGAGGGAGGAGGAGGAGGGATCGAGGTAGGAAAAGAGGGAGGGAGGGAGGAAGGAAGGGGAGGGATTAGGAGGAAGATAGGGACAGGCACGTAGCCATGGGGGGGGGGGGGGACGGGGCACGCGCCCCCAATTTTTTTTCTCCAAGATCGACCGGTTGAACTTTTTAAGACCTTTTTTTTTTTTACCTCGATCGATTACATGTATATGCCCCCCAAAAATCAAACTCTGGCTACGTACCTGGATAGGGATAGTGTCGGAGGGAGTACTATATGAGTGGTCGAGGCGGGTGGGGCCGGAGGGAGTATATACGGAGTCTAGTCTGCTAGGTCAGACAGTATAGGCTGACTAAATCTTAAACTAGCACTAGGCTCGAGAAAAATATTACATATATAAAGAGTTAAAGACCCTGCGCAATATATAATAGGAAACTTATGAAAAGGAATGTTGTTCACAAAAGGGGACCGTGCATATAATACTAGCTGTCTTCTTGGGGGAAATGAAAGAAAGAAATAAAAGATTGCGCGCTGCGGGCGCTCTACGACAAAGTGCATGCAAGATCGTGGCGCTGTGATAATCAACGGAGATGAAGAAACCGTGGGGTAGTGTGTAAGACAGAGGTACGCAAGTTCCCGAAAAGGCCTTCAAAATGGAAAAAAAGAAGCAATCTCATCTGTTTATAGCTACAAAATTAGATCCCCGAGATGATCTTGAAGAGGTATGGTTTTATTGAGCCTCTAGTTCGTTGTCGATATTGAAAAATGTGATATTAAAGTGTGTCTGTCATGTATTTTGCGATTCAATAAGCTACATGATATATGTACACGGGTGGCTGTTTTGGGGATGTATGTTGTGTGTGTGTCTACGTCTGTGTGTACGTGTTGACAGTGTAGTGTCCATGGTCTTGTGTGTGTATTGTGAGTGCATAAATCATTTGCAAACTAGACTGGCTTCCAGACTGAAAGATTTCTGTGTCAATGATTTCATTTGTTTTTCTTCATATGATATTCTCTAAATTACTTGCTTTTGAATACTAAAAGTAAAACAGCAAACTGTTAAGTCACATCTCTCTGTCCTGGATTTTAGAAAGACATTTGAGTTTTTTTCATTTTGATTTGCTCATATTAATTGGCAGATTTGAAAGAGACAGAGAGAAGAATTAAGAAATAAGTTGAATGACAGTCATTACATTAGCCCATATTGATGAAGGTATACATTGTCAGCCTGCCAAATACTGAAACAAGACTCTGTAGGAGTCTGAGAAAATGAGAATATTTAATCTGTTGAATGTAAAAAAATAGATAATTCATTTGATTGATAACCTGGGAATTGGAAAACTCACAATGTTTTGCATTGAACTCTATGCACATTTTTGGGGGCTCTTATGCCCCGTGTATTTTTTCCCCCCCGGAAACTCAAATCCAGGTAATGTTATTCTCATGCTTTGATTTTGAGCTTGGTACGTGTGATAGTTACTAGACCCTAATACTATTTTTAGTAGTTTGGGATTTTTTTAAGTCGGAGAGGAAACAAACAGTATAATTGTGTAAAATAGTGTAGATGAATTAAAGCTAAATGCTTCATCATAATTCATGAAAAAAAAAATTTAATTTATATTTACCTATAAGACCGATACCTGAGTAATAACGCCCCCTCCCCCTGACAAAATACCTAGATGTACCACCAAATCAAGATAATCCCTGGCATTCCCCCATATTACATCAGGCTCAGAGTTATTAAATTGAGGTTAGACATGTGGGGAGGGGAGGTGGTATAGTTGTCTTGGGATAGTCATCAATGGGTATAGTTATACCCCAAGGATGTTCGGTTTGCCTAATGGCCTTAGTGGGTCATTCTTTTTAATTTGTAATATATTCATTAATAGGCCTAAACTTAATTTTCTTCAGCCCTAAAATTTGTGAGCTCCAGTTCTGTGAAGAAGAAAAAAATATTTAGGGGGCCCCCATATCCAATTTTGTGGTTAGTTTGGGAAAGAAGTAGTGCCGCTAGGAGAAAGTGGCCACTCGTAGTCGTGCAGCAATTGTTTCGGGGGCGATTTTGGAACAATTTCCTTTTTTAAAGTCGCCCCCACAATCACATTTTTTGCCTGTTTCAAGGGCTCTTTTTCGTATATCCTGGGCACTTTCGCCTACACTATCTGTAGGATAGGTGCAACACAGCTTTATACAATTGCAAAAGGTATCAAATTATTTAACAAGCATAACAAGCAGAGACATTATAGAGAGCAAGCAAACAAGAAGAATATTATCAGTTATGAGTCTTATGACACTGATTTGCAAGATTGTAATAACAATCCATCACTGAATTGTGACTCATTTTGTATTTTTTTTTTTTCTTCAGAGAATGGAACGAGGCCATGATGTCATATCAAAGGCAACAGCGGGACTCTCTCAAAAGGAAACTCATGATGCTCTAACAGCTATGGTAATTCAATGAAATACAATTAACTCTGCAGAAGTCAAAACTATTGGGACTGCAAAAAAAAATGGTTTGACTTATGCAAAACTTGATCTAGCAAATGTAAATATATGTTTTGCATAGGTTGGTCAAAAAATGATTATTAGACTTAGGAAAGTTTAACTTGTGTGACTTTGATGTGTAATCAGCTAGCTGTATTTGGCTTTTACACATTTCCATCATTCATGATAATCGAATGCTGATTAAATCTTTTGTGGTTGGTCACTTACTAGAAATAGCACAACATATCTTATCACAAATTATATGACTGTACATATTAAGTTATTCACATAGTTCAGCATTAAATCACAAGTAGTGTGACAGTTTGAATGTGTAAATTGATATTGAAGTCTTTTAAATGATACGAAAAGTCTGTGGAAGAAGAATGTTGTATCGTTTCTTCCCCCCATTCTAGATAATTGGAAGCGTCTGATCCTTATATTAACAGTAATAAATGTATCCAAGTAATTTTTGAATTTCCCTACTTTTTTTTCTTTCTTGAATGAACAGGTAAGCAAAGGAACTCAACAACATGAAGAAGTAACTTTGGGTCTGATGTTCACCATTCTTACTCAAACATCAGCAGCTCAGAAAGTAAGTAAAAGAATTGTCCTGACTATTGTGTCAATTACACAAATTGTTTTCATGGCGTTTATTGATAAGGGTAGATGCTGGAATAATTTTAAGTTTGGTATGATAAGTTTTATTTATCTCAGCCGGTTATTACAACTTCTTCCGTTGCATTGTTCAAAATCATAATAATTGATACTGACTGGTACATGGAAATTAATGGACATATCTCCATTACTGTCAGGTGTACAGAGACTTGCAGTTGATCACAAGAGATGGCATAGCTATTGTGTGGTGTAGGCTGAATCAGTTTTGATAACTCTTTTTTATCTCAGACAGTTTTTTGCAACTACTTCTGTTGCATTGTCCAAAAAGCATAATATTTGATTTTGACTGACTGAATTAATGGACACATTGTGGAAGTGTCATAGCCGAGTGGTTTAAGCACTGGACTTGAAATTCAGATGATCGTGGTTCAATCCCTGACACGGCACTAATGTCCTTTGGTAAGGCATTAACCTGGATTTGCCACTCGATACCCATGAGAGAAATGGAGACTTGGTAGGATGATGAAAGCATTTGTGTGATTAATTGCCTATGCCCTCATGGTGACCATATGGTAGGAATACTCCCCAGACAGTGGAGATCCAATGACAGGGGTAATAATATCTGTAACGGGCTTAGAGACAGTATTCCGTATTATGCGCTCTATAAATCTAGATTATTATTATTATTACCTCAATTACTTTCAGGTGTACAGAGACTTGCAGTTGCTCACAAGAGACGGCATGGCTATCGTGTGGAACAGACTGAATCAGATCATTGCTGAAAGATACACAAAGCTGCTTGAAAATGTCAGAACACAGGTGAGTTGCCTATACAGTGAAACCTGTCTGTAAAGACCACCCAAGGGAGACGAGAACATTGGTCTTCATAGGCAGGTAGTCTTTATGTACAGGTTCCTACAGTACATGTTGCAATGAGAACCCATTTTCAAGGGAAACAAAAAGCGTGGTCTTTTGTAGACAAGTGGTTTTTCTATACAGGTGGTCGCTAAAAAGGGTTTGACTGTATTTTGTCAAGGAGTTCCTCTGTTTTCTTCACATTATTCAGGTAAATTCTGTTCAAGAGGTTGGGAAAATTGAGGTTAATACATTGCATTCTGGTCACAGGAAACATTTATCAGCAGTAGTTATTTTTGTATTCAATGGATTATTTCCTTGACAATGACAGCAGTTTGTGGATTATGGGTCAATCCTTTTTTTTAAAGAAACAATTCACAATAATTACTTATGTGCTCAACTTTAAACTTTTTTCCAGTTAGGTGATAGAGTGCAAGATTAGATCTGTTGTATCTCTTTTTTTTTGTTAATGAAAGAAATTTATAGAAAATTTAAAGCCCTGGATATGATTTTTCAAGAAGAAGATTATATGTGATCACAACAATGAGATTGAATGTAAATTCATGAATTTTCAATTTTCAACACTACAGGTTGTGTGGTTAGCTCGTGAGCTGGTTAAAGGTTCTGTTGCGAATGCAGACCAGGTTATTTTATCATTGATAAAGCAAATAACAGGTAAGAACTCCCTTTTATTAGCACTTCTTTAGTATTGCTCATTAATCTTGAATCTCAATCAAATAGCTCATACACTCTTTGATGCATCACAAGAAAAATCTAATTCTGCTAAGAATTTTCTTGAGACCGTTTAACTTAAAAATGAATAATCATTGAAGAAAATTGTTAAGATCTTATCTTTGTGCAGACCTTTATTGTAATGATTAATAAATGTTGAGCTGTGTTGTGCATTTTGTTGAGTTATATTGTGCATAATACAAAATAATGGGGTTCCCCAAGGTAGAATCTTGGGACCCTTCCTATTTAACATGTATGTGAACAACCGGTCTATCAACCTAACACGAAAAGGTTCATTGATATACATTTTCCCCAAAATGTTGTATTCATTTAAACAGGAGGAGATGTATCCCCAAAGAACATGTGGCTAGCTGAGTCCATGCTGGATATTTTTACAGAAAATAGGTAAGTTTTCATGTTACCAGAATCTATGTCAAATAGATTGCTTCAAGTAGAGTGAACCTCTACACAAGACAATTGTTCCTGAATGAAACATGCCAGGTAGAAGGCAAGGTAACTTGAGTGTGTAAGGTAATGTCAGCTATGTTGTTTTCAATACTTCTAGGAAAAGACAGGCCAAAGAAGAATTAGTGATGTGATATCCCTCTACTATCCAAAGATTAACAACTAATGTACTGTACTCTTGATATATATTGTTGTCATTCTCTGTGACCAGATGCCAGTGCAGGGTCTGAATATTCAGAATAAGATGTGTTTCAGAGACACTCACTAGCTTACTCAAATTAAAGTTAGAAAATTGCATTTATGTTTTTCACTGGTAAGACGTTTGCATAATTTATAATGTGGCACATTTCTGTGAGTAATGCATTTGAAACATTTTACAGGAATCTCCTCTTTTCTGCAGATAGTTGATGCTATCTGAAGCGTTTATGTTGGGTGATAGAGATGATGTGCATTTAACATATTGCCATATACCTGATACATGATGCAGAAGTTCAAAGTTTGATGTGGATTTTGGCTTGTAATGCCAAGTGTGAATTCAACTTTGAATATATATCCACCAAATGAGGGCTTTGCATTAGTGCTGTAAGTCAGACGCTACGTTCGCGTTCGGTTCGGTTCGGCAGAGTTCGGCAATTTTTCACCTGAACTTGGCTCGGTTCGGTAATATAATAGCAAGCAGCGTTATAGCCACGGCGGTCGGCACTGGGCGGGCCGGCTGGCCTGCTGGGCCCGACCAGCACGGAGGACTTCTGCACACTGCTTCCGACCAGCAAGAATTTCACATTAAAAAACTGCTCTAAACGTAATTATTTGTGAAGAAAAATACTACTTACATTCATATTTCCGCCTTGAATCGTGTTTTATTTTCAATTTTAAAAGAATCATGTTTTCAATTTGTCAATAAATGATATTTTTTAAAGATTTTCCGAGACGGTTATTGTCTAATGTTAGAGTCATGAAAGCTGCCATCTTGAATAGATACTCAAGCTCGTCAATAACTGTTTTTTATAAGTTTTTATTTTCAATAGGAAAAATATTAAATCTCTATTTTTCCTGAATAAATAAATACCATACTATAATATATATTTATTTCATTATTTATATTGTAAAATTTGTTTGATATTGTTACAATTAAAATATTAATTTTTTGTTGAATGGGTTTGAGCTGAACTTGTTTTGATCACGCACATGTATTTCTTGTTTATGGCTTGCGATCGCGACATAGCGTGGTCAGGATTTTGGATTTAAATGGCGCCAGTGAAGTCGCGCCCACCACTGGATAGCCATAAATCACAAAGGCGGAAAATGGGAAAAAAGTAAATTTAAAATGAGCAATCATGACATGAAAACTAGGTACAAAATGACAAGTTTATTAGCTTGCAAGAACATTTACATTTTTCTGCCAAACATCCGAACCAGGCCTTTGCGTTTGGTTCTGTTCAAAAGTGCCATGTTCGGCGAACTTCCGTTCGGCTACAGCACTACTTTGCATCCCTACCATAGTGTGGATGTTTAGTCAACTAAAGTAAAGTAATGTTTTTACCCCCACCCCCCCCCCCCCCCCCCCCCCCCCTCTTTAGGTGAGATATTCATTTACGTGGTTAGATGATTATTTTTTTCTTTCAAATATTTGTTTTGCAGGGCATGGTTAGACAAGCACCCCACCCTCTTGGCAATGGTTGTCTACACATACCTGAGGATCATTGAGGATCACAGCGGTACGACCTGGACACACCTCAGAGATAGGGAGGTGGAGTTCTGTGTACAGCTTATTAGGACAAGGGTGAGTACTCATACTATGCTTTTACAATTGTTATGCTCTGCCCACCAAAGGTGATGGCTGAAGCATTATGTTTTCGGGTTGTCCGCCCTTATTTGTCCTTATTTCAACCATATTTTTTCTCCATATTTTCTGTCCTCAACTTAAAGGGATTGTCATTGGGTATCTTTGCCAACGATTCCTGGATTTAGCTCATGCTGCAATCATAATTATAAACATTTAGGTCAGAAATGAATCCCATGACTTATACAAACCAGTCACATGTTTGATTATCAAGATATTTATGATTGGAATTTGAACCGTTTTCCCTACGGTTTTTATAACATTACAGTCTGTTAGGGGAAATGAGTATGGTAAAACCAGTCACTCAAATATTTTTTCCTTTTTTTTGAAGCACTTCATGATCCTACAATAATTTTCTGACCAGAATAATGTCCACTCTTTGGTCAGTGGTAAGTCCACATTGTTCTGTGTTACATGCTCTGCCCAGTTTTCACCAGGTTGAAAAGCAAAATCCATTTTAAATGCCTACTCTTCATCCAAACTGGACTTTGCATACATGTCTAGTGACTTTTATACACAACCCAATTGAATCTTCTTCTTTTTTTCCATCTTCTACTTCTTCTTTGGGAGGAAAACTCCCATAGCAACTACATACATATACTAAGTAACTTTATTGGTATCCACAAAGTCTTTACAAGTATGTTGCAGGTAACATCACTTTATTTTTTATATTTTTTTTCTGTCTTTGTGCAGTTCACTGAATGCTGTAAAATAGGAAGAGACCTAATCAGACTACTCCAGAATGTTGCAAGAATACCAGAGTTTGATAAACTCTGGAAAGATATGCTGTACAGGCCGCAGACACTCAATGCACAGTTCACTGGTTAGTTCTGAGGAGTGTTTGAATGTGTCAAGATTGTAGTATGTATTTGTTATTTCAGAGCTCTTTAATGCTCTTTTTAGCTCAGAAATGGTAATGGTAATATTCAAATAACCCTTGTCCTCTCTTGTTTGACAATGTTTACAATGTGATATTATTATTTGGGGGGTTAACCCTGACAAGCAAACTTGCTTTTGTTTTTCCTCTGCATACTGGTTTATCATCTTATTTTCCCCTTTGCCACTTGTTTTACTGGTTCCGTTACGAAGTAGCCGGAGGCATTATGTTTTCGGGTTGTCCGTCCGTCCGTACGTCTGTACGTACGTCCCGTTCTCGTGATCGCGTTATCTGAAGAACCGATTGATGGATTCCTGCCAAACTTAGGTCATGTATGTTACTTGCAGAGCCGATGAACTGATAAGATTTTGGGGTCACGAGTTCAAAGGTCAAGGGTCACAGCGCACATTATGTATGCAAAAACAGCTCATGATCGCGTTATCTCAAGAACCTATTGATGTATTCCTGCCAAACTTAGGTCATGTATGTTACTTGCAGAGCTGATGAACTGATTAGATTTTGGGGTCATTAGGTCAAGGTCAAAGGTCATGCAGCTCATTATGTATGCAAAAATAGCTTGTGATCGCATTATCATTAGAACAGATTGATGGATTCCTGCCAAACTTAGATCATTTATGTATCTTGCAGAGCCAATGAACTGAGTAGATTCTTGGTTCATAAGGTCAAAGGTCATGGGCTCATTATGTTTGCAAAAAAAGCTTGTTAACGCATTCTCATTAGAACTGACAGATGGATTACTATTTAACTCAGGACATCTTGCAGAGCCAATGAACTGAGTAGATTTTAGGGTCATGAGGTCAAAGATCAAAGGGTCATATATGTATATGAGAAATTGCTTGTAATCACGATATTCTGAGAACCTGTTAATGGATTACAATTGAACTTGAATTTGAAAAATTTCTTCTGTTTTGGTTTGTAAATTGCTCTATGACGGAGGCATCATTTCGACTGCGCGCAGTCGAAGTTCCATCTAGTTTTGTTAATGAAAGAAATTTATAGAAAATTTAAAGCCCTGGATATAATTTTTCAAGAAGAAGATTATATCATTATATCATCATTTTCGACTGCACGCAGTCGAAGTTCCATCTAGTTCTTATTATGTATGTATTCCTGTGTATTTTATAATGTGCATTATTTTGTATTTGCATGTAATGAAATAAATTGATTTTAATTTAACTTTACAGTAAAGGAAATTAATGAACCTGGACATACAAGAAACATACATATATATTTAACCTATGTAGATGTATCCTTGTTGTGCAACAGTACAATACCTATATTTTATATGATTCTAACATGGTACATAGACTTGAAATTGGATTTTGAAATTATTTCAGTATTCTATCTTCATATTTCACTTCTCCAACACATCAAATGAATGAGGAAGCAGTGTATGAAAGCTTCTTGATGCCCAAAACGATATCAGGTTGCAGCAAGATTAAAATCTCATATTTTGAAGCAATTTAACTTGATAGTACAGCATACAGCCTCTGAATGTAGTTGCATACATAACCTATGATATAAAAATATCCCATGTATGTCAATTTCGTTGGGATAATGTTTTTTTTTCTTCCAAATTGAATTCTTATTTCCAGGTATCATGCAGCTTTTGAACCAGAGGACACCCGCCAAGTTTCTCGTCTGCAGACTTACACCCGACATGGAAAAGAAAATCATATTTCTGACATCAAAGGTAAAAGTAGGAACAAAATCTAACATATTAAAGAAATATATTTTAGTGACTATTCATTGCCTTTTCTATGCTGAAACCTCAAATTTCAAAGTTCCTCATAAATTATTAAAGAAATATATTTTATTGACAATTCATTGCCTTTTCTATGCAGAAACCCTAAATTTCAAAGTTCCTCCTAAGTTAATATCTGTAAACTTAAGATTGAGAAATTGTATGGATGGTTCAAAATTGTAAAGTAAGCGGTTCTGTATGTGATTTTTGTCCCTCTTTTGTCAAATCAAAATCATGTTGTTTTCTTTCTGGTAGGTTCGGTTTGGAAATCAAAAGAGATATCAGGATTGGTTCCAAAAACAGGTTAGTCTATGTGTTATTCATTTTGTTTAAATTATTTTTGTGAATATTTATAATTTCTGTTGTATTTAAAAAAAAGATTGATAAAAATTAAAGTCAAAATATGTTGTTGTTGATTTTATAATAAAAAAGCTTTACTTTGATATTGTATACATTGCATTGTATTTGTGAAGAAATGAGATTTTGTGAAGAATATATAGATTACAAAGACAAGAAATTAAAATTGATTTCACCAGAAGGCATTGTTTAGTTGTGTACTTGGTAAAACCCCTCTCCCTCTCAACACGTGATTCATTTCATTTCATTTAGGATGGTCTGCTGTGTACAAATCAATTATTTATAGTGATAAAGAATACCAGAAATTTTACCAAATTGTGTGAAATGTTCCATTTTCGTAATGTAACCAAATTTAACGATATGCCTTTGTGAAGTGCCTCGACAGGAATGATTCCATTCACCTGTCAGTAATAATAGTATAACATAAGTCAGAATGCAAGTTGCATACAGTATGCGTTGTTAGGTGAGACAAGCCATAATGTTTGTCCTACCTTGCAACAACTAATGTATGCAATTCGCATTCTGACTAATGATATACTATAATTTATAACAGTTGAATGAAATAATTTGAAATCGAGGCACTTCACAAAGACTTACACATTAAATTTAATTACATGACGAAAATGGCCTATTGAGAGGTTGATGCATGGTAATACTTTAATATCATTGTTTAACAATGTTAAATCTGAGATGCACGGCCCTACATGTTATCAGTGTCTGTGATATGGTGTAATATTGAAGCCCTAAAAAAGTTGCGGTTCAAAAGTTACCAGATCCCTTTAATATACCTGTGTCTGAATTTCGTTCACCTTTAGTACCTGCTAACCCCGGAGAGCCAATCACTGCGCATCGATCTGATCCGCTACATCTGCTGCTGTATTCATCCGTCCAATGAGGTGCTGTGCTCTGATGTCATCCAGAGATGGGCTGTGATTGGCTGGCTTCTAACCACATGTACTGTGAGTGGACAATTATAATCAGAAGCTGATTTATATAGTATAATATTAGGGACAAGACTTGAAGCAAAAGTCTTTTTAAAAGTTGTATTTCAAATCTCAGTCCCATTCACAAGTCTGTGAGTCTGATTCTAAAAATACAGTGAACCTGTACATAAAAACCACCCAAGGGAAACAAGAAAGGTGGTCTTTATCAACAGGTTCCTTTAGTACATGTCTCAATGTGAAAACAATTTCAAGGGAAACAAAAAATGTTGTCTTTGTAGACAGGTGGTCACTGAAGCAGGTTTGACTGTATCCTCTAGTCCAATATTTATTTATTTGCCAAGAAAATTGTTTAGATCATAGACTCTTGAGTGTTTAACCATTTCGATCAAAGTAAAGTTAAATTAAAGCATTTGAGATAATATATTCGTGTTTTAGAGCAGATTTATGGGGTTTAAAATTGAAATAAGTGACAAGTTTTATGATTAGAGAAGATAAACTGATCATAAATTAGGATCAGATGAGTAGAGGTCAGGGTCTATTGATGATCTTATATTCCTCTCTTGTACCATAAAATGAAGAAATCTTAGCTTACTTTTGCTTTGTTTGATTCTAATCCAGTCCAACATAGCTGCATCCTGTGCCAAACTAGCTCTCTTCTACGACTGGTTGTTCTTCAGCTCCAGCAGGGGAAACATCATGGACATAGGTGAGTGATACAGATCCAGGGGGTGTTTCGCAAAGACTAAGATCAACTTTAAGTTGGACTTAACTATGGCAGGTCGTTCATGCCACTGTTTGCTCTCACCATTTTCTGGCATTGGTCTCTCAAGAGACGTATAAATCATGGTCACAAATCTACAGAATTTACATCTTTTTGAAAGTTCATTATTGAACAAAAAAATATTATCTAAAGATCAAAATGGTGAGAGCAAATAGTGGTATGAACGGCCAGCTATAGTTAAGTCCAACTTAATGTTGATCTTAGTCTTTGTGAAACACTCCCCAGACTTTATAAGATAGCAAAGTTAGTGCAAAGGTAGTCTAGCAGTAATATCCATGGTAAGTTCAGCTCTCTGTCTTCACCTACTAACTGACTCAGATGGATCCTTCTTACGTCTTACGTCACCATCTTTCAGATGGTGACGTAAGAGGTCGGTCCACTGACGTAAATAATAATATCTGATTGATACACGTCTGTATAAACCCAACTACACGCGCACCACTTTTAAAATAATAGCAAGCCTGTGTTCAAGAATACAGAGAAGCCTCTGATATATACTTTTTATGCCTCCGCCACCGAAGGTGGTGCCGGAGGCATCATGTTTTCGGGTTGTCCGTCCGTACGTCCGTACGTCCGTACGTCCGTCCGTCCGTCCGTACGTCCGTCCGTCCGTCCCGTTTGACCGTTATCACAATATCTCAAGAACCATTTAAGATTTAAACTTAAGACTCGGGAATAGTATTTATCACCATAGGAAGACGATCTGAATAGATTTTGGAGTACGTAGGTCAAAGGTCACAGGTCACAGAGGTCAACTTATGAAATTCCTTGTATTGAGTTTGTTAGCGCGATATCTCAAGAACCATTTGAGATTTAAACTTCAAACTTAAGGATAGTATGTATCACCATAGGAAGACGATCTGATTAGATTTTGGAGCATGTATGTCAAAGGTCAAGGGTCACAGAGGTCAACTTATGAAATTCCATACATTGAGATTGTTATCATGATATCTCAAGAACCACTGGAGATTTAAACTTCAAACTTAGTGATAGTGTGTATCACTATAGGAAAACAATCTGATTAGATTTTGGAGCACGTATGTCAAAGGTCAAGGGTCACAGAGGTCAACTTATGAAATTCCATACGTTGAGATTTTTATCATGATATCTCAAGAACCACTGGAGATTTAAACTTCAAACTTAGTGATAGTGTGTATCACCATAGGAAGACGATCTGATTAGATTTTGGAGCACATAGGTCAAAGGTCAAAGGCCACAGCGCACATCATGAATGCAAAAACAGCTTGTGATCGCGTTATCTCAAGAACCGATTGATGGATTCATGCCAAAATTAGGTCATGTTTGTTACTTGCAGAGCCAATGAACTGAGTAGATTCTTGGTTCATAAGGTCAAAGGTCAAAGGTCATGGGCCCATTATGTATGCAAAAATAGCTTGTGAACGCATTCTCATTAGAACTGACAGATGGATTACTATTTAACTCAGAACATCTTGCAGAGCCAATGAACTGAGTAGATTTTATGGTCATGAGGTCAAAGATCAAAGGGTCATATATGTATATGAGAAATTGCTTGTAATCACAATATTCTGAGAACCTGTCAATGGATTACCATTGAACGTGAATTCAATTTTTTTTTTCTGTTTTGGTTTGTAAAATTGCTCTTTAACGGAGGCATCATTTTCGACTGCGCGCAGTCGAATTCCATCTAGTTTTTTATGCCTCCGTTACGAAGTAGCCGGAGGCATTATGTTTTCTGGTTGTCCGTCCGTACGTCCGTACGTCCGTCCGTACGTCCCGTTCTCGTGATCGCGTTATCTGAAGAACCGATTGATAGATTCCTGCCAAACTTTGGTCATGTATGTATCTTACAGAGCCGATGAACTGATTAGATTTTGGCGTCACGAGGTCAAAGGTCAAAGGTCACAGGGCTCATTATGTATGCAAAAACAGCTCGTGATCGCGTTATAAAAAGAACCGATTGATGGATTCCTGCCAAACTTTGGTCATGTATGTATCTTGCAGAGCCGATGAACTGAATAGATTTTGGGGTCACGAGGTCAAAGGTCAAAGGTCACAGGGCTCATTATGTATGCAAAAACTGCTCGTGACCATGTTATCTCAAGAACCGATTGAAGGATTCCTGCCAAACTTAGGTCATGTATGTTACTTGCGAAGCCGATGAACTGATTAGATTTTGGGGTCATGAGGTCAAGGTCAAAGGTCATGCGGCTCATTATGTATGCAAAAATAGCTTGTGATCGCATTCTCATTAGAACTGACAGATGGATTACTATTTAACTCGGGACATCTTGCAGAGCCAATGAACTGAGTAGATGTTAGGGTCATGAGGTCAAAGATCAAAGGGTCATATATGTATATGAGAAATTGCTTGTAATCACAATATTCTGAGAACCTGTTAATGGATTACAATTGAACTTGAAATTGAAAAATTTCTTCTGTTTTGGTTTGTAAATTGCTCTATGACGGAGGCATCATTTCGACTGCGCGCAGTCGAAGTTCCATCTAGTTTCTTTTCCGTTCTGTCAAACACGAGCTGCAATTTACCTATTTCGATATTATCCTGTGTACGACCCTGGGCCTGGACAGATGTTAGTCATGTTATTATATTGAAGAAATATTCCACAATTTCTTGCCTAGGTGGAATAAATTAAACAATTGTTAAGATGAAATGAAGATAAATTATGATTTGGGCTGCACTCGTACTTGGAGCAATTAAGGAAATAATTAGGTTTTAGCCAAGAGAATGTGTAAAAAGATGTGGAAATACTGTTGTTTGCACGAATATATTTTATTTGTTGATGCAATTGCTGTCATATACAGTAGGCTTACGGTTGCGAGAGAGGGGGGAGGATTGGGGAGTCCTAAAAAGGACTGTCAATAATCTTTCTTTCTTGAGTGCGTGTGTAGTCCTGAAAAGGACTGTTGGTGATCTTTCTTTGAGCTTATAGTTCTAAAGAGAACTAAAGCCCCGGTTATAAGCGGCATCTAATTGCTATCATATTTTCATTATGTACAGAGCCTGCTATCTTGGTGATGCATCACTCGTTACGTACTCATCCAGTCATCACTGTTACATGCCTGGATTTCCTGTGCAGAGTAAGTCCATTTTGTTAACGTCCTCGTAGAATACTGATTTGCTATTTCCTAGGTATTACACAAGATAAACAACCTGAAAATATAGATGTGGAGAGTAGTTTAGGAGTGTAGACGATTTGGAAAATCTTTATAATTATTAATGTGAGAGGCCTTTTTGGTTTTCTAGCTCAAATCATCTTTAATTACTATGCATCATAAGTAGGATACACAAACTTTTGAGCTAGTCTGATTGTTTATGAGCGCCCTTTGAGGTGTGTGGTTGTTTTGGTGTAAATCGTGTAAGAGATGTACTTGAACATATCTAGAACATTGACATATGCAGTTAGAATATAAAGAGTTCTGAATTTTTCAAGTAAATATCTGCTATTTTTTTTACACATTTCATTCTATAGCTATTAAAGACGCATAGTAGTGGGCTCTCATGGGGAATTTGACACCATTCAGGTGCTTACTCATTAACATGTGTTGTCAATCACCAGGATTAGCCTTCAGTTTTATGATTAACAGGTCTTAACTCTTTGTTTGCTTTGTTCGCCGATTTGCACGGACGTAGGCGTGCCAACTTCGCATTTTTGCACAGATGTATACGAGTCAATTAGACATTCATAATACCGCTCGCAGTGTGTAGCCACGCGTTGCGTTTACTATTGTTTACATTGTATACATCGCACACTTTCCGGTAAACTGTTTTTCTTCATAGTGTTACATTCGAAATTACCGTGTATTTAGCGGTTTTCTTTGGATTTTTTTTACTGATGTTACGATGGCACCTGCTGGAAAACGTCAACGTGTGTTTAGTGTAGAGGAGGCTCGAGATCTTGTTACTATGGAAGCATGGAGCATGGACTCTGATTCCGACGAATCGAGCAGTGACGAAGACTCTAGTGATAAAAGTGTTCCCTGAGAGTAGACTGATAGAATAAGAATGAATAAAAATTAATGAAAGAGCTAGAGATGACAGCAAGAAAGAGAGTAGACTGATAGAATAAGAATGAATAAAAAAAATGAAAGAAGGAGATAGAGATGACAGCAAGAAAGAGAGTAGACAGTGATAGAATAAGAATGAATAAAAATAATGAAAGAAAGAGATAGAGATGACAGCAAGAAAGAGAGTAGACTGATAGAATAAGAATGAATAAAAATTAATGAAAGAGCTAGAGATGACAGCAAGAAAGAGAGTAGACAGTGATAGAATAAGAATGAATAAAACTAATGAAAGAAAGATGTATCCTGTCTTGCCGTCATCTTTATATCTTTCTTTTATTATCTTTATTCATTCTTATGCTATCAGTGTTTACTCTCTTTCTTTCCGTCATCTCTATCTTATTATTATTATCATTTTCCTATCTATATGTACCCTATGTCTTGCCGTCATCTGTATATCTTTTTCTTATTATCTTTATTCATTATTATGCTATGAGTGTAATACTCTCTTTCTTGCCGTCATCTCTATCTCATTATTATTATCATTTTCCTATCTATATGTACCCTATGTCTTGCCGTCATCTCTATATCTTTCTCTTATTATCTTTATTCATTCTTATGCTATCAGTGTTTACTCTCTTTCTTTCCGTCATCTCTATCTTATTATTATTATCATTTTCCTATCTATAATTATGTACCCTATGTCTTGCCGTCATCTCTATATCTTTCTCTTATTATCTTTATTCATTCTTATGCTATCAGTGTTTACTCTCTTTCTTGCCGTCATCTCTATCTTATTATTATTATCATTTTCCTATCTATATGTACCCTATGTCTTGCCGTCATCTGTATATCTTTCTCTTATTATCTTTATTCATTCTTATGCTATCAGTGTTTACTCTCTTTCTTGCCGTCATCTCTATCTTATTATTATTATTATTTTCCTATCAATATGTATCCTATGTTTTGCCGTCATCTCTATATATTTCTCTTATTATCTTTATTCATTATTATGCTATGAGTGTAATACTCTCTTTCTTGCCGTCATCTCTATCTCATTATTATTATCATTTTCCTATCTATATGTACCCTATGTCTTGCCGTCATCTCTATATCTTTCTCTTATTATCTTTATTCATTCTTATGCTATCAGTGTTTACTCTCTTTCTTTCCGTCATCTCTATCTTATTATTATTATCATTTTCCTATCTATAATTATGTACCCTATGTCTTGCCGTCATCTCTATATCTTTCTCTTATTATCTTTATTCATTCTTATGCTATCAGTGTTTACTCTCTTTCTTGCCGTCATCTCTATCTTATTATTATTATCATTTTCCTATCTATATGTACCCTATGTCTTGCCGTCATCTGTATATCTTTCTCTTATTATCTTTATTCATTCTTATGCTATCAGTGTTTACTCTCTTTCTTGCCGTCATCTCTATCTTATTATTATTATTATTTTCCTATCAATATGTATCCTATGTCTTGCCGTCATCTCTATATATTTCTCTTATTATCTTTATTCATTCTTGTGCTATCAGTGTTTACTCTCTTTCTTTCCGTCATCTCTATCTTTTTATTATTATCATTTTCCTATCTATATGTACCCTATGTCTTGCCGTCATCTCTATATCTTTCTCTTATTATCTTTATTCATTCTTATGCTATCAGTGTTTACTCTCTTTCTTTCCGTCATCTCTATCTTATTATTATTATCATTTTCCTATCTATATGTACCCTATGTCTTGCCGTCATCTCTATATCTTTCTCTTATTATCTTTATTCATTCTTATGCTATCAGTGTTTACTCTCTTTCTTTCCGTCATCTCTATCTCATTATTATTGTTATTTTCGTATCAATATGTATCCTGTCTTGCCGTCATCTTTATCTCTTTCTCTTATAATCTTTATTCACAGTAAAGTCCTTTCATTTCATATCACTATTTCTCTCTCATAATGTCTCTCACGTCCGTTCTCCATATTTTATTCATTGCATACTCCACTCGTCAATCATTTCTGATAATAAGCTCTCTCACAATAAAGTAAATGGAAAACAATGCAATATAGTTTATATTTTAAGATTGATTCATTCTTTCTTTGTATATCTATGGCTGTGATAAATGTACTTGAAATCAATTTTATTGAGGGGTAAAGAAGGTGAGAGAACAGATGCGGTGAACATTCATAATGAGACATTTCAATAAGATGCTGATTATGTCATGTATATCACATATAATATATTATGCCTATACCATTTTTACATGCTCATACCAGTGGGCAAAATCAATAACATTCTCTTATTTCTTATTGACTTATCATGGCACAACAAAGAAAAACATCCCCACGACGTCCCTTTTCATGCCCCGCTAAACCGGACATTGACAATAACCTGGGGTAATAGGGATTTCAATGGGCAGATTAGCCCATTGTCAAGGGTGGCTGAGCGGGGTACTTTCAAGTCTCTCCCTATTGAACTTCTTTTCTTCAACAACCTAAATACTAACCTTCTGAATTGTTAGAATACTTGAGCAAGGTATGTAAAGAAAGGTAAGAAGTCCACCTTTCTAATAGATTCGATTTGAAGATGTCTTATCATTGCTAAATAAGAAATTCTAGAGGGATAAAAAACTGCCGTAAATAAGAAAAATTAAACATTATATAATTATGATTATTATAAAAATGATAATTCAAAATATAACAAATGACGGTTCATCGAAAAGCACGTTTTCCGGTCTACAACTTTGCTGCACAATATTTTTCATCATGATCATCCAGTGAAGAGTTATAGCCTCTTGATTCAGCAGAGTCAATAAAGATTCCCTCGAAATGTGTGACCCTAAAAGAATGTGGCACAGGGGGGTTTTTTAAGTGGCGCATAAAGAGTTAAGTAATGCTCTTCATTTTCCACCAATCTCCCCATATGAGAAAGTCATTATCTTGCATTTCGCTCGCCTAGAGACTCTCCGAGAGACTAGGGGGTATTTCTTGATGGGACCACAGGTTGGCTGAGCACGAGACTTGTGCACCAATCATTGGTATTTCCACCAAGTCTGGTATCAGCGAATTATGACCTACTGCACATGGAAACTGACTCCCATCTCCCTCTAACATCTTTTACATTTGCAGATAATTCCAAACTTCTACCCTGCCTTTGAGGCCCAAGTGAAGCAAGGAGTCATGGGATCATTGAAGTTCATCCTTGAGAAACGAGTTTTACAGTAAGTACAATTTTTTTTCTTTTTTCTAATCCTGATGCAAACTGTTTTCATGATGGTTCAAGTGAGTAAATTATGATCCAGGCAAGCACAGCTGTTTATTGTGCATTGTATTGGATTTATAAGCTCAATTTTATGTTTTTGAGCAATATTTACTGTGCAATTTCTAATAAATCCTTTAGAGTATGACTGTGATGTCTCATCTTTTCAGTTTTGTTAGTTGTAATCAATATATGTGTAAATATATGTATTTTTTGGAAAAATAACTGCAACTATTGTTGCCCGTACTCAAACTTCAGGTTTTCTTTGCTGCTAATAGTGACCTGCCTGTCAGAGTCTTGTTCTTTTGAAGAGCAAATTTGACAATGAATGTAACAGCAACATATTAGGCACTCCGTGGAGGTATCATGGATAATATCAAATAAGTATCATTATATACCTCTCTTTAGAAATCTAGCCATCTGAGTGGTCGAAATTACAATCGTGATTTTAGCCATGCCCGCCTAGCAGTCAATAGTTCATGGCAGGATGTGCCCATTCCCTTGAGCTTATAAAACAGCCAGGCCTCTCAAAGCAGTGGATATCTCTATAATATTCTGTTCTGATTTGATTTCAGGTCACTATCACCCCTGTTTGATAACACCAAGATGGACAAGGAGCTGAGGTCAATGATCAGGGAAACATTTTCAGAATTCTGTGAAGCAGACGGTAAGTTCACACTATCATTTATATGTCGACTCCATCAATCAATGATTAGTCTATGGTGTTTGATGCCTGAAAATAATTAATCATTTTTATGCCTCCGCACTCCGCAAAAAATAATTTCATCCATTTCCTATACTGAATTTCGGGCAGAGGCATAAAGGAGACATTGCATTTGTCTTTGTATTTTAAAAATTATATATATATAATTTTTTTTAATATTTATTTTTATTTTATTTTTTTTATTTTTTTATTTTTTATTATTTTTTTTGAGGGGGGGTTGGGTCCAGTGTGAATGTTTTTATGCCTCCGTTACGAAGTAGCCGGAGGCATTTTGTTTTCGGGTTGTCCATTCGTCTCAAGAACCGATTGATTGATTCCCGCCAAACTTTGGTCATGTATGTATCTTGTAGAGCCAATGAACTGATAAGATTTTGGGGTCTCAAGGTCAAAGGGCTCATTATGTCTGCAAAAATAACTTGTGATCGGATTATCATTACAACTTATGGACGGATTACCATCAAACAGTTCTGTCATGAACCAAGTTAAATGACATTAAACACTTGATATCTTTCATTAACACATACTTCTTTCATGTGAAGTTTGTAGAGTGGTCCAAGAAATACAGAGAAGTTTCTTGTGCTGATTATAGTCACAACTTCAGCTTAGGGGTATTGTTTTCAACCAACATGGTATGCTTCAATAGCTCAAGGATCATTTGAAGTGATTTTCCCGACTAGGTTGAAGTGTGCAGAACGATGACTGAATAAGAGATGTGACAATAATTTTGATAAATTATTCTTCTTCTTCCTCCATAGCCAAACCGCCCGACGGTCCAATTATCCAAGAAAGCTTCACGAAACCGGCATTAACACCAGCATTAAATGCAACTAATAACAATTCCGGGAGTCACTTTGATGATCATAGCCACAGGAGACACAGCAGTGAAGATGCAGCATTCAGTGATGAAGAGAGCGAGGATGATAAAGGTAGAAAAAGAGTTTTTTGCAAACAAGTTTATCAGTTTGTTTCTTATTTAAAGTAATGCCACATCTGAGATGCATGGCCCTACAAGTTACCAATGTCTGTGATATGGTGTAATATTGAAACCCAAAAAAACTTGCAATTAAAAAAAATGATCATGAAATGCCTCAAAAAAGGTAAAAATCTTTGAGTGACCGGTTTTACCATACTCATTTTCCCAAATAGACTGTATTGTTATAAAAAAACGTTGGAAAAACAGTTTTTGAAATTCTGAATTCCAATCATAAATATCTTGATAATCAGACAGGCGATCGGCTTGGTAACGTCATAGGGTTCCTGACTGACCTAAAGGTTTATAATTATGATTGCAGCATGAGCTTAAATCCAGGATTTGGTTTCAGAAGTTGAGACAAAGATACCCAATCTCTTTAACCGTTGTTTGCAGTAATGAATAAACGCTTGCAATTGAATGCTCTGAAATGTTATTGGTTTGACAGGTGGTCAGATGAACCCTCTGGACATGCTGTTCAGACCAATCAAGCAAGAAGAAGAGGTGAACTTTGACCACCTCCTAGAGGAGATGGATGGAGAGATCAAAGAGATGGCTTCATTACTACATGCTCAAAGGTACAGAGAGTGTTTCACAAAGACTAAGATCGACTTTAAGTTGGACATCACTATGACAGGCTGTTTATGACACTGGTTGCTCTCACCATTATGATCTTTAGAATATATTTTTTCCTTCAATAATGTAGTATCAAAGAATATAAATTCTGTAGATTTGGGACCATGTATCAGATATGTTGCTTGTGATGAACACACAAAATACTGTGTTCTCACAATAACAACTTGGAAATGGATTACCAATCTAAAGACGAGAGCATTTGAGCAGGAAAGGAAAATTGGTCACAGTTTAGAGAACCCATTGAAAAATCCATATGGCATACTTTGCCCTGAGGCACTGTTTTGACATATTCTTACTCATTTTTTCCCTCACTTGTTTGTCATTGGCAGAGATGAGGACATGGAGACGCAATGTGAGACAATGCAAGAGCTGTGCAACTCTTTGCTGAAAATGGTAAGTTTTTATGTAATCAAATGGAACTTACCGATTGATTAAAGGCTTGTACTTCAGGCCTGCTACAGAAAATTTGTTTCAACATACAGATATGGTTGATCTGATGAAATGTTTTATGGTTGTATTTGATCTTTTTTTCCCTCAATCTGTATTCTTCAAACAAAGATAAATGATCGAAATAGTTTAAAAAAATTTATTTTAATGTTTTTTATGTCATTATTAAACATAAAAACACATTGTGCTTCTCTCAATGTCATGCTTGAAATATTACTACAATACTACTATGATTATAAAGATTATGGCATATCTTTGTTCATGTTATTATTTTATCTCTATCTCTGTCTTTTGTTCTTCTTCTCCTCTCTCTCCTTCTCTCTCTCTCTCTCTCTCCCTCCCTCTCTCCCTCCCTCCCTCTCTCCCTCCCTCCCTCCCGCCCTCCACCCCTCCCTTTCCCTCCCTCCCTCTCTCCCTCCCTCCCTCCCGCCCTCCCTCCCTCCCTTTCCCTCTTTACAGGATGACTTTGATAGTGATGCAGCAACCCCCTTAGCTCTCTTCCTGTGTAGTCTTTACAACCAGCAGTTTACAGGGGACATCTTGCCAGAAGAAATCAATGAAGAGTAAATATTCTCTCCTGTTGTCTTTGTTTGCTGCATGTTTCCTCAAAAAAGAGAAGCAAATAAAAAAATGTTTAACATAATTCTTAATATAATTTGCTATGAGAATAAAGAGTAAAAGAATAATCAATGATTATGTATTTCCTGTAGATTAAACCCTTACCATTAGAAATCAAGTATGCATTGTTTTATCATATGTTATCGCTCCTTTATCTTTTATCACTTCTTTCCCTCTATTCACAGAACTATGGAAGATGCTCTAGGAAAACCACTGTTTGTGATGTTTAGGTAAGGCCATAATACCTATAGCTTGCTTTCATGCACGGATAACTTGTTAATGTCTTTATAATGTTGTAAAATATTGACGTCCCAGTTTCGGTGCTGTTCAGTGAAACACGTAATATTTCTATGAAATACATAAAGATTTTGAATCAAAAAGGAGTCTTGTTCTGTTTCATCGGAATGTTAAGTGTCATTAATTTTCTACTAAACCAGGTTGTTTCAAACGTAAGAGAGGATCAACTTTTTGATCGTTATGATGCTATATCCTGCTTATTCTCAACTAATAGACCACTTTGTAGTTAGCTTTGGTAAAAATTACCTCCAAATACCAACAGATCTTTTTTACACATGGAGACATCCCACTTTGGGCATTTTGGAATAATCACCGTCAAAGTGATGAAGGTGCTTCATGAGCACCTTTTGTTTGCCCTCTAGAGAAGAATACTTCAACTTGTGATCCATAGAATGTACCGTCGTCCTATAAATGAATGATGATTACATAACTTTCATGAGCACGTTTCCAGTCTTTGTCTCAGTGAGTTTTTACAATTTTTGGGTGCAAATGACCTTTATCTGCCAGTACGAAGACTGCATCTATTAACTGGTACATTCGGATTCTGATTCATCAACTTTGTACTTGTCTACCCCCCTAATAGAAAACGTAAATAGAGTAAACCATGTAATCATTTGTTTATATCTGTTGTCTATTGCAGGAATCTCAGTCAAGATACGGAGGATAACAGCTGTCCCCTTCAGCTGCTCATCCTGTTCTGTATCATGTATGAAAAACAACCCAAGCTAGGCTACCTCCTTCTCTTCTTCTTACATGCCAGGTAAGTGCGAGGGAGGGTAACAAACCAAAGTTATTGAATATGGTTGCTTCACAGTTCTCCATGTGATGTGAACGGTATTATGTCAGGCCTTAAAGGCTCAAATTTGTATGTTGTGCAAGGCGTAAAGGGATCCCTTGAGAATAAATATAATCAAATATGTGATATGCTCTATTATTTGGAAATTTTTCTCTCAAAATATAGAAATATATTAATATGTAGACAGAAAGTCAAATATTAGTATTGTTTCTGTGTTATCCAATGTCATTATATTTTGGCAAATATGCCTACCCTCTGAGAGTAATATATAAAAAAAGTGTAACTGCGATTTATAAAAATATTGAAATGCAGATAAGTAGAAGAATTCACATATTTACAAGGAACGCTTCCAATTATATTTACCATTTGTGATTTCCTGTAATTTCAAGCCATCAATGTTTTGACTATATCTCTTCTTTTTTTTTCTTCCTATTTACCTCTGCAGTAGTAAAGATGGTGAGAGTAAGCTGCATGTGTATGAAGAGGTTTGTAAAAACACAGGCTCAGGGGACCTTTCAGCTTGCCTTGTCAAAGACTTTCAGGTGATCACCTGCTTCACATTTTTTTCTATGAAAAACAAGATTTGTGTGTGTATTTTATGTTGTGTTTCATGTTTTATCGATCCTTTTTATTTCAAATTAATCATCACATAGTATCAATAAAAACTATGGTGCATCACTGTATATAATATAACTGAGGTGATATGTACTCATGTCTAAAATACATGAAAACATAAACAACGATCAAGCGACTATCAAGCATCCATGTGACTCGCTTTAAATCTTACTATTTTATATTTTATATTCACTCTTTCTTGATTTTGTCTTTGCTAATTGAATAATGATAATAAATAATAATAATAAGCCATCAATGTTTCCTATCATGGATGGTCCTTGTGCACATTTATGACATTGCCAAATCTTAACCTGACTAAATGAAACAATTATATTTTCTTATGTTGTAACAGGAATGTCAAGAAAATGATGTTAACCTTCTCTGCTATCTAGTGCCTCCAGTATATACCCAGGTGAGTAGTGTTGGATAGAAATGTTTAAAACACAAAATTCTGGCAATTCATCATATAACCATATTCTATAATACAAACCCAGGGCTTTTCTTATAGAATGTGTGTGATTTAGGGGATGAATACAGATGGTAATGTTTTGTCGGAAAAATTGTTATTACATAATATTGACTGGGGAATTTAACATTACCAAGTACTTTTAAAGACCCTACCAGGGATTTGTAAGACCTCAAAAACTTATCTCAAAATTTATCTTAAACAGTAAGATGAGTTTATGATTTTCTCTCTGTGAGTGAAAGTTTAAGTCCTCATTATGTACACAACAATTGGGATGCCCACAGTGCCAGTTTCAAAATCCAAATATCAAAAGAAAATTGCTGTAATTTTGCTAATAAAGGAATTTGGCCTTTTTACAATTTTGCATATTTTCACCATGCAAATCTTTACAACGCCTTTCAATTACAAGTACTATCTAACCAAGGACAGAACTTTCTACATGTGTCATACATTTTCACTAGGGCTTATAATGTCACTGTAAATCTGAAAACAGTAGAGATGAAATAACAAACTTGATTCTGTATGTTTGAAAGAGTCCACCTTAAATACAGGAATATTCTAAATTAGCTGAACATGTCCGGTCTGTATGATCAGCGAAAATTACGCATCATTATTGATATACCTACCTGATATGAAGGTCACTTCCAAGAATTGCTTGATTAATTGGCCATATGGTATGCAGAGCTTCACATGCAGATGACATTGAATTTAGAGGCATCTGTATGATGTCTTTTGCTAAAATTAAATGAGAAGATATTCAGTATTTAAAGTATTTCCTGAAGATGATCATGAGTATCATGTATTGTACTTTGAAGCCTAAATTATTTCACAGAGTAATTGATAAATGTATGTACACTATTGTCAAATCAAATTAAATCAAATCAAATTTATATTTTATTCTTCTGCTTCTAGTTTGCTAATACAGCGATGGGGTGTTTAGACCTTCTTCACATCATCGTATCATGCATTGACTCTGCACAGGTATGTATTATTGTCATTTAATCCTCCCCTATGTACATAGCTTGGGGGAGGGGTACCAATATTTTTAACATCTTTCAGTTAACAACTTTCATTCAATTCAATCATGTTTCCCAGATTATTATTTACTACTACTAATAATAATAATATTTAGCTTTTATATAGTGCTTATCACAAATGTCTCTAAGCGCTTTACAAATAAATTAATCGTCCCCTATGTACATACATGTAGGTGGGGAGAGGGGTACTGGTAGTTTTGATTGAGTTAACATCTTTCATTCAATTCAATTTAATCATGTTTTCCACATTAAATTATTTTCTAGCTCAATTACTTTCAATGTACTGTTGGGCATGTCCTATTGTCCAGGTACCAAAGTGATATTACATGTACATGTATTCCCTGTTTGCCCTAACACATTTTCAAAGAATCCCCTACATCATTATTCATGAAGAATTATCTAACAACTAAGAGATATATTCTGAATTAATCATATCTGGAACACTTTTATAAAACATTTCAATAAAGGGAAAGTTGTAGGTTAAAGGGAAAGACCAGTTTTGGAAACACCCTCTCTCAAAAAATGAAATGGAAGCTCTTATTACCAATCATGGGAAAGAATATGATCATACAAATTTTGCTGAGAAACCGCCTACTAATTCATATATTTGGTAAATTTGTTTATCTATTGGGATGTGATAGATATTACGCATAGTCTCATATACATCTTTCTGTGTACAGTGCTTGTAACTTTACCCAGACTGGGCCAAATTTCTTATGATTTTGATGATTCCAGAACCTTGCAGTACACAAATACTTATATGCTAGATGATCAACCTTTCTGATCGATTCCACAATGTTTCTTTCACAATGCGATTTCATGACTATAACTGGTCTTTATCTTTAATTACATCTGATATGAGGCAAACAATTATGTCATTTTCATTTCTCTTTGTTTTTTTATTTCTCTCTACAGTTACAAGGCCTTATTTGTGATCTGATGCAAGGCAGTCTGGTAGTATTCAACAAAGACAAAGTAGCATCATTACTAGGTAATACTGAACATTAATATCACAATGGGCTGCTACTTTCAATTTTGATATAGAATGAAAATACATTGCAAGTATTTATTTCAATATTGCATGTCTGATCACAGAGTGACTCAATGATTGAACTATGTCTGAACCTGTCTGCCAAGGATATAAAAACCCATCGTAAAAGAAGAAATATGCAAGGAAATGTGTGTATTCGTCATATGCAAACTGAGACTTAAATGTTGGCCTTTGACATTCAATCTCTGATCATGAGAATGGATGTATGCACAGTCAAGGGATCTATTTCAATTTATTGCCTCCTCAAACTTCTTAAGTGACCATCGAATCTAGGTTTAATGAATAAAAAGATGCTGTGAATGTGATCTGTTGAAAATAAGAAAGGCAAAGTAATAATGCACTTGATTTTGTTATTTTCATTTTTGTGTTTTTATTCTGACTTTCTGAATGTATTTATTGTACGATTGAAGAGTTGTTGCTTCGTTCATTTAGATTCAGATCTTCTTTTTTATCTTTTTTATTCTTTTTTTATCAGTGTGAAGTGATGATTTAATTGTAGTTGAGCTTTCTAAGTCAAACCAACATCAAATAATTAGGAGATTCCAGTTAAAGGCTCTACAAATACTGCAGCATTGAAAGAATATAACTTAGTAGGTGCCCTTCAACAACAAATAACGAGCATTAGTTATTTTCCATCTCTTGCAATTTTTACAGAAGATACATTAGATTGGGAGACATTTGAACAGTTCTGTGTATGGCAGTTATTACTGGCTCACGATGATATCGAAGTGAAACATCTGGTATCACTCATACCCAAACTCAAGTACAAAGGTATGTTTACTTAACATTGCTCTATAAAATAGTCGTCTGTTTGTTTATTATTTGTAGAGGTTCATTGCCTTGGAATGCTTGAAAACACTCATTCAAAAGCACATCTAAGATTCAATATTTATTCCCTCCAGTTTGATTTATTGAATCTAAGTAATTTTTCATTTTATTTATTGGAGTATTGCTAAATGTATGACATGGGTGGAGGTGGTGGATGGGGGGTATTGAGATTGGTCATATGCTCTGTAATGCTTTTAACTTATATGTTTTTAAATGAGAAATAGATTAATTGTATGCTATTCATGATGAATTAAATTTATCAAGGGCCATAGGATAGTTAGTGAGTGAGCATAATAAAGGGAGTAAAGGTCTTAGTTATTGCGAAGTCATTGTTAATATGCATACTCCACATTAGATAATGCCATCAAATCTATAGCTAGTTTTTAGGTCGACAAGTACGACAACATATGAGTTTTAAAGCTTTAGATTTCAAATTTTCAGAGAGCTTTTACTCCTCTGACAAACACTAAACTAGCATAAGATCAATTATATTGTAATCTATGGATTAAAAGCTTTCCGTTGCTATACAATTCATCTTTCACTTCCGACAGGTCCTTTAATCACCCACCCATCCCTTCTCCATGCCTCGGAGTCTGACTAGAATATGTAGTTTTTCCAAGGTTAAACCTGTATATTCCTTGTTAATCGCACCCTACAAACTAACTGCTTTGTCTGTTTCTTATTTTGACAGAACACCCGGAGGCACTGGCAAATATGCTGTTGATGCTCAAGCTGGAAAAGTAAATAACTGTTATATTTCTTATTTATGTGAGAGGGATTTCGACGTTTTATTTTACCTGACTGATAAGTTGTAAGTAAGCAACCGGAGGACCGACGACTAAAGGTCCTCTCCGAGGGACCTGGTAATGAAGGTTAATGCCTTACCAAAGGGCACTAGCGCATCATCTTAGTTTTGAACTCGCTTTGCTGGATTATGACACCACTGCTCTACCAACTGAGCTATCGCGCCTCTTTCTGATACAGTATATGGCTTTATATTGATAGGATACAGGAGCTTTGTTTCATCACAGTACAGTAGAGTATATTTAGATAGCAGCTGCACTATAACAATTGTTTTATTTATTATTTTGTATTGTTGTACAGATAGGCATGTACTTATCAGCAATTTAAACTCAGATATTTTCTGAAGGGGGGGGGGGGGGGTTGGGGGAGGAGGGGGTCTACCTGATAATCTTCGGGCTTGTTCAGATATGATGCGGTTTACTGCAGCTTATTTGTTTGGTTTACAACAAGTAACTGAATGGCAACTGTACACATATCAAAGGTCTTACCTGTATTTACTGAGCTCTCTGTTATAAGATAGTAAGAGACAAAAATTTGAAGCATATTATACTAACGTCATCACTAAAAAAAAAATGCTGTGGTTTACCACGTCATGTCCAAATGAAGTTTTAAAATGTGAATTAACAAAATCATAGAAGTTCACTCTGATATCATGCAACATGAACACTTGCTTGGTATTACAAGCATCCAAACTTTTTAAATATTAGGTCAGAGTCAACAGTCACAGTCAAATTACAAAGACCGTTTCTTTAAAGCCTGTCTGTACTAGTTTGGCCAGGGGGGATTAAACCACCCTGCTAGGTCACTGACAGGTGGTTATCTCACCAAATCAGCTCTCAATTAACATAAGAAAAAGGAGATCATGGGGGACCAACAGGCACCGATTAGGCATCTTTTGCTAAATAGAGGGTGCAAGTAGCTATAAGTAGTGCAATGTGGCTTTAATTTAAAGCATTGATATCAATCTCCTTTCCAACCAATTCTCACTTTTCTTTTCCCCTTCTCATCTTCCCATCCCCCAGTGCAACCCAAGAGTTCCTGAAACCCCTCTTGAGTAGGAAGGTCGACCAGACCGATAGATTGACGACGTCCATCTTAAGTCACTGGGCCTCGCAGGACGAGCCACACCTGGCAGATGTCTTCAAGTCAATCATGATCAGAGCAGCAAATGCAGCCAAGAGGATACGACAGAAGTGAGTTCTTTTTAAGCGATCAATGTTTTAAATTGTTTTTGTGATAGTATGTAATATCGGATCAACAGAGCATGAAGTGCAGAGGAAAATCATTTAAGATTTGCCAACGAAGCATTTTTGCTTTAAATTTTTAGCTTCTTTGGAAGTAGCTCCTTTTTATTGTACTATATCATTTAACTACATACTTTGGTCAATAGAAGATCAAAGTTTTAACTTTAAAATCAACATGATAAGACATATTGATTACAAATTTCTGTGATGATCACACACTGAAATGCCTATGACAGTTTTAGTGCAAAATATCATGGTGAAACATGTAGTTGAGTTCCAAAGTCTTAGATGCACATGTCACCTTTAAAATGTGAGGATATCTTATTTGATTCTGTATATAAATGAGACGGTGTGCGTGAGGTGCAATAGTGTTTAGGATACGAGATCTGCCATTTGGACTGTGGATTTGAATTTGCCGTTCGACGCTTGAACGAGGTGTTTTCTTCCTGGATATTATCATGGATTCACTGAAAAGAGCGAGTACCCGAGGAGGAGATCCTATGACTGCAAACAGATTTTTTTTCAAACGTTTTGATGCACATCTTTATTTTGAACTTAAAAATGATAGGTTCAAAATGCAGTAATAAGAGTGATTGGGTGTTTGTGTGCGTTTTTTGCGCAAAAAATATGCTGCGTTGTCTTGTGTTCCGGAAAGACCCCCATTTGTTCCTGAAAATGAGGTAAATGTTCCTGACAACCATCCTGTAGGGTTTGCATCTCTGAATGAGGTATTATCATTCTATTGCTTGTGATTTTTTTGCAGACAATCGGCCAAGCAGAACTACCCCACACCTATACAGATCTTAGGACATCTAGATGGATTGAGGCATACATCAGCAATCAGACAGACACTATGTAAGTCATGTTTGTATAATGGATTACCAGGTTTTAAATGTTTAATCTATTATTCAACATTTGATATTTAATCAATTAATTACAATTACAAGGAGGAGCATAACTATTTGATTTAATTTGTTATGTAAATTCTGTTTCCTTTACTTATCAACTATTTTCCTTCTAAACTGCAATAGAGGCTTCATGCAATTTGCGGGATAGAAATATCTTATTATTGTTATAACCCTGGAATGAAACACTAAATAAATACCTTTTGAAAAAGAAAATTTATCAAACATCACATTTACAGCACTTTTCACTCCATGTTTGTAAATGAGTTTGCCAACAGATAGGTATAAAATGTATATATTACAAAGGAATGTAAAATCATATTTTAGCATGCAAAGTGCTAATCATCTATTAAAGTTGAAGAATTGAATATTCCCAATCCTTGAGAAATTAGAAAATGTGTTACTCTTAGTTTTGAATTCACTTACATTTTTCTTTCCCTCCTATATGATTTTCAGTTTTCAGCCAAGAACCATTATTACAAGGTCTACAGCAGTTCCAACATGTGTGTACAGAGGCCCAAAAGACAAAGTAAGTAACTCCCCATCAAGGAAAATTTTCCTGATATTGTATTACCAAAACAGGTTTGATTGCTACATGGAAGCAATAGTAGATACTTGTTAAATTGACATTATACAGAGAAAATCTGTCCTCTGTATGACTCCATTCTAGATAAGATGATCTCTTTGCTCTGACTCATCGTCAGCACTCTGAAGTCACTTTTCTTCCTGTCTGTCCATTGTAGGTATAGTGATCTATTTGCCCTAGTGGATGACTTTGAGGATGCTTCAAGGACAACCAGGAGTCGGCTAGCCAGGCGGTCACCAGGGAACACCAGCCCAAGGGCAAGGAAGAGCCAACCCGTCAACGATGATACGTCGTCTTCTTCAGAGGTAGGATGATTAAATATTGATTTCCTGTGTTATATTTTAAAAGATATAATAGAATGCTTTTATAATTTCTTCCGTTTTGGTTTGTAAAATTGCTCTATGACGGAGGCATCACTTTTGACTGTGTGCAGTCAAAGTTCCATTTAGTTAATCATGTCACAACTCTGTATTATATTATATCATATTACATTGTTTTGAGTACCAAATAAAATATCACTTGAAGAAAAAGAAGAAAAAATAGGTAGGATGAAGCTTACAGATGAATCCATCTGATTATAGCCAGAAGGGTATAGAGTCTGTAAAAAAAATTAATGCCTTTCTGGCTCTCAACAGACAAATAATGACAGTGTTTATAATATTGCTGTTGATAATTGTGAGGAGCTGGAATGCTCCCCAGGGAGTGGAGAATGTGCATACATTGTGTGCGGGTAAGCCTGAATCCGATGACCGGGGTAATAATATATGTATCTGTAAAGCGCTTTGAGAGGGCTATCGGTCCTGAAAAGTGCTATATAAGAACTACCGGTAGCTATTATTATTATTATTATTATGTAGCATTTCGGCATTGGTCAGAATGGTCATCAGATTGATTTAAAAGCCAATAAGTTTGTTTCGTGGTATTTGAAATTTGGTGTGATGGAAATGATCTTTTAAAATGCGGTATGACAGGAGGTTTTACACATTTTTAGAAATATGAAGTCTGTAAAGTGATGTATGGTCCATCTTTAATCCTTTGGTGTTAAAATAATTGTAATTAAATTCTAATTGAGTTTCTTTTTTCAACCTCATCAGTTGGTGTATTACGTATATATAACTTAAAATCTTAGACAACAGGTTATTTTAAATAGATATGAAATGGAATAAATAATTATCTTCTTCTTTTCTTTATCTTCTACAGGATGAGGAGGTGAAATTCAAGTCGAAACCTGCCAAAAAGAGGAAAAAGACAGCGGCAGCGAATTCCGATAGTGACTGAAATTGTAGCATGTTGCTATAGAAACAATCAGAACATTCCATCTAGGATGAATAACATTCACAACGAGCATTGAGTCCGGGAGCGAGGAAATGGACTCCTAAGCTTTGTTCTTTTTAAAAACTTGTCTTGGAACAAATATATGTGTGTGTTTGTCTTCGCAAGATGTTCCCTTCCAACCTGAGATGCTGTTTGTCTGTCAACTCGGCTACACAAAGCATCCCATTGCATCTGATGTGCAAGGTGTGTCATCTTCTACCTGTTCCTGCATCGTCGAAAATTGTTTTTGAAGCTACTGTTTTATTCGCCAAGACCTTACGCTTCCCATGAACATGGATGTTTTCACTTGATAAATACTTGCCTAACTTCATGCGAAATATTTTGAATTTCCTGTTCCTAAATATTCCCCCTTAAATGAAGTCGAATCACAGATATGGTCCATGTTTGTAGTACCGTTGTACATTCTAAAAATGCAGAGCAGGAGAGGAGGAACCCAGCTCTCATTAGCTGTTAGCCCTTGACTAGTGTGAAGATGGTGCACATCATCAGTCAACACAAGGCAGAATGATATTCATGCAATCTCAGAGAAACTGTCAACAAATGTTTCTATGACAGCATGACGAGGAACAGCTGCACTTCAAACAACTGTCAGGATCAGCCCGGAAAGACCTAAAGACGTATCAAGAATGAAGGAATCACTGGACTGGCTTCAAAGAATTTGCTACCATTTATAAATAGATTTTTCCATCATGCGTACACAGAATTGTTCTCTTTATTGCCAATCATCGTTTTTTAATGAACATTTAGAATTTTCAAGTTGTGTCAACAATTAAGAATGATACCTTATTGAAGCTATCATGTGGGTTTTTAATACAGAAGGTATGTGTTCAGAATAAGAGAGTATTCAAAAGTACCAATACATCTCGCTAGAAAAGAGATATCAAGGACCTGTTTCACAGAGCCTTTTTTCAATGACAAATGACAAAAATCAGTGACATATCTGCTGATAACCAATTAGAAGCAAGGATTTAAGTAGCTTATAACAAAAACTGTCACTTGTCGCTGATGACAAGTTTTGTGAAACGAGCCTAGTTCTTTGTACCACAAGAAGCTTACTTCATGTGCACATACTTATCGTGGACTGAAATTCAGTTGTATACTCTCATTCTTGGGTCTATTCGGTTTCTTCATTGGAATAAGGTTTAATTTTGTGTTATTCAAATTCAATATACAATGTATTCTTAGGAAGAGACTTGTCAAATGTCTGCTGTGGGGTGTAGCATTGAATGGCTCTGAAACTTGGACAATCTGGAGAGCGCAGGAAAGGTTGATAATAATAATAATAATATTAATAATAATAAGTCTTGTTTACCCAGGGTAGCCTCATCAGTATTCATACTGTTCTCCCTGAGGGCCCTGCAATCACATCATTAGCCCGCTTTAATCGAGCTACCATGAAATGGTGCTCAAGCATTCAAGGAATTTCTTCCTACCAATGAAAGAATGTAAGGAATTAGTTGGAGGGATAGGATCACCAATAAAGAAGTATTAGATACAGTGAATGAGCAAAGGCACGTTGGTTGAATCATCTGGAGACAGATAAAAATGCTCAGGGACATCTTGGAAGGGAAGATGGATGGTAAATGGGGAAGAGCAAGAAGTGGGATGGTGTCAGACTTGATAGGTTGCAGATCATATTACATGATGAAGAGGAAGGCTTAGGCTAAAGAAAGAGAGGGATGGAGAAATAATGAAAGAGAGCTTGGTAATGTGGACCTGCCAGAACACCTGAGAAATTCAAATACTATGTGTCTGTGTATCCGAGGGTTGTGCCTCTCATCACAGATACTGGTTCTATCACCGATATTGCTTTAGTAAACTTTAAAAGAAACTTGGAGGAAGAGCTTGATAGAAATGTTGTTTTACTTATCAGAATTCAAGAGAATCACAAAACCTACTTTACTTCAAGACCATCGCTGTAGCTTTCATATACAAATCTCTGACGACCCAGATTTAACTATTTGTATTGCATTAGATAAACTGCAAAGGTAATGTTTCGAGCTGGAACAATGCACTATGAATACTTCACTCTTTAAACTAGAAAGTAATTGACATTGTGTTATTTTAATAATCATTCAGTAATCAGTACAGGCTGCATTCTAACTATCATGGTTCCAATAAATACATAATGATTAACTATGAAACATGACAATATTGCTTATTTTCAAAGCAGAAATTTAATTGCAAATTTTAGAACTGCATGAACAAGATTTTAATTGATCATTGCTTCTTAGGGTCCCTACAGGTTAATGTACATGTACTTGTGTGTGAGCCAAGTTTAAATCATTGTATACAACCACCGTGTCTGTCAACAGTTTTGAACATACAATGTATTCTGTTTCAGATTTAGTGGAGAGAAGATTACAGATTGTTAAATGATCAGGAAGGATATGAAAATAGGTGTCGTACATGTAGCTCATGATTTCATCATTCTTTAAAGATAATTTTGCTTTGTGAAGATTTATGTTCATAAGGAAGGATAATTGTGACAACCGACCCAGGATAATGTTTTCAAGTAAAAGAAGGGGAAAGAATAGAGTATAGCTCAACTAAATCACGTTGAATCTTGGACAAATCTTTTATGATGAAAGGACGGCTCCTTTTAAAATTTTATATACCAGAGAAGATTATTATGTGTCATGAATCTCGACCTCTATTGCAGGAGGTTTGAATCATGAAATCTTGCAAGTCTTGTTTATTTTTAACGTGTGTTGTAAAGCAAGCAAATGGATTTGCTGAGTTTTCCATGTCTCGTTTCAAAATAATGTTCTTTGTATAAATCCTGAAGTGCACATACTGAATGTAAATTAGCCTGATACTGAAATAGAACAGGCATTTTTCTACATAAAGAATTGAAGAAGAAACACTTGTTTTGTGGTTATGAGTGTCATTTATTTTGTCCGTTTTTGTCCTTGTTCAGTGAAGTGCTTTTTACTTGATTTGGGATAAAGATGGATGTTTTTGTTTTTTTAATCCCTTTATCTTTCTCCTTTCTTGCTCTTTATCTTTGTTTTCTTCCTTTCTATATCTCTCTCTCTCTCATTTAGTTTATCAATGTCACTGTGATAAGGCCTAAAATAAAAACTTGTCGTATTGCCCTTTGCGACCAACCCCAAAATCGGAAAATCTACGGTCAGCATTTTAAAAAAGTTTTTTTTTTCAACCGTTTTTTTAGATTTTTGTTATATTAATGAATACAAAAATATGTATTTTGTTTGTTTAAATGGGATATAAATGCATAAAATCAAATTGTTCAAAAATTCTCACTCGTGCAAACCATGGATAATTATGAGGTGAAAAAGATATCAATGGAATGATGACGTTGAAACGCGTGTATTAAAAACTGAGAAATATCAGCCAAAAGAGGGCGGGGAAAAAAGAAGAAAAAACAACAACATTCAAATCTGAAAAATATCGGTCCAAAGTGGGTGACCAAAAAAAAGTTAAAAAAAAAAAAACTTTTCCAACCGACCGACCCATGTTTTGGCACTCAAAGGGCAATACAACAAGTTTTTATTTTAGGCCTCATACTTCCCAAACCCCTATCCAAGTTTTAAATACACAAGTCTAATTGAAAGTCAAGGTGCATTTTATCACAACTTGTTTTCTTCATTTGTTTTAAATATACAAAGTCAACATGGGACAAACTATTCCTAGCCATACATGCAAAGAGAACATGACTATTATTCTGAAATGGGAGGATTGATATTTACCGGAAAATCATGATTATGATCGATGAAGTAGAATATACTTGCTGTTTTTTGTGTGTTTGAACAAGTTTTATTCCTTCAAAGAATACCTTTATAACATTTGGAATTTCTGTTCAGTTTTTCATATTTTGAAAATAAATCCACTATGAACCCAATATAGACAAAGATAATCGCAACTTGTATCTGATTCTGTGTGGCAGTCTTCCCTCGACCTCCGAAAACTGAGATAAAGAGCGCCATCTATTGGTAAAATCATTATAACAAAGGTGGGACTGAAAATAAAAATCGTTCGCGACCACGACGTATTTCGTAAGTAAAAAATGTATTTTGTTGATGTCTTGGTATCTTAATATCTCTTTAACCAGAATTAACGATTTTATGTTTATGTTTGCATGATGAAAAGGCCAAAGGTTGAGTTAATTTGGATATACCAGGCGCATGAACATGATCATGATAGACACAGAGTGACAGACATTTTTTTATATTTCAGTCCCTCGTGTTTGATTTCGTGTTTGGTATGTGATACAAGTTTGATTTTTTTTTCTTGTTTCATTCTCAAATTCAAAATGTGAATTGTGATCAGTGATGGATTTTAATGTACAAAAAAAAAAAAAAAAAATGCATAAAATTTCAAAAAACAAGTGTTTAATAAGTTGTGCCCTTAAAGGTAATAGATCTACAAAGTTTTGGTATGATGGGGTCGTGAATTTTGTTCAAATGAACGATTAATTATTGGAAGCATAGATCCTATGCGATCCTACGATATTCACTGATCGTTGTCGTGGTCGAAATCGACTCTAAAGTTATGAAATCATAAATAATAGACACATTATGTTGTATAGCTCCCTCTCAACGTCAAGATATTAATTAAGCTATAAAACAATGTGTCTCGACTAAAATCGACCGATTAGCTATTCCCGTTCAGAATATATACCACAACTACATATTCTGAGATTTCCATGGTCGCAGCTACCATTGTATGGCCATAGGAGCTATTTGAAATTTAATAAAATTTACCTGGAGCACCGGTAAATCTTTATATTCAATTTTTCTCGAAAGCAGAAGTGTTTTAGGGGCCAAAATTTCTAGTGCTTTTAATACATCCACAGGGGCATCCAAATATATAAAGTTATATATACCAAGTTATTCATTTGAAAACATATTCCGTTGGAAGTTTGACTCCTTGAGTAATACATTTGTGCTTCTACAGTAGATCTATAATCTTATTCAACACTGCCCTGTTGTTTGTCTGTGTCCTAAATGCAAAGTCCGATGATCCTTGCATTATTTTCTCCCTCTTTCAGGAAAGAAGCAGCTGGAAAGTCACAATATCGCCTTCAAAGCTCCCGTGCATCAAGACATCATGCCAGTAATGTTGAGACTAGCCCGGCACGGCTGTACGAACAGGCCTTTCTTTCATCTCATAGCCATTCACAACAAGTTTGCCAGAAACAGTGGGAGAGCCTTGGAGCAGTTGGGAACATTTGATCCCATGCCAAACAACCACAATGAGAAGCTGGTCAGTCTCAATGTGGAAAGGATCAAGTACTGGCTGGCGATAGGAGCACATCCCACACCACCAGTATCACATCTCTTAGGTAGGATTCTTTGTTTTGACTTCTTTTATATACTCATAATTGAAAGTTTTTCTGTGCCCTTTCTTTCTAATTTTTTACAATTATTTTATTCATTTAATTGTATCCCTCTCAAATTAAAATTCTGACTGGGTAGAAATCAGATGTTTGAGTTTGATTTTTATTTGATTTACTCTTGTAAATCAATGGACACTTTAAAATAAACAAATAGCTTTCAAAGTTTGATATCTCTGATTGACAGAATAACTGTGTTCATTAGTAGTTTAAAGATAAACTCCAGTACTGGTAATGCGATTGCATTGTGAAAGAAAAGGTGTGGAATGGATCAGAAACAGTTGATCATGTAGCATGTAAGTATTGGTGTGCACTGCAAGGTTCTGGAGTCATCAAAATCATAATAAATTTGGCCGAGTCTTGGTAAAGTAACAAGCACTGTACACAGAAAGCTATATATGGGACAACACACGTGGTGTCGGGGCTAGTTCTACCTTGATTTCCTTGTCTTTCTATGCTCATTTCTCAGCCAGTATACATTTTCTTCCAAAATTGTTTGGCACATGTCTTTTATTTGTAATCTTGAACATTCAGTGTAAGTTTCGTTTGATTCTGTGAGAATCAATTTTCTTTTTTTTACCAGAACTGGAGTTTATCTTTAAGGATCTGTAGAAATACAAATAAGTTGAAATGTACTTGTATATTCAGGTCTCAATTCAAGTATTAATTCATCAATTTATATTGCACAGTTGCACAAAAGGCAAAAATGTAATCTCTTTTTGCTGTGCTGTTGTTTGTGTATAAATAGACCTTCAATACTCAGCTGTACAGAACATAATCTCTGTATAACATTAATGGTAAGTTTGTTGTTTGTTTTTCCTCACTCCTTTAAAGGACTATCAGGCTTGCTTCCAATACACCCAAGGACCTACGTGATAGCAAGGAGGGCCAGGCACAAAACTGCTACAAAAGAACAGGCAGCTGCAGCAGAAGCAGAAGTGGAAGGAACAAGTTGAGAATTCTTTGAGAATTTGCCACTGAAATGGACATCCGAAAGCCAGTAATGGACACAGACTTGGCAAGAAGTGTATCATGTGGATTATGAACAAGATGGTTGATATCGAACATGTCTGAATAGTTCTTCATTTGTGTACCATACTACTAGTTCTTGCCGATGCAACATACTTGGTGCTCATGTCAATCAAGCTTGGGGGACTTCAGCATTGGGGACTTTATAGGGAAATATTAAGGGTAAATTCTGGAAAAATGGTATTCTGATTGCTGGTAAGGGTTATTAATGTGTCACAGTCTACATATATTTTCGACCTGCAAAATAAAACTTTGGTCCTCTCAAACCCTATCCCCTGGGATGCTGCAAGGCCAGTTCTCTGAATTTGGACAAAGGATAATATGTTTCTTGTAGAGAAGGACCTTGTGTATACTAGCAATCAATTACCCCCTCCATTGAACTACCGGTATTGCTTCATTGTATGAGCTAGATGTAATTGGTAAAGGTTGTGTCCTATGGAAGAAAAGCCATCCAATCTGATATTCCTTAATGGTCTGTGAGGAGAGCTTGGCAAACAAGAAATGTGAAGTCGGGATGGACATGTATTATTATTATGAGCAGCATCAGTGATAGTTCGAGTGAACTGTAAATTTTGTGTGTGTGTGTGCATGTAGTCTGCTCTTGAAGAATATAAACTACACGTATAAATGTACGCAAAAGAGATAGCTATGACGATATAGGGAATAAATAAGTATTTTTACGTTTGAATGTAACTAAAACTTGGTTTATAATTGTTGTTTGTGAGTATTATTGATATTGCAAGACCGATATTAATATTGCAAAACTTTTTGCAAGATTGGAACAAGAAGTACATAAACATGCATGTATAAAGGGGCAGGTATATTTTTCTGCATGTAAAATTAGAGCACTGGTGTATCCAGACTTGTTGAATACGAAAAAGACGAGGGTGACACATAAAATCACATACACCTTTAGTCAATTATGACAGCAAAGTTCTGTGTACAACCTTTTTTTTAACCAGATGAACAGGAGAGGGACCCGAGATGTGTTGAGCACCATTGTCAAAAGGTTACATTAAATTATATGTATACTAGTTCATGTATTTTGTAGATACTAAGAACACAGTAGGGGAAACTTATGGATTAATGTCCCCCCCCCCCCCCCCCCCCCCCCCCTCCTGACAAGAAAGATTGCTAGCAGGCTCTTTATAATAAATGAATTTTAAAAAATACAAGATTCTTGATTTAAATTTTTTTTTAAAAATCTAATAAATAATACTATCATAAAATTATAACAAATCTGAAATATGTCAACATACATTTAGAAGGGGGCAGGTTGTGTCAGTGACAACATCCCCCGCCCCCTCCTCTTCAATATTGTCACAACATATGTGGTTACATGTTTATCCCCAGCCGTGGGAAATATGATGCATGGAAAATAATTAAAGGACATGTACTACTAAAATCTTTTGATAAAAATAATTTATTTACATGTCAAATTTCAGGTTTCAAAATATACACATTGAAGACATTTCACAATACAAAACTTGATACATGAAGTCATGAACATGTATATGGGCTGTGGACAAGTCCATGGTAAATTTGTCCCTTGAACCAACATAATTCTAAAGGTTTAGTACACCTAGAAAGTTGACGGCCCGATTTACTAGAACTTAAATTGGTCAAATATCAAGGAAAATTTCACTGTGATTTTTTTCTTCTCACTTTGTTATTATTGGTAATGTATGGGACAGCAAATGACATTTGACATACCCATATATGTGCATTTTTAAAACTCCTGCCATGCAAAGTGATCCATAGAAAGGTAACAAAAAAGTGATCAATTTTTATTGCAAATATGCAAAGAGAGGAAGTTAGCCAAACAAAACAGCAGTGTTGAGGTCGGAACAAACAAATACCTGTATATTTTTTTACTCTTCATAAATAACAACTTGTGTAAAAACTTGACATTAAATATCATGCTCTACAGATTCTCAAGAAATAATTAACTCTAATCTAATGAGGTATACTTCTGTAATATCAGGATAAATATGGTGCTGAATTTTTTCTTCAATACTTTGTTCTAACATTTAAAAGGAAATCCAACTTTGATGGCAAACTATCTAGAGGAAAGCAGAAAAAAAGTAGACTGGTGAAAGTTTGAGTGGAATAATAATAATAATATTGGCATTTATATAGCGCTCTTACAGACATACATGTGTATCACAGCGCTTTACAACATATTATTATTACCCCGGTCATCGGATTCAGGCTTACCCGCACACAAGGTATGCACATTCTCCACTCCCTGGGGAGCATTCCAGCCAGTCGCCATTTTACAAGCGCCACTTGGAACAAAATGAGAAAGATACACAATTTTGAAAGTTGCAATAACTATAATTGGTATGGGCTCTTCAAATTGGCTGACTTGGTAATGTCTCTGTGATGTAGTGTCGGACAATTTTTCAATTTGTTCCAATACACAAAAATGTCCGACTCTGGAATGGCTTTACTCTAATAGAGGACCTATAATAATATGCTAGACATAATGCTTATGAGTGGAGCCCTAAGGGAGAAGGCACTTGGGAGAAAAACAGTATTAATTATATTTTTGTAATGCAACAAACGGGAGAGTCATATGCGACTATGTCACAATCCACTGACCAAACTGTCACTTTGAGATTGGCATTCATAACTTTCTTATTGTTGGTCCGTCATACATTTTTTCAAATTTTTGCAGTTCTGTGAATTTAATTTTTCTGCTTTCATACAAATGAACTTATTACAAGGGTTAGATTGCCCTTTAACAATAGATTAACAATAGATTGAATTTATTTCAGGACATCTTATTTCATACACCTTGTTACACACACATGACGCACATCATGGAACGCTCCTTTCTTGTTATGCCGCCTTGTATCCTTTATGAGAATGGATTGTGTCCTTCTTCCCTAGCAACCTTTAGAGCCCAAAAGAGTTCTTCACCAGGAGGGAAGTTGTTCCAGTCTCTCCATTCCCAACCTGAGAGTAAAATAGACAACATTCATCAAAGAATTTATCCGTTTGATAGTGTTTTATGATTTAGATGAGCAAATTTACAAGAAATTAACAAATGGAAATTTAGGGAGGTCAAAAGATGTTCTATATTATTTGATAAAAGTTTCATTATTTTTAAATACAGTGTAATTTGAAAGTAGCCATTGTGCTATATTAGGCTGAATTTGCACTATGTGTGTACGTTGGGCTTCGCTTGTAAATGATATCCGGACACCTTGCAAATCCTGCTGGTTCTGAGATTTTTTTCTGACTTGTTTTCAATTACAAGAAGGACTCAGGAGTACAAAATTTGATCTACTGGGTACAAACCAAATATTTTCTTTACAAAGATTGAAATAATTCCTGTCACTAAATCAAACTGGTGATGAATTCCCTTTTCATATTGGTAAATTTACAGAATTGCTTCCAACGTTCCAATAGACACTTCTTTGGTAAAGGAGGCTATGGATCTACAAACCTTCACATTTATTAGGCTCCGTATTTTCTGGATCCTTCTTAAAATCTGCATCCACCTCGCCCCTCATAAAGATAGTGACATAATGGTAGTCTTTCTCTATGCACACCGCGTTGACGACAGTTGAGAAGACAACGTTCTTGAGACGCAGCCCTGTTTCTTCTTCTGTTTCTCTCTTGGCACAATCTATCCATTCTTCTCTGAAGGAATACAAATGTTTACAGAGAATTAAGATACTTGATAAATATAATGTTTTACAAAAAGAAACGTTACTTTCCCATTCCAAAATCCCACTACCTTAGTTTTGCATATTTCTGAAATCGATGAAAAATGTGCATCCCTAGCAGAATGTGGAAATATTTTGCTTGTCAGATATTCATTTTAATTCTAAGACTAATTTAGGACAAAGGGATCACATGATTCTTCTGAAACTTCAATTATTTTTCTTGAGCAGGCCTGTAGCCAGAGTTTGATGTTTTTGGGGGCACATACATGTAATTGATCAACGTCCTGGGGAGGGGTCTAAAAAATTCAACCGATCCCCCCCCCCCCCCCCCCCTGTGTGGCTACACGCCTGGTCTTGAGACAGGACAATCCACATATGGCATCAATCACAAACCCACCTTTAGTTTTATTCCAAACTGTACAAACAAAATAAACAAACGAACACCAGCAACAACAAAGGTGAAGCCTCAAATGTTAGACAAACTGTGTTTTATCATGCCTTCTTGGGCATGCATGGTCATGGACATGGACTGAGAAGAGACATCACATGGCCTCATAAATTATTTAATATTAGGAATATTACACCATAATCCCGAGTCCTGTCTGTGCATAGCTGTGACAATATTTGGTCAATTCTAATTTTTACAGTGAGTAAGTAAATAATTGGTAGAAAATGAACATTATTCAAAATATTCAGACGAACATGCCACGCCCACATCAAAGAGCATGAGCAGAGCCCAACCCACAGCCTATACGGCTAGGCTCGGCCTCGGGCAGCGCAGTTCGAGCTGCTGCTGCGCCGCAGCTCAGGCCAGGGCGGCCAAGCTCATGCCCCATGATCATGGAAGCTTGGCTGCCTTGCATTGCATTGCATGCGCATGCCGATCCTCAGCTGAAGCAGTATAATTTACCCGAATTCTAGATGGCCACCAGGAAGGGCGAATGTCCCACTGCCAGTTGATCCTTTACGCTTCCCGAGTACAACACAATTTGGATGTGCATCGCTTGTTACAAAAACTCCAACGCCTATGCCGGGTCTCTTCACATGTGGTTGACTGGGCGCTGCCATTTTGATTTTAGTGGACTCGAGCTGGCGCTATAATTTGACATCGATGGAGCTCTATTTGTGTACTGTTTCTATGGCGAATTTTAGCTAATGAAAACACTGGCACTGGACATCAAGTTTTACAGTCTTGTTGGTCAGAATGTAACATAATGGTGAGTTTATTCAGTTGTGTGTGTGAGTTTGTACAGTAAAATGACGATTATATTGAATTTTCGTGTGTGAGTTGAGTGACGCGACTCGTCGAGAAGACGGAGACTTTCAGTTTCATTCCAACTGCAGCCGCTAGCCGAGTGCAGGCTTGACTGAGCAGCAGCTGAGCTCAGGCTGAGTGAAAATCAGTGCAGTGTGAGCTAGATCTGACAGATTGATCAGCAATCAGAAAGAGAGATTATCTAACTGTGTACACAATATCATTTCAAAACAAATTGAGACATGCCTGTAACAGTAGTAAATCATCAGATAAATGACATTCAAGAATTTGTCAACTGATTTCTCTCTAAAGTAAAGGCTAGAAGTTAGAACTAGAGCTTTTTTTTCACTGGGAAACTTCTCACATATTTTGCTTTTGGTTTTATAATTGTCATATTGTCAAGGTGGATCATGGATTTCCCTTTTAAATGTCCACATGTAGATTTCTAGATCTAGGTATTGTTTATGATCGACTTCATTTTAAGATAATGATTGGGTGCAACTGATATGGCTAATGAATTGTGTTTTTATTTATCCATCCTCTTTACTGTCTTTATATAGGTAGAACCACCAAGGCATTTACCTACATTTTCCTGCTCACAGATTGTACTCTGCTGCATGATTTTAAGATGTCAGAACAAGATGTTTGCTGGATGATACCGTGATGCCTGGGGCACTTCGCCCAGTAGCAGTTGTCTGCTACATTTGCGGGAGGGACTTTGGATCCAAGTCCATCGGAATACACGAGCCGCAATGCATGAAAAAATGGAAGGCTGAGAACAGCAGCCTCCCTAAGCATCAGCGTCGTCCTCCTCCTAGGAAACCTGATTTATTACCTGCCGTCAATGGCTCATCATCCCAGGATATAGAGCGGTTTAACCAAGCTGCCTTGAAGTCATCACAAGCCCAACTGCTACCATGTCCAAACTGTGGGCGTACCTTCCTGCCAGACAGGTTGCCAGTCCATCTGAAGAGTTGCAAGGGTGGCAATGCAATAAGCAAGAGAAGATTGGAAAGTGCTGGTAGTGTGGCTAGATCATGGTCAGGTCCAGATACCCAGACACCTAGACCACCCTCTAGACAGGATAGGCCTGGAACAGCTACCCTTTCCCGTCCCAGCTCTGTTACCCTCCAACAGAGGAAGCATGTAACCGTTACGCCCGTGAAAACCCCGGTCGGAAGGCAACAGAGCAACACCCAAGGGGGAGCTGGTTTCCAGCCAACACCACCACCACAGAAACGTAGATCTCAATTAACATCTACGTCACAGGCATCGTCACCTCAGAAGCCTCAAACTGTTGTCTGCTTTATCTGCGGAAGAGAATTTGGAAGCAAGTCGATCTCCATCCATGAACCACAATGCATGCAAAAGTGGAAAGTGCAAAACAGTCAGCTCCCAAAACATTTGCGGAGACCCCCTCCCAAGAAACCCCAGGCTCTTGGTCAAGGACAGCCCATGGGTGTTGGTGCAGAAGCCTACAATGCGATAGCATCCCAGAGTGCAAGTTCCCAGCTTGCTCCTTGCTCTAGGTGCGGGAGAACCTTTGCTTTGGACAGGATTGAGAAACATGAATCCATATGCAGCGTGAAATCTGGCACCGCACCTTCACGCGGCAAGACACCATCAGAGGGTAACCAACAACTCAGCTCTTCGAAATCTAGGAGCGGTCCTCAAAGCTTTCAACCATCTCCTCCCTCAAAGCCAAGAACACTTGTCTGTTATATATGCGGCCGAGAATTTGGCAGCAAGTCCTTGCCAATCCATGAACCTCAGTGCTTACAGAAGTGGAAAATACAGAATAGCAAGCTACCCAAGGAGCACCGTAAGCAGTTGCCCAGGAAACCAGATGCCTCTGGAGGAAAATCAGCCAATGAGGCTGCTATGGATGCAGCCAATGCTAACCTTGTGGCTTGTAAAAAATGCGGCAGGACCTTCAATCCTGATAGGATAGAGAAACATCAGTCGATATGCAGACCGAAAACAGGGACTGTGCTGAGACCAAAAACAGCCACATTGAGTCTTGGGAAAGAGAACCAGATGAATAGTTCAAAGTCAAGAGTAAGTTATTTCTCTTTCACTACTTCCAGCAAAATTTAGAAATAATTCAGTGAAGTTGTTCTGTTACAAAAATCTGTTTATAATAATTAAATCATCAACATAATTTTTGTATTATTTTGCCCTCTGTCATTATAGAAAAGTATGATTGTATGTAGTCTCTTTTACAATGTGTAAAATAATATATGTTGCAAAAACTGCATGATTGTTTTTTACCATCTCATCCATTTTATTTGGATCCCCTGCCATTGAAGATCAGGTTGTAGGACTGTTGAATTTCAAACCTCTTATTATGCATTGTCATTATACAGGATGAATTTAAATTCTTTGACAGTTATGAGGCTTACATGTATAATGGTTTATAAATGAAGTTGTTGCTGTTGATTTTCTGGTAGAGTCTTGAAAACCATTTCCTTATGAATCCCAACTTTTCCACTGTCTTGTCTCCAGACTCCAAAGACTCCTATCCCTCGACGGCCCATTACCGTGGTCTGCTACCTCTGCGGACGGGAGTTTGGAAGCAAGTCGATATCCATCCACGAACCCCAGTGCCTCAAGAAGTGGCACATCGAGAATGATAACTTACCCAAGAAGCTACGCAGGCCTGAACCAGTCAAACCTGTTGTAACAGTGATCCCCACCACAGGTTAGTACTGAATGTCTCTGAGCATCTGGGACCTGTTTCACAAAGTGTTTTTCCAATGACAAATTACTAATATCAGTGACAAATCTGCTGATAATCAATCAGAAGCAAGGATTTCAGTAGCTAATAAAAAAAACTGTCATTTGTCACTGATGACAAGTTTTGTGAAACGCCCTCCTGATGTTGTTGTTAGTGTTTAGATGGCGCTCTTCAATCTTGTCAGATTTCCTGCGCCACAGCATTCCTTCTTTGATGTTCATCTTTTCGAACTTGATCTCATGGCTCACTTTTCTGGAGGGGGGGTCTGTCTTTTCAGACTACAGACTGATTAAGCAAGTAATGTTGGTTGTACTTTTAAATATTAATGATCTGGTCTCGATCATTGGGACAAACAAAAATGAATAGAAACGTTTCAGAATCAAATTATTATTTAGCTTTGCAATTACATGTAGGCAAGGAATTCAGAACAAATTATTTCTCCAATTCTATCATTGTAGGGCAGAACTGTTTTGAAATTCAGTAATCCAGTCACCATAGTTTTGAGGGCTAGAATGTTTTTTTAAACAGATATATGGCGCCATAGAAATGCTGTGAATCATCATCATCAACTTACCAATTCCACACCCATTTATGCTACTAGTAATTGCTATCAATATTTGAAATCTGTCTGTTTTGTGTATACGATTGACATATACATGTATTTGCAATGTTGAAGTTCATTGTGTATCCCTGATGTATAGGTCTACGATATTAGAAGCAATTTATTTGTAGGAACAAAAATTGATGTAAATGATTAATTTCTATTCCATTGCCATTTCTCTTCTTATTCTCTCTCTCTCCCTCTCTTTATGTCTCCTTTACCCCAGGAAACAAGAGTGGGGGTTATAATCTTGATGCCATGAATGAAGCAGCATATAAGGCAGCACAAGCTAACCTTGTGCCTTGTGACATCTGCGGTCGTACCTTCCTCCCAGACAGGTTAATGGTCCACAAGAAATCATGCAAGCCCAAGAAAGGAAGCAGCCTTCAGGGACCGGTGTCTTGAGGGAACCATCTCAGAAAATGTCAGCTAGTTCCCCTGCCCATAAAGCAGTCTTTCAGTCCAAATTACCAGAATAATTTGACTTGATGGGACTGTCTCAGAAGTGTTTCCCAGCCCATCTATTGAAAACGATAAAGTAATATGACTTTATACTGGGTGTAAGCCACAAATATGTTTAAATAATGTACTTTGTTGGACTATCTGAAATATCCTCTAGTTTTCTAGCCCATGGAATGACCAGGTAGTATGACTTGATTTGACTGTCTCACAATTTTCTGCTGACTTGCCAGCCCATGGAGCAGTCTTTTGGAAGCGACCAGGTAAAATGATGTAGTGGGACCATCTCAGCAATGCCTGCTAGTCTCCCTACCCATGGCTTTTGAAAATTACCATATCTTTAAGGGACCACCTCAGAAGTGTCTGCTCCTCTCCACGCCAATGAACCAGTCTTTCAGAAATGACCAAGGCCATGTAACTTGATGGAACTGCCGTAGAAATGTCAGCTCTTGGTTGTCTCCCAGCTCACCTTTGAAAAAGGCCAAGTAACATAACTTGTTGTTCACTCGTCTCGCAGCCCAAGGAACCTCTTTTCCAAATGACTACTGGGTAGGTAGTATGACTTTATATGGAACCATTTCAAAAGTGTTTGTCAGATCTCCTGACCTACTGAATAGTCTTTCATACATGTATTTCTATGTATTCCGTCCTAGAAAGTGCCTATTTCCTGCATGATGACAAAACTTGTCATCAGTGACAAATGGCAGTTTTTGTTATAAGCTAGTGAAATCCTTGCTTCTGATTGGTTATCAACAGATTTGTCATGGATCTTTGTCATTTGTCATTGAAAAAAGGTTTAGTGAAGCGGGACCCAGATGTAATAGAGATGATCAATATTCCAAAGCTAACAACTCTCAATGATTACAAATACTAGTAATAATAACCTTGTACATTTCTTGCTTTATTATATCTCCATGTACAAGTGTGTAACTTTTTCTCTGTTTCTTTTTCTGCATGCAATTCTGACATTCATGCAACCTACTTTATATGTGCAGGCTGAAATCATAGCTCATTCCATCCACCCATGTTACTGAATATTTGACCCTTTCTAAATTTCCTCCCTAATACAAGCAGCTCTATTTAAGGGCAAAACTCCCATTTATGTATTGTTGTGATTGCTCTGATTGACATGTATAAACATTTTGTATATGAATTTTATACCTGTAGATTCATATGAATCTCATTATTCAAAGAATGATTCTCATTGTTTACTAATGTAAAAGTTTACCTGCTTTGGTTTTACAAAGAACTTGGAATGTTGTCACAGCTCTAATATAATGTATTCAAAGAAGGTGTATAATCTTTGAATGAGAGAGATTTTTGTTTGTGTATTTAAGCATAGAGTGTGTTTTCTTTTCCTCTAGATTTTTCAAAGATTCTATGGAAATGAAATATAAGTGCTGTGTTTTATCTAGATATCAGGATAGGAAATCAGGAATCCAACTTCATTAGAAACATTCTTTAATCTGCAGTGCATTAGAAGAGTGTCCAAAGTAGGAATGCACCTCAGTTGTTGGTTGGTGTGAATAAATATGTATAAAACATACATGTGTGTCTCTGAGCATTTAGAAACAATAACTTGAGCAACAAAAATAGGAAATTAAAGTGGTACCCAGACTATGTGTCTCATCATCTCTCATGAATGCGTTTTTATCAATGGATGTGATTTCTACCAAGTTTTCATTCATTTTCTCATGGTATGCTTATCCAAGCAATCCATCTAAATCATTATAAACAGAAATCACTTTTCACCTGTTTATTTCACAATATCTTTAAAATGAACACATGCGCTCAAGATGTCTTGGTTGATTTATATGGAGAATACCGGTATGTCAATTCTATCACCGGTAATGTAGTTCTGTTGACAGAAATTATCTAATGTATTCTATGAAAAATTGTATAAATATAATTTTGTAAATTTACCTTTAAATTGGTCGTGCATGAGATGGGAATCAAACATCTCAGAGTGTGTGAGAATGAAAAATCACCTTGAAATACTGAAATTATTATGTCATTCTTACTTGTAAATCAATTATATATTTCACCTTAATAAAATATGCCACTTGTTGAAAGCTGAAGTAGATGTGTGCAATTGGATCAGTAATAATGAAATTTAATGAAAATTATTGTATTTCATTTCATTGATATTCAAAAAATGACTTGTAAATGTACTTGATTTTAGTGTATGCCAGATTATTGATTTATATTTGTACATATATATATATCTAACAAACAGGGGTTTGTCTTTGTAGTATATTGCCATGGGTATAAGGCTTGATGCTTTGCAGTTAACATCTAAATTATTCATACCCTTGCAGAGTTTTGTAATCTGTTTCGGAATATATGAACAATTAATTTGTCCCATTCTATGCTTCTTGATCATGTGACATATTAAAGCTGACATCTAAAAATATTCAACAAAGGCCAGTCCACCTTTCATTCTTGAGTTTATACAACACTAAAAAACATCAAATTTACAAGGGTTATGAATAATTTAGTTGTGTACTGTATGTCCTATATCAGTTTGAAGTGTTTGCTAAATTTAAAGGGTTACAAAAATGGATTTACTCCAAAAGTACCATTTTCTCAATTTTAGAGAATCGTTTTTTCCTATTGTTCAGGCCTGATAAAAACCCGATTTAAATCGGTTTCCCGATTTTTTTATATTTTTATCCGATTTTTTCCCGATTTTTTTCTTCTTCCCAATTTAAAAAAAAAAAAAAAAAAAAAAAAATCCTTTTTTTTTTTACTAGATTTTTTTTTCTACCCTGTTTTATCCTTATTTTCCCGATTCCCCCCTTATTTTCTCTATTCTTCCCTATTTTGCCCAATTCCCCCCCAATTTTCTTACTCGAAAGGGGGAATGTTGCTCCAGCCATTTTTTCCCCGTGAATCCTCTTCTTTCTTTTTTACTCAAGGGGGCGTGGTTGAGGGGAAAACAAAAAACCTATTTTTTTTTTTAGTGCTCACTATCACCCTTGATTGTTAAATGCCATTTTTTCTCTCAATAAGTACATTGACTTTTCAATATTTCAATATATATGGTCTGGAATAGAAAAATGAATTTCTATTTTTGTTGTTGAATATCTACCCCCGGACATATATGCACCTGGTCCATGGGTCCATGGATGCACACACAATTTAACATTTTCTCAAACCTGATGCCTTGACCTACACCATTCTTGTAACTTTATAAACTAGTTAAAAGATATTGATAATCTGAAGGGCCTGGTAGGCTTATTTTATTCAGTTTGCAACAATTAATTACGCTACAAAGGAATACAAATCAATCTAATTCATTTCCTTATATGCGATCCAAAGTTGATAATTATTATTTTGTCAGATTGTCATTATCAAACAAGGAAACATGAATATTGAGCAATTTGGCTCTAAATGGAAAGTGACTATTTTTAATATTTAGATTTTGTTGTATGTTTCCACATACAAATTTGAATTTGAATTTGCTCATGTGTAAGTTTTTAGTGAGACTAGTATTCAGACATGGAATATATTGAAAAGAATTTTAAAATTGTAATATTTTGATTTAATAAAGCTACAGATCAGTAATGTGCATACAATGATTACAATCGTTTCCTAATCCATGTCATATTTTTGAGTTTCAGCTTTATATTTCCTTTTTTTGTTGCCCATGGCCAGATTTTTTTATTTCAATGCTAAATTATAGTGGCAACCTTGGGATATTCTTTTACTGATCGAGTCATATGTGACTGAAAACAATTAAAATGGGGAGACAACGTGTCACAACATACATATTTATGTGACGTCCAAGACGATGATTTTGAACTAAATCAATGTTTTTATGATCAATTTTAAGTCTGAAATGCCACATGAAATGCAATATGGAACACACAAAAAACGGTGTGTAGAGAAAGTGTTGATATGCATACCCAACTATTGGGGCTAAATGACCAAAGGATGAGGCAAGAGTATTTTGTTGGATATATATAAAGCCTCTATCCGAAGGGCACTGAGTAAAATTTCTGATAAGCAAAGAAAAAATAATGAAGAGAGAAAGAAGGTTCCTTCCAATTTCTGCAGCGATCATGATGTGACAATGCAAAGTACATTTCCAAAATCTCTGTCAAGTAAACGGTCTTAACAAAATATTAAATTTTCTTTAGGAGAAAAACTGTATATAAAGGCCTGTCCCTGGCAATTGTTTTCATTCCCCCTCCCCCCCCCAAAAAAAAATAAATCCCGTAACTTTAAACTCAATTAAGTCCACACAGGATGATGTTATAGGAATGATTGAAAACCGGCGAAACATTTGCGAGTTTAATATATACGGCCCGGCAAGATTTACGCGCCCCCATGCATACCTTCAAAACTTATATAGCTGCATCCTCTTATATCATTCATATTTGCAACTCTAAAACGGCGCTGATTCGGGGGCACAGCCCCCCCCCCCCCGTTAAAAAAGGGGGAAGGGGGGAGGGGGAAAGAAAAAGGAGGGGAAAAGAAAGAAAAGGGAAGAGAGAAAGAAGAAGAAAAGAAGGAGGAGAGAAAAGGGGAGAGGAGGAAAGGAAGAAAGGGGAAGAGAGAGGAGATAAAAGGGGGAAAGGATGAATAATGAGAAGGGAAAAGAAAGAAAGGGGGATGATATTTTTTAACTGAAAAGGGGTGGGGGCACGCAATTTTGCAGTGTGCATGATATGGGGTCCCTCTTGCCAGGCGTGTAGCCCCCTCCCCCCCCCCCAAAAAAAAGCACAAGAAGAACAACCAAAAAAAAGGAGATGAAAAAAAGGGGTGAAAGAGAGAATTTTTGTGAGTAAAAGGAGAAAGGAAAACAAATGGAAAAGAATTAAACAACAATAGGAGAGAGGTGTGCGAGAGAAGGAGGAATTGCATTTCTTTTGAAAGAATAATTGGAAATCAACCAGGGTCGTTGCTAAAGAAAGGCGACACCACCCACCCCCATCTGTCAGTATATTGGCGGTAAAATTGCGCTGCTGTCTTGAAAATGAGGAAAGGGGGAGGGGGGAATGAGAGGGAAAGGGAAAGAAAAAAAAAGAACATGAAACAAAGGAAAGAGAAGAGAGAGAGAGAGAGGGGGGGGGGGTAGTTGGGTGGAGTCAACACGTCGAGGGGGCAAGAAAGATACGCATAGGTAATTATGTTGCTGTGTCGGGCCCGCTGTGTCTTTTTTCTCTAATAATTTAATGAAACATCAAAGCTTCCACGCTTCGCGCGGATGGGCGAAAATGAATTCAGACAAGGATCAACTTTGAACGTGAAAGTTTCCGCGCTTCGAGCGGGATAATAATAATAATAATATGTCAGTCAGATTAAGAGTAATAATTCAATGAAACGTGAAAGCTTGCCCGGGAGGGGGATTTAGACAAGGATTGAGAGTCGAAAATAGTACAACGAATCGTTTATCTTTCTCTAATAATTAAATGAAACGTTATAGCTTCCGCGCTTCGCATGGGAGGGGAAAAAACTGAAAACATATTAGTTCCTGTCCCTGGGTTTACAGGGTTAAATTTGTAGACATTGGGCCCGGCCCCCCCCCCCCCCACTCAGTGTTATTTAGGGTACGCATATGCTCGTACCCTCTTTTTGAAAGCACCCCCTATCTGAGGACTGCCAACATTTCCGAACCCCCCTTTCGCGGGCTTTTCGCGGGCTTTTTTTGCATTGGAGACCCCCCTAAATTTAGAAAAAATGCTCAATGTACCCCCCTAAATTCGGAATAATTTCTCAGGAGTCCAAAGAGATGAGAGAAAAAAAGAAAAACACCCCCTTTTTAAAGAAATCTCCGGGTGAAAAGTCAAATACACCCCTTTTCTTACAATTCTCGGGCCGGACTTTGTCGCACGAAAAGTACCCCTTTACCGGACATTTTGGCAACACGCATGCGGTCATTCCGACCTCTGAGTGGGGGGGGGGGGGGGGGGGGGGGGCCGGGACATTGGGACATTGGCATTATATTTGTCGGTAATTGGTGGCTAGTTTTGTCGGTAATTTGTGGCCTCTACACCCCCCCCCCCACCACTGAAAAAAATCTAGCTACGCGCCCCTGAACACAGTTTATACACTCGAGATAATTTTTGGAAGTATTACCGTGATGGATGAAATACCAGACCATCGTTGTGCATCATCGCGACGTGACAGTTCTCTAACTTCTAACCAATCAGAAGGCCTCATTTTTTTTTCTCCAGGAAGCTAGTGCCGGTGGACCAAATGTGGTTCTCAAATTGCAAAAGAACCCTACTCTATATAGCTTGGAGGGGGTAGGGGTAGAGAACAATTTTACGTCATGATTACTCCAAGACTGAGTGCCTGAAATGCGCCTAATGTGCCGTGTTTTTAAAGTTGCAAATGCTTCCTATACTCAGGGAGGGGGTTCTCGAGTAGTGCTTACTAATACCCCCCCCCCCCCCCGCCGCTTCGTTTATTCGGTCGGGCCACGGGGACTCGGGGAGTCCCCCCCCCCCCCCTCCTGGATCATCCGCCCCTGGGACGATTTAATAATTGGGTCATTGATTAGGAATAGTAGCGTCTTCATTCCATGTTCCAGATCACCTTTCTTGTCTATTTTTTACATTCTTTTCTTTTTTGACTTTGAGGGCAATTAAAGACCTGTGCGACGGTCACTATAGCTGGCCCCAAAGAAAAATGAAAAGTCTCTTTTGTACATCTTCTTCCTAAAACCTCAAAATCCTGCAGTAATTTTTCCGAATCTCATAAAGGAAAGTTTTCCTTGTTTGGTTGTATTTTTAGTCGATCGCATATCGAGCTCAACTCAGCCCCGAGCTAAACTCTTCCCCCGGCCCCGAGCTCCTCTTAGCTTGCAGACAAGTTTCAACGCGATTTTTAGCGCGGGATCGGCCGCGGAACAAAAATTAGATTGACCTGTCATGTCGCGTCGGTGACCTGATGGGGGATTTCAACATACACTGTAGTCTACTCATATTTGGGAGATATCATCGTTTTTTAAAGGCAAGGCAAGGCAAGTAAGTTATCAAGTTGTTGTGTTTTTTGCTGTGGAAGTTGAATGTGAAGAAGGTGTTTTCATGTTTGTGAATACAATTGCTAGGGTAGAGTAAGTAAGGATCCGAGGAGACGCAATCCATTTTCCGTCCTGGCTTGCGCTAGGCCAAGCAGCTGCCGCTCGGCCAGGCATGACTGGACTGAGCTAGCTCTCTTGCCTTGGCCAAGCTCAGCGCTCACGGCGATGGATGAACACGGTCCTAGATCCTGCGCCCGGCCGTCGAGTTTTGTGTAGGCTATTAAAGTCTAGACCTAAAGTCATTTACTTAGTCACACAGATTGATGCTTTTTCTTATAGTATTTATACCAGTAAACTCTTTGAAAGCATGTCTTTATTTTCTGGGACCTTTTCTTTTCATTTCTCAAACCCTGCATTTACCCGAATGTTCTATCTCTTTCGTTCGTTAGCCTCTGATTTGGGTAGACTAGGCTAATGAACGAAACAGACAGAAAATTCGGCTATGCCAGCATGGGCTTGGGATTTTTTAATTTTAATCTCAGAAAATGATCTGAGTTAACAACTTACATTTCAAGTAGTCTACACTACAGTCTATGGCGGTGTGACCAAAGTGCGCTATCTCAAAAATTGGTAAGACTAAGATTTCAAAAATCTGATATCACCGATAAAAAAAAGGGGAACATAAAATTAGCTATAGATCTAGAGGGCTTAAAGGGAATTCTCTTTGGAATCGGGTGTGAAATTTTGAAAATATTGACAAAAGATCGTCAAATTTCAGCTGTAGATCTAAATCCCCGTGCGTGAATTTAGGTCTCGTTTTCAAGACTTTTTTAGATGCAGCGCACACGCTCGAACGGACATCAAATTTTTAGATCGCGATATCTCCGAAATCCTTCAACGATACATTTTCTAGTTGAACTTATTTGTAGTAAAAAACTTTGCCGTCCATTTGGTTATAGAGTCTAATTGAAATAAATAAATTTGTGTAGAATATGAGAAATCATGGATCAAATATCACATTTTGTAATATGTTCTAAAATGTCTGTGAACTTCTGTCACACATTCATACAAGCAATATTTATCAGGGAATAATTTTCCTGGTATCGCATCGCAATTTGCTATGCATTTTTGCATGACTGCTATACAAAATATCTTTTGTGTAGCAGTTTTCTTCCATAGAAATGTACAGAATTTCATTTGAAATATTTATCCATCGGCTGAAATTGCTAATCAAAAAATTTGAGGAAAATTATTCCCTGTTTATTATTTCATTAATCTTTTAGTTTTAACTTAACTTTATGTTTGAAAATATTTATAAAGAACAAATATCCATGATGGTAAGTGCTATTCAGTATTTGATGAATATTTTCTGTTAAATCCAAAGACAGTCAAAGAAATATCTTTACATACTTTGTTTGTTAAGTATCCAGACACTCAACCCGGGCCCCATTACATCATGTATGATGGGGTGACCAACGTTCGCAGATATTTTTGAAAATATTAGCAAATGTGATATTTGAGATTTTCATATTCTAATAGATCTATTTCAATTACAAATATTAACAAGTCGACAGCAAAGTTTTTTAATACAAATTGGTTCAAATAGAAAATTTTACGTCAAAGGATTCCAGAGATATCACGATCTAAAAATTTGATGTCAGATCGGCGTGCACACAGCAACTAAAAAAATTCATGATAACATAAGAACTATGGTCACACCAACGTACATGTAGTGTGTACACGTCCAAAAGTTCATGTCAATCTGTGCTTTTGTTTTTGAGTAACAATAGTGACTCAAGTTTCAGCAACGAAAACAATCCCCAATTTGCATGAAAAATTATGTTACTAATGAAATCAAATAATTTTGGAAATAGAGGAAACTTTAGTTTGCTTTTGCAGTGAGCATATCAAAATTTGAAATTAAGAGGATACCATAACTCATATCTAATTGAATGAAGATTGTAACTTTATTTGTATTTGATAGAATAAGAGAGAGAAGCAAGACGTTTTTTGACCAACATTTTTCTAATTTAAATATTTATAATGATATGATATACATCAAGGTCATGCTTGAAATTTGAAAAGCCAGAAATACATATCAGGTACGGTACACACAAATTGTCATTATTTTCATGGGACGGTAATTACAGACTGTTCCTTTTATATGGTGAACCAATGTATGGACAACTAATAAAACATTGTCATTTACTTGTTCAGGCATTAATGTTTTAAGAACAGTTTGTATGCTGCCGATGATGCTTGTATTATTGCTTTTTTAAAACCAGTATAAGAACTGTTCATTAAAGTGAAAGTTTAGAGATAAAGAAAAAGTTTGTTTGTATGTTTGTTTTTTTATTTTAATTTTTTTGAGGGGGGGGGGGGGTTATCAACACTTTTGAAATGCTTAAAGAGCTGTAGTTGATGTTAGTTTAGTAGAGTTTATATCTCCCTTTACAATTCCTTGTTTAGTTATTGAATGTTGAAAAATTAATTTCAAATCCATTATTATGTACCTGTACATGATGTGGAACATTTTAGATTGTTGAGGTCCAGATATTACACTCTTTGTTTTCGGAGGGTCATAAAAACATAAATTATTTGAATACTTGATCAAGATTTCTATGGCCTGCAAAATTATTTATTTATTTGTACATGTTATTTGTTCATTTTTAAAATAATTTAAATCAAGTTATTGTTCTGGGGAGGAAGGTCTGCGGATCACAGTTATTTGGTTAACTTTTTCCATACCCGGGCAGCTCGACCGGATGCACCTGCTATTGCAATATTTATATATGCTTTCTATTGATTTTTTAATCTCAATTCATGTTTGTTATATTGTTGTATTATGTCATGTGACTTGATTTGCCAAATAAAAGAATAATAATAATAATAATTGTTTGGACTATGGCAGTTTGGCTAAGACTTGAGATGTAATCATCCCAATTCATGAAACGCCTGTCCATGTATGTTTTGTTGTTGCTTGGTTTTGCTCTCTGGAGTATCTTTGTGTATCCCTCTCTCACAGGTTTTTCCCCTCTTTATTTAATCTTAGATTAATCAACAATGGGGGACAGAGGGAGAAATAAACCTAGGAAGCACAAGAAAGAAATATGCGTCGGGGAGGAGTTCAAAATTTCTGTAGACTTAGCTATCCAAGAATTCAGGCATGACGAATCAGAGACAGGTTAGTATATTCATTGTTTGTGTTTTTTTAATTGTATTTTTTTACAGGTGATATTTTATTCACATTTCAGAAGTCTTGGAAATACATATTATTTACAAGAAGAGGATAGTTGTGTTTAAGAAAGAATGTTCTATTGATAGTGACTGTACTTCAGGGATAGCTGTAATTATGCTTATGAGTGACTGTTTAAAGAAGTCCCCCAAAGAAAATTCAATACAACTGATAATTATGGACAAAGTACATGTATATACAAGATTTTCTCTTGAAAAACACAAATAATTTTTTGCTGAAAAATTGTATAGATATCATGGAAAGGCGTGAAATGCAATTTTGTGGCTAGCTGTGTCTCGCATGTGACGTCACGAAAGGTTTTTTTTAGAGATGATTACTGCGGGCCCCTAACATATTTTGAAGAAGGAAGTTGTTCTATTTGATCAGTAAGGTTTCCCCTTCGCAATGATATGAATCTTGCATCAATTCAAATCACTTTTGATTCTTCGGGTGACTACTTCAAAACAAAAACAGTGTAATAATTATTTGGTTCTTCCACTTTGTGTTGTAGTCCTTGAGTTTCCAGCTTCATTCAGCAATAATGAGAGGGCATACATTCATCGTCTTGCTATCTCCTGTGGTCTCAAATCAAAGAGTAAAGGGTAAGATGTGTTTTTTAATGTTTTATTTTAGATAATAAACTGTTAATATAAATGTACATGTAGATCATTCTCATTACTCCAGCTTGAAGGAATTATCGGTAATTCAATATTGATTTAATTGTGCAAGGTGGTTTATGCTTTTTTCTTGAGTATTGTCATTTAACTGTTTGTGTATTGGGGTTCCTTTGCTATAATATTGAGATATTGAATCTCATATCATAGAGAAGCCTATATAATTTCATTAAGAGGATGAGATGAAGGGGGAAAATGGTCAAACTCCTCCTTCAACACACACACATATAACAACAAATTTGTGTAAATGCTTATTTGTACTGCAAGAAATTTTTGTTTGTAGGTTTGTAATGTGCAATTCCCTTTTCACACACAAATGTTATATTATGCCTGTGAGAATAATAATGTAATTTAATTTGACACCATCTTGTTTGCTCTGCAGCAAGGGGTCCAATCGTTACCTGACCCTAATCAAGAAGTCTGTCAACAGGATGGATGATGATGGAGAGGATGATGGGTCCCCTGTTTTCCAGATGGGAGCAGCAACTTGCAACGAGTTGCAGGGGTTGCTGCAACAGTTCCCAGTTACCGCTAAGGAGCGGCAGGAGTTGCAGCCCAAAGTGGAGCGTAGAAGATTTGGGCCAAGTGAAGGTGATTACAGCCCCACTGCACTACTTATAGCTACTTGCGCCCTCTATAGCAAACAATGCCTAATCAGTGCCTGTTGGTCCCCCATGATCCCCTTTTTGTTATGTTAATTGAGAGCTGATATGATGAGATAAAAAACACCTGTCAGTGACCTTGCAGGGAGGTCTAATCTCCCCCTGGCCAAAGTAGTGCAGACGGGCTTTAAACCATATCACATATGCAGATTGTAGAAAAAAAAGTTAACTTGTTCCAGGTATGCGTACAAATAATTAGAACTGATCACTTCAAAATAAAAGTGATACATACATGGGGGGGGGGGGGGGGGGTGCCCCACCACACAAGAAACTCTAACTCTACCCATAACACCAATCCTAACCTTGATCCTAACCTTGATCCTAACTCTAATCCTAACTCTAATGCATTGTACTGATGCATAATGAGGTGATCTGCAATTGTTGAACTCATTGTTGAGTTGGAGATGATTATGAATTCAAAGCTCAAACCTCTCATGTTGTTCACAATGTCATATTTCATTCCCAGCCAACCCAGCTCGCGAGATGAACAAGGCCACTGGACGTCTCAACAGCAGCCTGCCACAGGTTCCTTCTAAAAGAAACAAGTCAGACCTTGACAGCTTCCGTCAGACCCTACCGGTCTTCGCAATGCAGAATGAAATCCTTTCAACCATCAATAACAACAAGGTAGTCCTAATCGTAGGCGAAACTGGATCTGGCAAGACAACTCAGGTACATCTTTTTTTCATTTCTAATTGGAATTGTTAGATCAATTATTGTAATACAAGACTTCTTGATTCAATTTCAAAATTGTCTAAAGTTTGAGTCTACACTTCATGCTATCTCAAGCCATGGATACTTTCCTATGTTCAACATAGAGCTTTTACATTGTGTTATTTCATATGGGCACAGTCATTATCAAATTGATCAGTCTGGTTTCATCTCAAAGGATGTCCATTTATAGATCACAGTGTGCTTATTGTTACTTTTTGTGCCTCAGGTGTAGAGTTTTATTTACATTTAACTTTCAGAAGAAAATATGAAACATACTAGAAGAAGGCAGTGTGGTAAGAAAATAAAACATTCTCTCTTGACATTGAAATACTCTGTTAATTATTACTTCTCAAGTTACTGCTTTACATCTGTTTACATCTTTTCCATTTTCAAAATGGATCTTCCATCTCGCTTTTCTCAACTTTGCCATTTTAAGGAAATACATTGTGTATACATACAGTGTATGTATTCATCATCTTTTCCATTTTCAAAATGGATCTTCCATCTCGCTTTTCTCAACTTTTCCATTTTAATTTTCATTTGAACCAGCTTCCCCAATTCATTTTGGACGAGTGCTTTGAGATGAATCGACCATGTCGCATCATCTGTACCCAGCCTAGGCGGATATCAGCACTATCGGTCTCTGAGAGGGTTGCGTCTGAGAGAGGAGAGGCCATTGGACAGACAGTGGGTTATCAAATCAGACTAGAGAGCAGGTAGGCATATCAGTGTTCTTGAGAGGTTCTAGGACACATTCTTTGGTGGCGATTGCCTCATAGTCATTATGTGATTCTAATCAAATTCCGGACTTCAACCCTGTACCCAGCATTGTAGCTACACCTAACCCTAAACCTAACCCTTAACTTACCCTAAACCCAGTTGTAACCCAAAGCCTAACACTGAACTCTGACAATTTAAGCCTAGAGCAAATGTCTTTGGAGCTTGTGTCTAATCACCTCCCTTAAAGGGGCAGAGATGGTTGGGGTGGAATCTTGTACTTTTTAAAAGGAATAACTCATACATACATGTATATGTATGAAAAATCTTCTGACTTTAGTCTTGTGTAATGTAATTTTCATTACACTGCACATTTTGAAGCAGAATTAATATGGGTGCATTCATGTTCCAAAGTACCTCTATTTGTATGCCAAATTGCACAGTGTCCTATAATTTCATGACTGAAATATACTTGTGAATGTACTGTACATCTTACCCCTACATATATGTGTAACTATTCTTTTGTAGAGTTTCACCGAAGACCCTCCTGACATACTGTACCAATGGTGTGCTCCTGAGAACCCTTATGACGGGAGATGCAGCCCTCGATGTCATCACTCATGTTATTATCGTAAGTGTTCACTTCTATTTGTAGGGCAAATACTCAGGTTGACTTATGCACCCAACTTGTGTGACAGGAAGCTGTTTAATTTTCAAGGCAAACATTTATTCCATTTTGTGTATTTCCAAGGCAACCACTGATTTTGTTCTTTTATTTGCCAAAAATGTCCTTAGAACAGACATTGCAATGTTCACTAGTAATTATTGTAGGGAGAAACATTACCTGTTATCATGTAATTCTAAAGGATACAGGAAACAAGAGGTGATGCATGATTATCTCCCTATTCCTCAGCAATCACACACATAAACAGGAGTAGCTGGGTAGCATTGGGGGGGGGGGGGGGGGAGCATGTTTGCTTGTTTAAATTATATTACCATACCAGGTGGGTGTTCCACAAAGATCCTAAGTCGAACTTATCTCTAAATTGGACTTGAACATTATGGAGAGCCATTTGTAGTCTTAAAATAAAATATACACAAAAGCGAAAATTCAAGTATTCCATATTTATTGGCATCTATCTCTATTTTGTTGTTTCTCAAACCAGGATGAAATTCACGAGAGGGATAGATTCAGCGACTTCCTTGTGACCCAGATCAGAGACCTGATGGTACGCAAGAGACATCTAACACTCATTCTCATGAGTGCTGCCCTTGATGTTCAGCTCTTTATACGCTACTTCAACAACTGTCCCGTCGTCTCGGGTAGGTGCCACACACTGCATATTATTTGTGTGTTTTTCTGTTGGTGTTAATCATAGTTAAGACTTTGAACAAGGTAGAATAGTGACAAGTTTTGACAACCTATGTAAACTGGTAAATGTGAGTTAATCTAATGTTCTGCTCACCGTCGTAAACTACCAACCGACTGATGAATCCTGGGACCCGTTTCACAAATTCTTTTTTCAATGACGAAAGACAAAAATCAGTGACAAATCTGTTGATAACCAATCAGAAGCAAGGATTTCAGTAGCTTATAACAAAAACTGTCATTTGTCACTGATGACAAGTTTTGTGAAACGGCCCCCTGGTTCCAAATTGAATCACATCTTTAACATACCTGCCAACCACCCCGATTTAGGCGGAGTTCCTCCGCATTTTTCATACCAACTCCGAATTCCGAGTGCATGCCTCAAAACTCCGATTTTTTAGGTGGTCTGTTATCAACAGACCACCTATTGATTTCGTCAGAATTTTCTTTATTATTATTATTATTATTATTCTTTATTTTTATTTCTTCCCGTTTTTTGTGCCCAGGATAACTTCAAGTTTGGTTTAGTCAATTTGATTCAATTTTGGCACAGTCATAGGTCATTGTCATGACACGTGTCTAGAACATTTTCAAGGTCATCAAGTTATCGTGACGTCATCCAGGCGCCATTTTGTGAAATCACATTATCCATCATATCTTCATTATGCATCAGCAAAGGTCATTCATATTCATATCACATATACTTCAGATCAAGGGTCAACAGGTCATGTCATCAAAGGTCACATAAAGGTCATGACGCGCGCGTATGTGCGCGTCAAAATTTAAAATTGCTCAAAATCACTAAACTATTAAACGAGAGTACGAATCAGGTCATTTTAAGCATTTCAAAATTTTCCGTCCGTTCATGTCCCCGCGCGCGGTGTGCGCGCTCACAGCGCGCGTAAAAGGTCAAATTCAAAATGTTTACATGATTTGGATTTCTCTTAACGTAATTGACAATTTACATTAATTTCAGTCACTCTTCATATTTCATAAGGCCGTGAGCGTGCGTCAAAGTTCAAAATCCGCGCGTACTGCTATGGGCAATATAATGCAAATTTGATCAAAAACATGCCATTTTAAAAATCGAAATAGCTCTTCAGATAGTCCGTCGACCCCCAATTTTTATATCATGGTTGGAAAGAGCATGAGTTGGAGATATGATTTCATACCACCTTGACTCGTACAAAGTGAAACAAAATCTTCATATTTGCATCTAAACTAAAGAAAATGTATTTTGTTGATGACGTCATTTTTGTCTTTGTTTAATTGAGATTATCTCGCTTATCAGTGATCCATTTTCTCCCAGATTTCGATATAATGTAGCCAAGCTAATTTTCTACCAGAAATATGTCATTTATTTTTCATTTAGATGACGTCATCATAGTAAAATATTCGATTAAAGGCGACAATGCATAATTTGTCATATTTGCGTGTTATGTCTATGGGAGGTCACTTATTTCAAAATATGAATCTGCATGACAATGTGTTTTGACCAGTATCTCGGTTGTTATTCAACAGTTTTCTCCTAAATTTTAGTATGTTGTCGCTGAGACTATATGTTATCTAAATCACCCCTCATTTTTCCGATAAGATGTCAGAATCACGCTCATGATCATGATCATCATCATTATCATAATGATGATAATCATCCTCATCAACATCATCATGATCATCATCATCATAATCATTACTATCAAGATCATCATCATCATAATCATCATTGTTTACATGTCTATATAACTTCTCCCTTTTTCAATATAGTAAATAATATAATCTATTAAAAGACTTGAAGACAGACCACCTTATTCGTCTTCGTGACGAATTAAATTTCTAGTTTTAATTTAATTTTTTGTTTTTTGTTTTTTTGTTTTTTTGTGTGTGTGTAATGCACATGGAGAGTATATAACTATTATGTTTGTATTTCGAAATGTAAAGCGCCTTGAGCATGTTCATGTAAAGGCGCTCAATAAATACCAATATGTATGTATGTATGTATAAGACTAAAGCATAACACAGCACTGATAACCAGATCACGCCGACATCCGCGCTCGCGCTCATAGAAGATATACACAGCGCAGCCCGAACGTGATCGTTGGTTCCCCCCCCCCCCACCAATCTACGGGCTACTACCCCAATCCTTCGGTGGTTCGCGACCTCGTAATCCATCCAGAAAAATTTACTCCTAATTTCTCTTGTCTCAGGTTGGCAGGTATGCTTTAAGATGGTAATGTTTAGAAGTTGGTCCTCAGAAATAGATAATCAGGGTCCCATTTCACAAAACTTATCAGTGACAAATGACAGTTTTTGTTATAAGCTACTGAAATCATTGCTTTTGATTGGTTATCAGCAGATTTGTCACTGATTTTTGTAATTTGTCATTAAAAAAAGGCTTTGTGAAACAGGTCCCAGGTGTGATTGATACACGACTGTAAAAACAAATTTGCACACATAAACAGCTATCTGAGAAACTTGAATGAGCCATTTGCTAAAGTACAATGATTAAAACTGCATACCAGTGTATACCTACTGGGTCTTTGCTCACTGATACTGACATGGAGAAATTTTTGATGAGATCTCATCAATTTGGAAGTAGACCATAGATTGTTATCATTTCCCTTTTAGATTCTTGCAAATTGATTTACATGGAATATTTGTCTTGTTTTGTTGTCTTCTAGTTCCGGGAAATATGTATGATGTCGAAGAGCTCTTTCTGGAAGATGCCTTGAAGTGGTAAGTCGCAATATTGACAGTAACACTTTGAAGAAAAAAATAATTCATGAAGAATAATGTTATAGTGTCATTGATGTAGGAGAAGTGGTAAAAGAGTGGTACGGAGAGATAATTCTTTGTTTTTAATATGTCAACACCACAACTGAAGAATGGTGGGAGTGGTTTCAATAAAGCTTCATTTATCCTTACTGTTAGTTTGTTTATTTGCCTTGTTTCTCTTTCATTCATACAGTACTCGATACTCTACTCCAAAGATGGTTGAATATCAGAAAGAAAAAGGAAAAGGTAATCAAGTTTTTATATCTTTTTATCTATTTGTTTTACTCACATCAGATTGTATAATAATCAAGACTAAAAGAATGAAAACATTGTATGAATGTACTTGAAAAGGAAGACTTATCATATCTGTGGTATCTATCTATTACCAAGGACAACATGTATGTTGGCTAAAATATAATATAACTATCAATGCATTTCTAGGCATTGCTAGTCATAGTCGGGGAACTGGAACAAAAGTTGATCCTGTTTATTATTTTGAACAAGCATTTAATCCTAACATGGTTCTTATCCCTTTAGACCAGGCATTTTTACTGGCCGACGTGCCTTTTTTTCCAACTGGACGTGCCCTTTTTGTTTTAAATTTGCGCACATAAAACCACCAATTGCGCCCATAATCATCTAAAACTAGACGGCAAGGCGCAAGTGTTTTCCGTGAAAATGCGCCCATAAATTATTAGAACAGTAAAAATACACGAATCACGAACAGTTTGCCGCCCACGAGCTCTCTTCTAGCTTCGTATTTAGTGCTTTAATAAGGCGCAAGTGCCGTGAAAATGCGCCCTTTGTTATATTAGGCAATGCGCTATAGCTAGCGCACGTACGTACGTACGTTCATATTATGCGATCGCATGATATGCATATGGTGCATGCTGTTGATGCACGCACGTACGTACAAATCGAAGGCCAGGATCAAGAAAACAAATCGTCAAATGGAGAAATAAACAAGCATTCAAATAGTCATTAGAGATCTGTCGAGGTTTGTTTGTAGGCCTAGTTTATTATTTTATCTCAAATAGAATTTAGAATTATCTTATTAATAAGTTAAGAACACCTACGATGTTCTCGATCGTAGTTACTCTCATTTTGCCACCAGCCGACCTCGCTTCAAAAAGCTACCCCGCCAGCTTCCCAAGACGAACGTTTCGAGTCCCGGTAAAATTCCGAGGGTGCATCGGTTTCGCTGGCAAACTTCCAGCCCGACAGCTTCCCACCAAAAGTGGCGAGAGTGTGTGTGCGAGGAACGATTTTGGTTTCGTGAATGCACGTTACGCAACTGAGCTGAGCGTGTCACTTTCAGCTGTCGAATGTCTATAAGGACATTTTTACATCTTATTTCATTAGTTAGGCCTATGTAGACCTTTCTATACAACAGTTAAAAAGATAATTTCTTCAAATTTGCTCCTACTACCGAGAGAGTGGCGGAAGGTTTGTGTGTGAGGTGCGATTTTGATTTGGAATACCCGGCCCGGTAAACTTGCCAATTAAGTCCTTCTGACTTTCGATGTTTGTGAAATTGACAATTTATTTATTCATTTGCTCATCAATATTTTTAGTTACTTTAAAATACTGTTTAATGTGCAAGTTTGATGTTCTTAAACAATCTTACCTGTTCATATTGTTAAGATTAAAAAGTTATTAAATTGATCGTTCGATCTATTCACATTATGAAATTAACATTTGTAGACTCTCTTTGAACTTATGATTAGATAAGCGGCCTATCTGTTTTTGGAAAATTGCCCCTTGCTCTGGTAAATTCCCGTGGCAAAGGGCAACTTAAAAAAAAAATTGCCCCTTGCTCCTGGCTGCTAAATCTAAGGCTTGCGGGCCGCCGCCTTGTTTGCAGGCGCGTAGCCAGAGTTTGGTGTTTGGGGGGGCACATACATGTAATCGATCGAGGTCAAAAAAAGGGGTCTACAAAATTTCAATATTTTAGGGGGGGCATGTGCCCCCCGTGCCCCCCCCCCCCCCCCCCCCGTGGCTACGCGCCTGCTTGTTTGTATGTACCGTAGACCTCTATACATTCTGTGAAGAAGCTGGTGCTAAAGGTCATGGGAAATTGATCCTGCACAAGTTTCATAAAATACACATGACATCTAACAAAAATAGAATCAATTTTTTTGGCCTCATACTCGATGCCCTTTTTGTAAAATATTTTGGCCTCAATGCCCTTTTTGTAAAAATATTTTGGCCTTGGTGCCCTTAAAAATATGAGGTACTCGAGGCCAAACTGGCCTTGCCCTAAAAATGACGAAATTTAAGGCCTGTACTTCAATTACTTTTTGTGTAAAGGAGACTTATAGAAATGATTGGTATCACTATTAGACAATATTGGTCATGATGAATTCGTTTTGCACATATGCTAGCAGTACTAGAGCAAGGGATATATGTGTTCATTGCATAGAGATGTTAATATTGTTACATTTCGTGTGAGTACAGTATTGTCTTTTTCAACGGTTAATAAAAAGTTTGATAAAATTAGTGTTCATTCCATTTACTATCCACCAGTTGCCAAGCAACAGCAACAGCTTACCAAATGGTACACAGCAGACCAAGTGGGTGGAGCCTCGGCAAGCAAGAGCCAACCCATGGCTCCGGTCCACCCGTCAGTAGACTCATTATCAAGGGACTTCCAGGGAACCTCTATGGGACCATCTGCAGCTGATGTAAGGATGATGAGCATATATCTTCTCGCTATCCATTTTCTTATTTCTTTGCTTTTAGTAAAACCAGCAGGGCCCCATCTTATAAAGAGTTGTGATTGATCCAATTAATCACAAAATCTCTAATCAATTACAAGTTTCTAGTCTCTCCTATCTCTAATATGTCCCTAATTGCGATTAATTTCAACTGTTTATAAGATGGGGCCCAGAAAACTGTAAAAAGATGAAAATAATTTTTTTTTGGGGAAAATCTGATCATTGATCCAAACGAACAAGGACCTTTTTTTCATGGAGGATAGTATATTCTTATTTTTTTTGTTGTTCTGTCATTTTAGCTGTAATGTTTTTAGAACTTCTGTAAAACCAGAAACCATCACAATTTGTAAACAAGAGCAATTTATAAGGCAAGAAATGGCTGGAATTGCAAAATTCATTATCTAATTGTGTCTGTTGTAATTCAGCCATTCTGTGGCATAAAATTTAACAAATTTGCAAACGTTCCAGGTGCACAAATTTTGTGTTAGACAGTATAATATCCTAATTAGATCTTTCAGGTGATGTATCTTGCTGCAATTTTACAGACAATAGTTATAATAGTTAGAAATTTCCACAAATCTGTTAACCTGTTTGCCCATGTCTTTTAACCTATCCTTCCGCCTTCCATTGGACTAACTTGCAAAAAATCTTTTGGCAAGCAAATTCTTGAAAGTATACGCTGTAGGTAATTGGAAAACTTTCTTGTTCTTCCAGACATCTATTGACGTTGAGGACATGCCCGAGTGGTTAGTCCATGATATGGATAGCGCCATCTCAGACTGTTGGAAGACAGGCGATAACGACTACTTCTCGCAACTCTTGTACCTGCTACTCAATGAGAATGTCAGTGGTGAGTAAATGAGGAGAAGGAAGGGGTTATACTTCTACATAGCTCCGACCAATCCTATTTTGGAGGAATGATTCCTAGATTCCTCTCTTTTTCTAAAATATTATGTGTGAAAAGTATAGAAATTAGACTGTATTCCTAATTTTGCCATGAGAGATACCCTAATTTTTGTCATGGAAGGTTGGCAGATATGCTTCTTTAGAGTCATCTGTCTGCAGAGAGCGGGAAGAGAATTATCATGTTAAAAGTAATTGATTGTCTTCTAGCTCATAAAAGTTGAATCATTTGTAATCAAATTCTATTGCTCTCATGTGTGACCCATTTGCTATGTCTAATCATAATACGAGAGTCATATACCATTCTGGCCGTCGGCCGATCAATCACTCTGCTCTAATATGCTCCATTTATTTTGATATCTTATCATAGGGTGCTTTAAGCCTGTAGTTTTCATGTACTTAACATATATTTTTGTTTCAGGAAAGACTCCAATTTTATCTTCACAATACCAAGATGAGAGTGTCCTCTTGATTGTGAGCACTTAGTCTGCATTTTCATATCAAAACAGTTTATGACAAATTGCAGCATACAAATAGATGCACCAATAAAAGAGAATGGTAAAGACCTATGTAATGAAAGAAGAAAATGATGAATGAATCTAAGACCTATGAGCAGGTATATTTATCAAGGGTACCACAATTAAGGCTATTGCCTTTTCTTATGTTCTGTCACCTCATTGTTTAATAAACTTTGGGGCTTTATATTGTGAAGAATCAACAAAGATCCACTATGTTTGTGTTTCTTTTTGGTTGGTTGTTTGGTTTTATCTGACTGCTAAGAAAGCATGCATGTGTGCGTAAGTAAGCAACCAGGGGACCTACGACTTTAAGTCCTCTCTCAGGGACTTGGTAATGAGGATTAATGCTTTACAAAGGGCACTAGCGCATCAACTTGGTTTCGAACCCGGGACCTCCCACTTACAAGACCACTGCTCTACCACTGAGCCATCACGCCTCTTCCTTGTTTTTACCCCCTGTCTCCAATTCACAGTTGACTACGCCCACTCTGAGTCCAGCGTGACCCCTCTGATGGTTGGAGCTGGACGGGGCAAGGTAGAGATGGTTGAGCAGCTTCTAAGCCTTGGTGCAAATGCTTCTCTCAAAGCATCGGATGAAAGGTAAAACAAAATCCCATTTGGTACTTATAGATTTCCAGTGAATACTGGTAGGTATACATTGCTTTCCTCTCGACCTCATCCAATATCGCTGTCATCTAATCATGAATTATTTGCAACTAATTCCTTGAATTTCAAATGAAACTATAAAATATGTTATTTTTTGTGTAACAGGACAGCATTGGATTTTGCGAGGATGTTCAACCAAACAGAGGTGGTGGATCTTTTGCAAGCATATCTGTAAGTTGAGTATGAAAGACAACATCAGTATATTATATTATACAACTATCTATTCTATTCATTCAATATCACAACATCCAAGTATGAATGGTATTCTTTACATCATTCATGTTCATCTTTCTATCTTTGTTAGCTACGAACAATAAGTGCTTATATTGTACAGATTTAACACTATTTCTGAATGCATACAAACTTACTCCAAATTTTTACTCCTGGGTATCTCAAAAAAATATTTATCCTCTACAAAGAGCCAAAAAGGTCATTGACTCGCCTTTCTTGCTCTCGAAAGACAATATGTGACTGGGAAGGCAGAAGTTTGGGGATGCATGGCTTAATGTCAGGGCACTTGCACACATAAAGGGTTTTGAGACTAGGATCAATGGTTTCTACATAACAGTACTGTAGCAACCACTGACTACTTTTCCTTTATTGATAAAATCTAGATACCTCTATAAGGCATGTACTTCAAACCTGTCGTACTGCCCGAACTAATGATGAAGGGCCACCTGTCTGTGCTTGTCACTTAGTTTCATCTCCACTAAAAATTCATACAATTAACAACTAAATTATTCATACCCCTTGTAAATTTCTTGTTTTTGTTTGTTTGTGTTTTTCGTAACTCGAAAATAAAAGATGGACTGGTTAGGGCCTTTGTTGGCTACAGTTAGAAGTAAGCATTAGAACCTGTCCAAAAACCCCACCCTGTCTACAGTGACCACGTTGTTTCTCCAGAGTGGCCTTTGTATACAGGTATCACTGCACTCTATGTCTGACTCTCATTGATCTCTTCTATCTTGACCCCCATCCAGGGACACTGTCCAAGCCAGCAACGAGGATGAGAGTGAGTTACTGAGGAATCACATCGAAGTGAGTACCGAAGACAGAGAGCTTCTTCAAGCCTACCATCACAGCTTTGATGACGAGAGGGTAGACCTGAATCTGGTTCTTGCTCTCCTGGACTACATATGCAGCCACTCACAAGAGGGTGAGTTATAGCATTATATCATGTTGGTGGTGATGGTGGTGATGGTGACAAAATCAAATAATGGCGGTGATGATGATTGTGATTATGCTGATTATGGAATTGCTGAAGATGATGATATTAACAATGATGATGATGATGATTAGAAGCGTTGAGGACAATTACCTCCTGGACAATCACCCCACGGAATACAACCCTGGACAGGCTACACCCACCCAGAAATCCACCCGAGAACAATTATGCAATTATGTCCTAGAACCGATTAGAAGTCACAAGTCTTGCATACTGCTGATTTAATTTATTGCAAAAAATTGTTGTGAGTAGACTAGTAGGATCCAAACTGTACAAAATGTTTATTGTCAATTCTTGGAATTGAAAGTGTAGCTTTTGGATTGTATAATTTCTGTCAATTCTGTGCCTTTAAAAATATATTAAGTAATTGACCCTTTGACTTATACCAACAATTCTTTTGTTGCAATGCAATCCTTTAGGTATTATTTTAGTCTTCTTGCCTGGCTATGATGACACCCTCATTCTACATGACATGTTGCTACTGGACGATACCTTTAGTGATCATTAGTCCTTTCAGTTCAGCACCCTTAACTGCGAATGTCAAAAAGAACCATCGAATGCTACTTTCAACCCAAGATTTGCAAAAAGGAGCACAATTTTAAATGTTTTTGTGTGGTGTTGACTTTGAATTTGAAGATGATTGTTTTACCTGACTGCTCAAAAAGCATGTATATGCTTGTAAGTAAACAACCAGGGGAGCGATGGCTTTAAGTCCTTGCTAAAGGCTTGGTAATGGGGATTAATGCCTTACCAAATAACACGAGCACATTGACTTTGTATCGAACGCGACCTCCCTGTGTCAAGACCACTGCTCTACCACTGAGCCATCGCACCTCCTCACAAATTCATGATTGTTCTCTTTTCCTTTCTTCAGGTGCCATCCTAGTCTTCTTGCCCGGTTATAATGACATTGTCTCCCTACGTGACATGTTGCTACAGGATGATACCTTCAGTGATCGCCGGTCCTTTCTGATCAGCACCCATCATTTAGATTGTCAAATAATATCGTCAAATGCTACTTTCAACCCTAGATTTGTAAAAAGAAGCACACTTTAAAATTCTATTTGTGGTGTTGAATGTAAAATTCATCAATAATATCTTTTCCTTTCTTCAGGTGCCATCCTAGTCTTCCTGCCCGGTTATGATGGCATCGTCTCCCTGCGTGACATGTTGCTCTAGGACGATACCTTCAGCGATCGTCAGTCCTTTCTGATCAGCACCCATCAAATAATATCGTCAAATGCTACTTTCAACCCAAGATTTGCAAAAAGAAGCACTGTTTTGGGGTGGTGTTGACTTTGAAATTCATTAATAATATCTTTTCCTTTCTTCAGGTGCCATCCTAGTCTTCCTGCCTGGCTATGATGACATCGTCTCCCTACGTGACATGTTGCTACAGGATGATACCTTCAGCAACGCCAGTCATTTTAGATCAGCACCCATCATTTTGAATGTCAAATAATATTGTCAAATGCTACTTTCAACCCAAGATTTGCAAAAAGAAGCACTTTCTTTAGGGTGGTGTTGACTTTGAAAATTCATCAACGTTCTCTTTTCCTTTCTCCAGGTGCCATTCTAGTCTTCCTGCCCGGCTATGATGACATCGTCTCCCTACGTGACATGTTACTACAGGACGATACCTTTAGTGATCGTCAGTCCTTTCAGATCTACACTCTTCACTCCAGCATGCAGAGCCATGATCAGAAGAAAGTCTTCAAGACACCAGGTGCAGGCATCAGAAAGATTGTAAGAATGAGAACCATACTTTTATTTGTCATATATTACATATTTGAAAGGTGTTTTAATGATTCATGTTCTATTTGCTTATGTTCATCACCTTTTTGTGTTCACTATTATTTAAACTATATAAAAGTTGCAACTTGTCTTTGATAAAACATTGTTATATTCTTTTTCATGTGAAGTCTATTCAAATGGATTGTGAAATTGAAAATGATATTCATTTTCATGTGATGTTAACTCCAATGAATTGTGAAATTGTGAACATGCATAAATTAATAAATGAATGAATAAAATAAACAGCCAAAGTAGAGTGTATAAGTATTACATGAGCTAACAAAGAAGACAGATAAATCAGATTCTGGGTAACATTCATTCTTGTGTTTCCAAATTTACAAAGTATTTCATCTTCACAGAAAATTTGGAAACAAACTCTTCCATGAGGAAGAATTCATTTTTGAATGGAGATGACAATAATGAGCAGAGACGGAGCAACTCTATTTTAATTGCTTGTTTAAAGCCCGTCTGCACTAGTTCGGCCAGGGGGATTAGACCTCCCTGCAAGGTCACTGACAGGTGGTTTTCTCATCAAATCAGCTCTCAATTTACATAAGAAAAAGGGGATCATGAGGGACCAACAGGTACCGATTGGGCATTGCTTGCTTTATAGAGGGCGCAAGTAGCTATAAATAGTGCAGTGGGGCTTTAACACATAACACAATTCATGTGTGTATGTTGATTTGAGGCTTATCACAGTTACATACTGTTGGTCAAAAGAGACAGCGTGAATGTTGAAGTCGTTGCTTTTCTGTTAATGTATTTTCTATCAAATCCCTTCACATGTTCATGTGTAATTTAAACTACATTTTAATGAATTTGTGTGAAAGGAAAAATGTTTGTATAAATTTTGCTTAAATTTTAATTTGCTTAAATTCTATTTTGCTCTATAAAGGTCTTGTCAACGAACATAGCAGAGACCAGTGTGACCATCAATGATGTAGTCTTCGTTGTAGACTCTGGCAAGGTCAAGGAGGTGAGTATAACATGTAGCACTCACATGTATGTTCAGCTCATTCATAGTGGAAATGGGAATTGTGAAAATGTATATTTGTTCATATCACATTTGTAGTCTTGTTTTTAAAGCCAATCTGCACTAGTTTGAACAGGAGGGATTAGATCTCCCTGCATGGTCACTGACAGGTGGTTATCTCATCAAATATGCTCTCAATTAACATAAGAAAAAACAGACCATGGGGGACCAACGGTTACCAATTAGGCATTGTTTGCTATATAGAGGGCGCAAGTTGCTACAAGTAGTACAGTGGGGCTTTAAGACTTGGGTTTTAAAAGCAAGGGTTTCAAAACATAATAAATATGACAATAAAACAAGTTCATAAATTTTGTTAAAGCTAAAGACCAGTTATGTTCATGCGATTGCATTGTGAAAGAAACGTTGTGAAATCGATCAGAAAAGGTTGATCATCTAGCATAGATGTACTGCAAGGTTCTGGAATCATCAAAATGATAAGAAATGTTGCCAAGTCTTCATAAAGTTAGAAGCACTGTACACAGAAAGATGTATATGGGACTACACACACGTGCGCGACACATGCATTTGTATCTCTCAACAGGCAAGAAATACACTAATTTACCAAATATATCAATTAGTAGGCGGTTTCCCGTCAAAATTTTTATCATCATGTAATATTCAAAACATGTTCTTTCACATGATTGGTAATAAGAGCTTCCATTTCATTTTTTGAAATTGGGGCGTTTCCAATACTGGTCTTTACCTTTAATCTTTTCATGTGTGTTGCATTTGTAGGATCTACAGATTTCACATCCTGAACTTTATATATGTTCTGCATATTTTTAGTTTGTATTATGTCTTCCAGTTATAAGAAAGAATTAATTTGTGTGGAGCACATTTTCAAGCCTCGATGCACTTTCAAATGCTCTTCATAATACAATATTAGCACAATAAGCTTGAGACTGTATATTTCATTGAAATTTTTGAGTGACATGTAAATTGAAACTACTGCTGCATGTTTATGTTACAGAAATCCTTTGATGCGATTGCTAATATCTCATCACTGAAGAGCAACTGGATCTCCAAGGCTAGTGCCAAGCAGAGAAGGGGAAGGTATGTATGCACATGGTATCAACGATACGATAGATATCTTGTGATCATTCAGTGTTGAGGATATAAAGATTTCTTTGTATTGTAGGGGAACATGAGCAAATAAAATATAACAATTATTTGTTTACCATACTTACATAACAAGTTTATCTTAATGCACTGCTGGAGAGAAAGCAAAGGAAGAGAATAATGAAAAGAGTGAGATATGCTAAGCATACTTCTGTTTCATGATAAACAGAATGATGTGTGTTGTAAATGATCATGCTAGTATTTTCCTAGATTAAGGAAGGAATACGCTGCTTTAAAAACAAACACAAAATACATTTCAAAGCCTTTTTATCATTGAAAAAATAAAAATGGTTGATAAAAGTCAATATATTTTCCTTACAAAGAATTTAACCGGATGAAACGGTAACACTTTACTGTGTAAAACGTATATGGTCAATCCATAATTCCTTTACTTGAATATGTATTATACATTTTAGTTTTGTTTGTTTTTCACTTCATTTGCCTATATACGGTATGCAAAATTGTGAGATTAACCAAAATAGATTTGTAACAAAATACATCTACTGAACTATATTCAATATTCAATTATTTAATTTAAACATATTTGTGGCTTACACCCAGTAAATAAGATCGATTGATCGATCTGTATTGAAAAACAAGTCAGAAAAAATCTTGGAACCAGCGGGACTTGAACCTGCATCTACTGCTTGCCGGGCAGCAACTCTACCACCAGGCCATCACTGGTCCATACCATTGATGAAAATATGTTTAAATAATTGAAATTTCTCCCAGGAAGCATTACATTTATAAAAAATTATTGTCCTATGGCAGATTAATGAATACTAATAGGTCAGAATGAATCAGGAGAGCTTGGGTATTTGTTTCTAGTTCACCGTGACTGTGCCATGGACCAGTGATGGCCTGGTGGTAGAGTCGCTGCCCGGCAAGCAGTAGATGGCAGGTTCAAATCCCGCTGGTTCCAAGATTTTTTCTGACTTGTTTTTCAATACAGATCGATCAGTCGATCTTATTTACTGGGTGTAAGCCACAAATATGTTTAAATAATTGAAATTAGTCCCAGGAAGCATTAACATTTATTTAAAAAAAATATATATATTCAAGTAGGGAATTCCTTGACTCTTCCCGATAGTGCCAAAACCATAAATAATGAGAACTTATGTCATATGTATGATCTGTTATGTTCTACAGAGCTGGTCGTGTACGTCCAGGCATGTGCTTCCATATGATCAGTAGAGTGCGCTTCCAGAGTCTACCAGACTTCCAGGTCCCAGAGATCCTGAGGACACCATTACATGTGAGCAAGAAATAGTATCTGTTTTTCCCTTTCAGTGTTAGTAAATCTGATCTTTCTGCAGTATCCTTAGTTATGTAACAATATTTGTTAGAAGTAGCTAATAATAAATGAATGTCATTGTGAAAAGCAAGGAGTATGTTTAACCCCCTCCCCATCCAAGAATGTTGCATAACATGGCTTTTTTTGTTCGAGTGTTGCACAACTTATGAGACTGATCGATACCAATCAGATGATCTAATATGCGGTCACTTGACGTAATCACGTGTTAGGCCAAATTTGAAGAAAATCAATGAATAATGAAAATACTGGTCTGAAACGTTTCCAATTCCATATTTTAGGCCTTTTTGCTTGAACTCATATCTATCTGTATCATCACAGTAATGATCTTGATAATTATAATAATAGTGGGTTCTTGTATAGCGCTCATTTCTGTCAGACTTGACACTCCTTTTCACAATTATAACCCAGCCTGGCTTTAGCATGGCTGCCATTATGGCACTCTAGCATTACAAGGAATTAATTCCTGCCAGGTACCCATTTACTTCACCTGGGTCAAGAGTGGCAAATGTAGATTAATGTCTTGCCAAAGGACATTAGTGCAGCGGCAGAACTCGAACTGCAAACCATGTGATCCACAGTCCAGGGACGTAGCCACTACACCAAGACACCTCCACAATGATGAAGTTGACAATGATTGTACTGATTGAACCCATTATTATTATCACTACAGGAACTCTGCCTTCACACCAAACTGCTTGCCCCGAATGAGACATCAATAGGTGACTTCTTGAAGAGGGCTCCAGAGCCACCCTCTACTATAGCTATCAAGAATGCCATCGGCCTTCTCAAGGTACTATTCATGTTTGTCTTATCTTTGATTGTCAACTATAGGTATCGTTCATTTATAATAAAGACCATTTTAGCAACATTTGAAATTCTTGGCTCACCTACAAAGGGAACAGTTGGTAGACTTTTATATCATATGCAAGGAGAAATCATGGCTTGTAAGCCTCCATACTTTTAGTAGACTACCATCTGGTATAAAATAGGTTTTTTGTTGCTTTGAAATATTGAATTCTTTTCAGCTATTGCTGATTGTTATTTTTAAACAAATTACTCAGAATGTATTTCCTAGAGCGTTAAAGACCGATCACTATATGATTTAACTCTGGGATAATCAATGACTTCAGGTTTAACAATTGTCTTCTGATGATTGTTTTTGAACAAATTACTCAGATTTTATATCCTAGAACTTCAAGTTAAATAATTGTATAATAATAATATAAATAACATTCCGCTTTTATACAGCGTTTAATACATTGATGATGTCTCTAAGCACTTTGCAGATATATAATCACCCCAGTCATGCACATGCTCCACTCCCGGGGAGCATTCCGGCCAGGCGTCATTTTACAGACGCTCGCAATGCTGAGCAAACTACATTAACTTTCGCTTCCCACGATCCTATTTATGTATTGTAATGTTTCTTTCTTCTTCTCAACTGCTCTTTGACAGTCCATTGATGCAATGGATAAGTGGGAGGACCTGACCGAGCTGGGCTGCCATCTAGCAGACCTACCCGTAGACCCTAGGCTGGGTAAAATGGTCCTCTATGCATTCCGGCCAGGCGTCATTTTACAGACGCTCGCAATGCTGAGCAAACTACATTAACTTTCGCTTCCCACGATCCTATTTATGTATTGTAATGTTTCTTTCTTCTTCTCAACTGCTCTTTGACAGTCCATTGATGCAATGGATAAGTGGGAGGACCTGACCGAGCTGGGCTGCCATCTAGCAGACCTACCCGTAGACCCTAGGCTGGGTAAAATGGTCCTCTATGCCATCGTCTTGAAGTGCCTTGATCCAGTCCTCACTATCGTGTGTGCTCTTGCCTACAAAGATCCATGTAAGGAATATTCATGCATTGTATGTTCAAATTTGAAGTTATCGTGTGACCTGTCTCTGACCTTGTCCTGGTTCCAGAATTTTGTGTCCCTATATTGATATATTCAATAAAAGTTTTTTTTCTTTTCTTCTTCCCATGGGCTTGTAGTGAAGCAATTGCTTTGTCGAAGTACATATTTTTACATAATAATAATAATAGGCATTTGTAAAGAGCCGTCTATCTAGATAGATGGCTCTATTCCGAGTGGCACAAGAAAAATAGAAAGAATAAGAAAGTTCGGATGAGTGTCATAGTGCCAAGTACAGGTATTGTTAAAAAAGATAAGATTTCAGCTTGGATTTAAAGATACATCAAGTATGCCAATTTACTACTGCAAAACAAAATGGATTGGGTTCATAGATATCTTTGATTTGCGAGTGCAACCATGTTTCAGAGGGATTCCCAAATGTAAATCCACACATGCCAGACAGACGCTCTTCTTCATAGTAAAGAATGCATGGCCCCATTTGAAAATTGTTTTCTATGAGTAATTTGAAATGATTAATGATTATATAAATGTCTTCTTTTCTGTCCTGCCATCCACCCCCTCTCCCTTTCTCTCTCTCTCTCTCTCTCTCTCTCTCTTTCTCTCTCTCTCTCTCCCTCTCTCTCTCTCTCTCTTTCTCTCTCTCTCCCTCTCTCTGAGGAGCAAGCTCAGAGAGCACTACAGTAGTGCAGGAGCATTAGTAGAATACTGATCACTGATCACATATATCTACCTTTAATCCAGGAGGGCATGTACTTTGTTGTCAGCGCTTGGATCTGTAACAGGATATGTATGATCATTTTTTTTTCTTCACCTCTTTCCATAGTTGTGCTTCCCAGCCACCCATCTCAGAAGCGTGCTGCCATGCAAGTGCGCAAGAAGTACACTTCCAACACATTCAGTGATCACATGGCCTTACTCAGGGCATTCCAGGTCAGTAACACACACATTTTTTGAAAACTTGTAGTGATTCTAGAATCAAAGCATGACCCTTTATAGTCATAGAATGAAGTACAGGTTGCAAAATCGTTAAGTTGAGAGTTCAGGAGATTTTTAAGTTACTGTGACAAATGAAGAAGAGCATGCTTGTGTCACGTAGTGCTTAGATTAGAACTCAGTTTGGATCTTTGGTTTTCAGAGGCATTTAGTTTCTTAAGTTGCCAACAAACATAGGGTTTCAAATTGTATACATATTCCAATTTATATGATAATGTTTGACATTTCAAATTTGCAGGAATTTGGAAAATCACTACATATCAGTTAAAGGGATAGTTGAGTTCTGTTTTCAGACCGCAAATGCCTTCAAAGTGCATGGTTATTGCCCTTATTCTTATCTATGACATGTTTAGTGCCCTTTTAGAACCTAAAATTGCTATGAAGGTAATTTTAGACCCCAAAATGTGTGAAATTTAGCCAACAGATCATACCAATTCAGCTTCACTTTTAAAAAAACATGGTGACCATTGATTAATTATTTAATTAAAAATAACAATACATGAGCCAGCTAATTGTGGGTAATATAAGCAACACAAAAATGCCAACCGAAAAAAAGTAAACGTCGGCATTGGCCGAAGTACGACGTAAAAGGCGTTATTTCGGTTTTTTCCACGTTTTTTTCAAATTTTTCTAATTTTGATCAAACAAAGATGTTTTTGTCATTTAAATATTATGTTCTTTCAAATTTGACACTCAGTTTTTCATTATCTCACAAAAAAATTACTTTATGTAGCGCCCTCTGCAACAGAACTCAACTATCCCTTTAACACTACCTATTTTTTGAACTATTGCAATATCAAAACATAATCTCTATAATTCATACATTTGTAGCTTGAATGTAATTACATGATTTATAATAACTGTACTACTGTTTTTACAAGCTAGCTAGTCCTAATGTCTTGTTTTTGCTGTTTGGTTTTGTTACCAGTCCTGGCAGCGAGCCCGTAGCGATGGCTGGGAAGGGACCTTCTGTGATAGGAACTTCCTTTCAAGAGCCACCATGGAGATGATTGTAGGAATGAGGTAAGAGAATCAGTAGAAAAAATTGGGATTTTTTATGTTATTTGAGAGAGATGAGATGAAGTTTGAACTCATCCATGGTTGAGGATCTGGGCCCGTTGCACAAAACTTACCATTGACATACCTGCCAACCCTTCCGAATAATCCAGAATATTCCAATTTTCTTGCCATCAATTGTAACTACCATGGAAACCTTGATTTTGATTGGCTGTGGAGCCCTTTTACCATGGTAGTTGCCAATGGTAAGTTTTTTGCAACGGGCCCCAGGACCCTGTTTCATAAAACTTGTTATCAATGACAAGTAACAATAACTGTTATAAGCTACAGTAATTGTGGAATTTTGATTGGCTGAGAGCAGACTTGTCATCGAAATGAAGCATTTGTTCTTGATAACAAGTTTTATGAAACAGGGCCTTGATGTGAGATTTTACAAAATGTTTTCCTTTGTTTCATGTTTGTAGTGAAATGATTATGCGTTTGTCAAGAAATTTTCTCTTGAATTGCCTTTTGACACTGGTCCTATTAAATCTGCTCTTATTATGTCATGTAGTCTATGCCAATAGTATAAGATTTTGACTGACATTTTGTTATGATCCCCAAACTTAATTGATAGGGCATCTGGCTTTGTGAGCCCATTAGTATGAACATGCAACTGATATTTCATTTTGGTTCAGGACACAATTGATAGTAATATTGTAAAATTGTGATTGATATTTTATTTTGGGATAGGATCCAGACAAGGTCTGATCCAGCTCTGAGTCTTTCTGGGATAAAGAGTGAAGATGTGCTGCTGTTTTGTAAAGAACTCCTATGCTAGACTAGCATATTTGTTAGATCAGAAGAGCAAGATTGTGACTCATATTCCTTCTTTTATTCAATCCAGGAATCAGCTGCTCGGCCAACTCGGCGCTTTTGGCTTTGTCATACCATTAGTTTGAGATTTGGACCAATCAATCTTATTTGGTCTAGGACACTGCCGTCAGGCTATTGTACTGCAGTAAACTATTGTGAAATTGGGACTGATATTTTGTTTGGGGATATGATCTAGACAAGGCCAGCCATTAGGCTATTTTACTGCAATAATGTAAAAACTGTGACTGGCATCTTTTCTTTGTCTAGCACCTAACTGTTAGGCAAGCTGAGAGCATCCGGCTTTGTAAGAGCAATTTGGTATAGGACACTGCCATTAGGCTATTGTACTGCAATATTGTAAAAACTGTGACTTGCGTCTTGTCTTTGTGTAGGACCCAACTGTTAGGTCAGCTCAGAGCATCCGGCTTCGTGAGAGCAAGAGGACCGGGAGATATCCGTGATCTGAACACCAACTCTGAGAACTGGGCAGTGGTCAAGGCATCCCTGTGTGCTGGCATGTATCCCAACATTCTCAAGGTGGACAGAGAACGCAGACAACTCACCACCAAGTAAGTCCTCTCGACTATCAATTGTGGTTTCAGTATAGGGATTCACTAAGTACAAACTGGAATGACCAGAGATCAGACAGGAATTGGAGATTAAAACACTTTTAATCAGGCGATAACGGCCTCTGAAAAGCACGATAAGAATATCACAGACAACTGTCAATTTTTCAGTTTCAGTGCCAGTCATGTGCTATATCATGTAGATAAGGGGAAAAAAAATTATTACCTTGATTCAAAACACTGTTCTGCACAATCTTGTATGGATAAGTAGAAAGCAAAAATCTTCTGCAGTGCATTGTAAAACAAGTACAGGGCCCCTTCTTACAAAGAGTTGATATTAATCGCAACTTATTAATCAATCACAACTATGTACATAAGAGATAGGGGACTGCAAACTTGCGATTGATTTTGATCAATCGCAAATCTTTGTAAGACGGGCCCTGGTATACACAAGCTGATTGTTAGATGATGATGATAGAATCATGATTTATGATGGAGATAATGATTAGGATTAGGATGATGAGGATGAAGATGAGGAAGAGGACAAAGATGAGGATGAGGATGACAACAATAATGTTAAATATTTTCTTATTGCTTTCACAGAACTGAGTCCAAGGTACGCTTCCATCCCAACTCTGTACTCCATGAGGTGACTAAGGGCAAGACATCCCTGAGTGAGGAGCATATGAGAACAGTAGATAGCCTACCGTCAGACTGGCTCCTATATGATGAGCTCACCAGGTATGTAGGAGATAAAAATCCCCCTTCCCCCATCCCCTCCTCTCTCCCCTTCCTCCTTCTCTCTCCCTCTCCCCCTCTCACTCTCTATCCCTTTCTCTCCATTTCTCTCTATCCATTTCTCTCCATTTCTCTCTCTCTCTCTCTCCCTCTCCCCTACCCTCCCTCTCACTCACTCTCCCTTCTCTCTCTGTCTCTCTTATCTCTATCTTTTCTATTATTCTGGATATATGTTGAATGAGGAAAATATAGAGATGACATTGGGAAGATGGACAACAAAACTTCATGTGAAAGAAATAGCAATGCACCTGCTCAATATTTGATCAACAATATATGCTCAATATTAAATTCATCGTTTATCTATGTGTGAGAGTAATGAATTAAAAGGTTACCACTTATTCTGATGCAACATGATTAATTACAAACCTTATCAGCACCCCTACCTGAGTCCTTTCAAAAAATGTCTAATAATGCCCCTCGCTTTTTATAGTCTTAAAATGCCAGCGTTTTTATTTTTAATTGTTATCCTACATTCTTCAGCTCCCACTTCAGGACCAGTGTCCGATGTGTGACCCTCATCTCTCCCATCACCATCGCCCTGGTCTGTGGCCCCGCCCGTCTACCTTACGACGCCCTGGTCCTACCGGAAGGAACCGCCTCCTCCATGGCAACCAGGATGGGACCCAATGGAGATGCTGCTGCCAACGACTCCAGCGAAGGAGAGGATGATGATTACAGGGTTGCCAAGGCAACGCTCAAGCTGGACGAGTGGTTGGTCATCAAGTCTGAGTCTCAGGTGAGTGTGTTCACTTGTTTCAAACTTTGACGACAAAATGTCCACATACGGAAGTGTATGGCTAAATGTAATACAGTCAAACCTGCTTTAGTGACCACCTGTCTACAACAAGCACATTTTTTGTTTCCCTTGAAAATGGTTTCTCATTGAAACATGTACCAAATGAATCTGTCTACAAAGACCACTTTTTGCGTTTCCCTTGGGTGGTCGCTGTAGACAGGTTTGACTGTAGCTGTGTAGTGCAGACTTCCTTGGTCATTTCCAATGTCAAGTACGGTCAAGGTTGAACAGCTTAGACTTGTGGCTGTTCATCAAGTCTGAGCCTCTAGTGAGTGCCTTCATTTGTTCAGAGACTTGTAACAATTTAAATAACAAAAATAATGTGAACAAGACAAATTTATGTGGTATATTTCATACAAATATTATATTAATGAATGAACTAGAGTTTGTGAGTGTACTCTATCTGTTCTGCAGTTTAATCAATTGAAGTATGTTCTTTACCTCTGAGCTGTTATATTCCATGCAGTCCTTCAATTGTGAAATGATATTATGGGTGATAAGGAATCCAAAGAGAAAGATGATGCAAAAAGAATATTAATATGTGAAATAGTCAATACTCCCAATCCAGCTGTCTTCTCTTTTGATAAATCATATTTATGTGATGATTTAATAAAGCCATCTCATAAATATAAGGAAAATTTAACAGCTATCTTTTTAAGATAAAAAAATGAATAATATATATTAAGACATTTTTGTATAGTGCATAACACATGGGCCTAATTGCATGTCTCTATGCACTTTACTGAACAGAATACAGGCAGGGGAGTGGAAATGGTGCACTGGCTTCATAAATGTGAGATCTTACCAAGTGCTAAATATGATATCATCATGGTTTAACGTCTTTAATTAAGCAAACTTCATGTATGTGATATCTAATGTATCTGCGTTCATGTTTCTCTTGTATACAGGCAGCGAGCTTGGTCCTGCAGTTGAGGACCAAGTGGCATACATTGTTCATGAGACGAATGAGAACTCCAGCCAAGCCTTGGTCTCAAGCTGATGAGGTAGGTCCTCTCCTTACTATTACTCACATCAATTACAGTCAAACCTGTAGCAACCGCCCAAGGGAAACACTAAACATGGTCTTTGTAGATAGGTTCCTTTAGTAGATGTTTCAATGAGAAACAATTTTCAAGGGAAACAAAAAATGTTGCCTTTGTAGACAGTGGTCACTAAAGCAGGTTTGACTGTACTTAGTTGCCAACCATTCCCATTTTGGAGGAATGATCCATATTTGTACGCCTTCAAACTAGTGTTACAGGCCCTTTATTCCTCTTATTTTCTGAAATCATCTGTATAAAAAACAAGTAAAATACACTGTACTCCTATTTTTTAGCTTCAGAGATTCCTAATCTTTTTTTTGTAGAAAGTTGGTAGGTATGCAATTAAAGCATTATAGATAATGGATGTTGGAAGAGTTTACATTGTATATAAAAAGAATGAAAGTTCTGATGTACGCTGTTTGAAGTAGCCACCGAGTTTAGCCAAAGGCCACACAGTTATTGATGTAATATTTCATTTGAAAATACTTTTATTCTTGATGTTTATATTGATCATCTTTATTCAATCATACTTTGTTTTCACAATGTACATGAAAATCAAATTAAATTACAATAAAGATGTGACACAAAAACCCAGGTCCTCTGTGTGGTTATGAGCATTACTGCTATAACCACACGATAGGCAGGGTGTTGCAAGGGTAAAAAGAGCATGAAAATGCAATGGGGAATAGATAATCATCTTTGTCTAACTTTTGATGTTTGCAGGCTGTGCTGAAGACACTGATTAAAGTACTGACCAATGAAGAACAATCACTTGGTCTCCAGCAGCCAGTAGGAGTGGGACAGAGACCTAAACCAATGGGTATGTTTCTATCATAACTCTATTATCAAACAAACATTTACTTTACTTGTATAAAAGAGAACTTTTGCTGAGCTAGCGCCATGAGCTTCCCTGGACGGTGTGCGCTCTATAAGTTTACACTATGATTATTATTATTATCACATTTTACATGGACCCCCATGAAAGACTGGAAGGACTATTGTAGCATTTTATCAGGAAATATATTACATTGTCGTGTTTTGTGTGATTTTTTTTCATAATACAAAAAAGAAATACTTTGCTTAAGTATATTAAAGCTGGCATTTCGTCTGTTTAGAAAATGATAACAAGTTTTAACAATGGAGTTCTGGCTTTTTGTCTCCTTCAAGAATAGGTGAATAGAACAAAGTCAATATGCCAGGGGGTTCTGATTATCCAATTTGTATTGTAGCATATTTTACATGTTTGCAAGGAAAGTGTTGGAAGTTTTGATTCAGCTGTATTATGGATGTTTATTTTATACCCACCATAGAAAAATTGCTGTGCAATAACAGATACTCATCTCCTATGTGGTACTTTGCCATACTACATATAACACAAATGAGAAGTCGTTGATTAATGGAATAGTGAATATGAATAATAAAATGTGATTAATTTGTCCTGTAATTCTTTGTCAAAATGTGTTCTATGTAATCTAGATACTCTCATTGATATATTTTCCTTTTTTCCCTTTCCTCTGACAGCAATAGAGCAGTTCAACAGCCCTCCCAGTGGCAGTATGTCAAATCGCTTTGCAAATTCACAGGTAAAACTTTGTGGAGAAAACTTTCCTTTTACAGCAGTTTGCATGGAAATTTATATTTGATAGTCCGTAGCACGACAGCAGTTCTTAGTATGTTATTGCTCAATACAGAGCTTTATGTGCCATAATCATTCTTCCTTTAAAATCAGAATCTATTCCTCACATACTTCTTATCTGCATTACCCCAGTATACTCATGGTATACCTTTTTGATAGTCATTGGATATGACATGTTTAGAAATAGATTTCCAGTTTCACACAATGGCATTAGAGTTCAAAACTAAAATGTGCCTGATATATTGATGTACAGCTAACAACTAAATTATTCATACCCTTATCAAGTTGTGTAATTGTTTAAGTATGTGAAAAATTTACTTGTCTCAGTTTCTTGAGAATGTGACATATTACAGCTTACATTTAAAAGGATTGAACAAAGACCCTAATTCAACCAATCCACTTTTCATTCTTGTGTTATGGAAAACACAAAAATCATCAAATTTACAAGGGGTATTAATAATTCACTTATTAACTGAATGTTTATCATGTGGCAAATAATGAAAAAATCTTCAAGTAAAAAATGAAAGATAAACAGATAAGAGTTATAAATCAGACTGTGTAATTACATCTTTGAATGCTTCCTTCTCACCACGAAGGGCAAGAGCAGAGGAAACTGGAGAGCGAATGATCAGAGGCAGGGAGGTAAGTTGGATATGGTGTTTTTTTAATGTTTTGATGCGAGTGTGATGTAATCTGAGGCAAAGTTGTCTGTTCTCTCATGTGAACATCCTTCTTTAATCTTTTTATTGTGATACATGTATAGCAGAAATTATTTTAGATATTAACTGGGTACTTGGTACCAGTAAGGCCTTGTTCAAAATTGCTGGGAGTTTTTGTTATAATTATGTAATGTGCAAAATGCGTTCCATTTCTGTATCTTGTAACACAGCACTCATTGAATATGCGCAAGACCTTTGATATGCGCAGTTGCCTTTCATTTACAATTTTCAAAGAACCCTGTCTACAGTGACCACTTTTTGTGTTTCCCTTGGATGACCTTAAGACAGGTAACAAGGTTTGACTGTATCTCTGTCTTTTCTCTCTCCACATTCTCTATTTATCCTTCTTTCCCTATCTCCCTATCTCCCTCCCCCTTCCCCCTCTTCACCACTCACTCTTCTACCAAACAGGCCAATACAGTGGTAGAGGTGGTGGTGGTGGTGGTCGACCCCAGCCCCCATCCAGCCCCTCCTACCAGCAGACCAACAGTGGTTACAGGGGTCAGAACCAAGGTCAGGGTCAGGGTCAGGGAGGAAACTGGAGACAGTCACCCACATCAAGAGGAGGTCATGCTGGAAGGTGGAATAACTCACAGAGGTAAACAAATGAATAACCAACCTTGCTAAATGTTTATTTAAAAAATGATAGTAACTGGATTTAGAATAGATATTAGAATGTAGAAGATACTGTCATTTTCTTTTTTTCAAATGAAGAGTTAATATTTACCACATCTACATGAACTTGTTTGTGCGAACAATTGAACTATTTACTGTCATCACAGACTATTCACTATAATAATCTATAAACTAGCTAGCACTTACATATGCACGTTTATTACAATAATGGAAATATTTGTGAGGAGTTATGATGAATATTCATTAAAGCTATTTATCATGATTTTTTTTGATTTTTTTAAAATTGCTCCACATTATCTCACAGGACTCTAACCCCTCAAAGACTCATTGATATCTAGAGATAATAAATGTAGTGATGTTCCTTTTTACATCCTTCCCATGACAGAACCCCACCAAGGAACTCGATGTTTCCTGACAACCACCAGCAGCAGCAGAGAGGTGCTTCAGGTAACTCCCATGTCCCCTGGTCCACCCAGGACGGGAGCAGCTTCAACCCCATGGCCCATTCCAGCCCCGCCTTCCAGACTGGTCCTCAGTCCTTCAAACCCTCTTCTTCCAAATCAGACAGGGTCTCCCCCGTACCCTACGGCAGCGGTAGAGACTCCTCCCGTGGTGGTAGGAAGGGATCTCCTGGTGGTGGGGGTAAGGGAAGTCGCCTTAATGTCAACGCCAAGGAGTTCCAAGGGTCAGGCTACAAACCGAAGGGGGGCGTCCGTCCACCCCCTGGTTTCTCACAGTTTTAAACATCTGGAATTCTCCTGGTAGGAAGGGATCGTCCGGCACGGTGTGGGGGTAATCGCCTCAAAGTCTGTGCCAATGAGTTTCATCCTGGTTTTCAATAGTTTTAGGAATCCAGAAGTTGTCTGTTGAGCTAAAATGTATAGGAGTTGACGCCTGTTCGGCTCTCAATAGACAAATTCTCCTCCTTGGAGGTAATCTTGAGTTCGGATACGAGGGGAATAGTTTGAAAGGACTAGAGCAATTTTGTGTTTCAAAATATACTTTAATGTAAGCGTTACCCAGGGAAGTCCACAAACAAAATTTAAACTTGTGAAATTGGATTGTAGAAAGAGTATGAACTGATGTATGCGCAGCACAAAGTCCCTTGTAGACAAATTCCTGGGCTTGCTGAAGGGCTCTACGATTCTTAGATGCACTAAGGTGCAATTTGAGCCATATTTCAAAGCATTTTCAAACAAATGTTGTGATTAATATTTCATAAATGATTTGATTGGATATGAAGTTTAATATCTTTCTGATTTTCAAACCTGTCACTGTTACATGTTTAAACACCTTGTGGACCACCCTGTGGTACCCTTGTTGGGGAGAATTTACTCTCAGGTTTCCCAGCTTTCCTTGAAATCAGGGGAAACCTGAAAATGAATTCCCTTCATTTTCAGTCAGGGAAGATGTCAGAGGATTTGAGAAAAAAAATCACTCAAAATCAGAGGAAATGAGTTCATTGGCCTAAGAAGTAAATACAGTCTGTTATACAGTTTTTCATTGAAACCTGTACAAAAGGAGCCTGTACATAAGGACCACCTGCCTATAAAGACCTATGTTCATGTTTCCCTTGAGAGGTCTTTGTATACAGGTTTCACTGTATTTTGTGTTGTCTAACCAGCATATCCACCAAATTAATGACTATGGTGGCTTTCTTGTATGTGAAATGCTTCTTATTATGATCCTGGAATTAGAAAATTCCACCTGGGCAAAATTTGACAAATTTGGAAATTTTGTAAGTTTTAATGAAATGTTGGGAACTCCTTGGCCCGAATTCACAAAGCAAGGTTTGAGCTCAGACCAAGGTTTGAGCTCAAACCTCCTTTTGTTTCGCCAAACCTCCTTTTGTTCTTTACAAACCAGGTTTGTAAAAAACGCGTAAAACGTGTCATATGACGTACGAAAACCAAGGTTTGTCGACAAACCTCCTTTGTGAATTCAGGCCCTTAAGTCCCACATCAGAGAACCAAGTCTGTTTTATGTACACGGGTCACAGGTTTCAATATTTGTGTGTCGGACTTTCAAGACATTGTGTTTTTTTTTTGTATTGAACATGTTGTTATCTTGCCATAGAGAATGCTGCACACCTTTGTTTGAAATGAATAACACTTCATGATAATACTTACACCTGGATTTGTGTCTGAAATACAGGAAACGGACGGAAATTGAAAATTAGCCCTCTTTTAAAAAGGGTGAACTTCCGGTAGTAGTTTCTCACTCTTTGGGAGAAAAGTTCACATAGATATGTGTGACTTATTGAATCAAAATCCTATCAACTCTTATGCTTCTGTAATTATATACTCACTTTAAAGATTATGAAAATGATTTATGTGATTGTACTGGATTTAATAACGAAATACTGCCAAGACAGATGTGTTATTTAGATATTTAATCAATATCCTTAATGAATTTGACCTTGTTATTTCTGTAACTGGAGCTTCTCTCCAATGTGGAAGGGAAAAATACATTACTTACTTGCAGCTTTCTAGTTTCTAAGCATTCATGCTGAATATATCTTGATTAATAATTTGATACTTTCTGAATAATTGTGTTTTGCTAAAGTGATGCCATGTAAATTTGAGAATTAGGTTTAATGTAATGTACAAATTATTACAAAATATGTGTGCTCTTTGAGGAACAGAATGATGAGTTTACAAAACTTGAGATATTTTATGAATTCAATTGTTTTTTCCTCTTTACTTGTATCGGACATGTATGAATTTCAATGGAAATCTATGATGTATGTAACAAGGTAGATTTTATTTCATTATGAATAACTGACGTGACCCACCGAAAATGTTTATTAGTAATAATGCCAATATCATTGATTACTGTTGGTTTATTACATTATTGATAAGCCTTTCCGAGTCTTTATGCCAGAATTAAATAAAGATTTTGTTTTCTTGAAGAATTGATGCAGACTTCAATAAGTGTATATCCTGAATTTGAATAATTGCCAAGAACGATTACTTGTTGCTTGTAGATCATCCAGCCAAGATCACATATCTTCAAATTATGTACATGTGTTGAAATCTTGTATTTAATGTGAATTGAATTATTGTTCATGTCAAACAAAAACAAACTTGTGTAAATGTGTTCTGTCCTGTGGCATTCTACATACTAATCAACATTTAGTATATTGTAAAGATATGTTGAACATTCAATATCATAATCTTGTTCTCGTTGCATTCTTATCTAGTTTCAACCTGAAATAGACTCTGTGTAGTCCATGTTCAGAAATATACTCATAGCTGCCAACCATTCCTATTTTTGAGGAATGATTCCAATATATTCTGGTCTTCAAGCTAATGTTTTGAACCTAGATTCCTTTCTTTTCCTGAAATATTGTGGGTGAAAAGTATACAAAATAGACTGTGTTCCTAATTTTGCCTTGAGAGAGATTCCCAAATTTTGCTGTGAAATGTTGGCAGGTATGTATATTCCATGTAATGTAGGAAATATTTAAATACAATCAAGAATTATGGAAAGATGGTGAATTGCATTACTGATGTTTAGAATAATTCCGGTCGTACCTCTACCTTTATTACTGGAAATCAAATGTGGATGGATTTTTTTTTTATATCAAGTAATTTTCATATCTTAATGCCTTGTGATAATGGCTCTGAATAAATTGAAGACCAAAGGGTTCGTCTGAAAACCCCTATTGTTGTCATATTTTACTCATAAGATAATTGGAATCACAGGGTTTTTCATCATGACATCATCTAGTTGCATAGAAAGAAAGAGATGTAGAAACAACTCCAAAAACTGCCCATATACTGACATTTTTAGTGTAGGAAGTACGTATTTTATCAAATATAATTTGTATTTTTAGATATATATGCACGTTTCCCATATTAGGACCTCGCTCTTTCTTGATTAGAGGATATATTTCTTGGTATTTATCTCAATGAACTCAATAGTGGTAGAATTGAAACAAAAATGGTCAAAATAATATATGACATTCTCAAAATCATGTCAGTTAAGGATTTTAAGGAGAGATATAGAAACATATTGAAACCTGTAGTTTGGATAGCTTAATTTATACGGAACAGTACAAAAAGACATTTTTATTACAATTTAATTAAATGCATTTCTTTGTATATTGGTTATTGCTACAAGCTTTATTTTGTTGAAGATACAGGCTTAGTGTTATGTTAAAATCAGGGTTTAGGTAGATACAAAGTGTTTTGTTTAAGGGTTGATTTTAGTGATGTTTTAACTAATTTAGGAAGTTTAGAATTAAGTAATTGTCTTGGATTTGTTTTACAGAACCCAATTTGATCATACCTGAATTTACAATGTATTTTTCTCATCAAATATGCTGTTATTGATATTAATGATATTGTTTGATGATTTTGTGACACTGGCTTTTACTTTCAAATGAAGATTCTTTGGAAATTGTTTGGATTCTTGTAATTTCTCCATTTTGCTATTATGGAATTTACATTTATTATCTTAGGACTTGGAATGTGTTAAATGTGCCAAAGATTATCATATGATATGCATGATGGAATTCTTTTTATATACCTAATTCTTCATTCTTTCGATTGGAGCTGATAACACTGTATATATGTTATTTTTATGTAGCATTGAGCATGGTACAATACATATACATAGATGTATAAATGTTTACAAGAAAAAAAATAAAGATATATGTAAATTTTCAAATTAAGTTATTGTTGAACATGTCAATAAGTTGAATTGTAATAAAAGTTTTACTAAATATTCACAAAAATAGATTGCTGTACTGATTTCGTTATTAGAGTACATGAAGTTTTTTATTTGGGTATCGATGTAGAATTGTTTGATAGTCATCTGCAGTGGTAAGTAAATGGAAAGTCCAGCCAATAAAATGAGAAACTCAGAAAAGGGGTCTAGTGAAAGTTTTAGATGTAACTGATAAGTGATTAGGATGATAAAGTTATATATTTTCAAGACAGTATCTATCTATCTATGGGTTGTTATTTTCATTATTTTGTACTTCATAATGAAGTAACAAAACACATGTTTTAAATAATGATTTTGTTGGGGAGGGGGGGGGGGGATCCACCTACTACTAACAGACATGGGCATAATACCATACAAAATAAGAAACAAATTCAGGAAACCTGTTATTTTAACATTTGTTAATAGTTTACACATCCTTTATTCAAGTATTTACACAGTATACAAAAATGATGCATAAACACAAAGAGGTACCGGTAAATTTGTACGTAATATACAAGCAGGTACTTGGTTATTTGCATTAGTCTAAACCACACCATGTACTCACAACTTTCATTCCAGAAATCTGGAATTTACATTAATTTCTGAAGCAAACCAAATTAATAATGATGATGATGACAATGAATTTAAATTAAAATGCATACTTGTATTGAATTGCATTTGACATCCAAAGTATGGTTTTTATAAATATAATACTGCAGGTGGTGAAAATCAGCATGCACATCGTAGAATGTAACTAGATGATCAAACATTTTCAACTGCATAGTTTCATGTAAATAATGTTAGCATATCCACAGAACTATTGGCTTCTTTTCAAATTGAAAAACATGACACACATGCACACAACAAACCACATTTAAGAAACAAAATAATTCAACTTGTAGAAATTCATAATTTCCTTACTAGGTTTACACACTAGAAGATTTGGTTACAAAAAAACATTAAGCTAAGCTCCCGACAGGTTGTTACTAGATTTTTACAGACAGTTCAAGGTATATCAGTCATACATTTTGTGTAACTATACATTTTGCATTTTATTTCTACATATTTCTACATTTTTACAATAAAAATAAATTTCTTTTTACATATCCTACACAAATTCTCTCCATTAAGTTTTCATAGATATATGAAATGCACCTGTTATTTGGCTCTTTTTTAACTTCTCTCTCTCAGGTTTATCAAGTAAAAAACGAGCCGAGACAATCAACTTTCTCTCGCTGCATCCAACCTTTATCTAACACTATCCCTCCTAAAGACTCTCTTTCTCCCTCTCTCTCTCTCTCTCTCGGAGTCTCTGTCTTTCATGCCTTTCTCTCTTTATCTCTCTATCTATCTATCCGCCTCTCTCTTTCTCTCTTTCCCTCTCTGACCTTGTTGTCTTTCTCTCTCTCTCTGTCTTTCATGCCTTTCTCTCTCTTTCTATCTATCTATTTTTCACCCTCTATCTCTGTTTTTCTTGTTTTTCTCTCTGTCTTTCTCTTTCCATGTTTCATCACACTCTTAACCCACCTTTTTCTTAGCTCCCTCTTTATTGCTTCTCTCATTCTCTATATTTTTTACCCCATTGTTTCCTGGCCTCTTCTGTTCTTTGAACATGTTCCTCCATCTTTCATTCGGTCTATGTACTGATCTCATACCCCTTGGTAAGGTATCTCTTTCTTCTCTCGACTCTCTTCCTCAAAATGTTTCCATCTATTTGTCCTTCGCATCTATCACTGCTATCACCATGCTTTATCTACTTGCCTAGTTCACTGATAATCCTATCTTGATGCGTATAAACCCCAGTCCTCAACAGCGTATCTCTCTCTTCCCTTGAATCCTCCTGATCTTTCTTTCTATCTATCAGTATCTGTCCTTCCCTCTTTCATTGCTGTCATGATGCCTTCTGTGCAATGGCTTGTCTTATCTGCTTGTCTAGTTCACTGATAATCCTATCTTGGTGTGTATAAACCCAAGTCCTCAACAGCGTATCTCTCTCTCTTCTCTCGATTCCTCTTAATCTTTCTTTCTATCTATCAGTATCTGTCCTTCCCTCTATCATCGCTGTCATGATGCCTTCTGTGCAATCACTTGTCTAAAAGTTTTAGTTCGCTAAAGGATCTACTTTGATGTGTAAAATTCCTAGACAAATCTCTCCTCTTGCTACTCTTTCTGTTCTTCAGTAACCTGCCATCTATCTGTCCTTCCCTCTATCATCGCTGTCATGATGCCTTCTGTGCAATGGCTTGTCTTATCTGCTTGTCTAGTTCACTGATAATCCTATCTTGATGTGTATAAACCCCAGTCCTCAGCAGCGTATCTCTCTCTTCTCTTGACTCCTCCTAATCTTTCTTTCTATCTATCTGTATCTGTCCTTCCCTCAATCATCGCTGTCATGATGCCTTCTGTGCAATGGCTTGTCTTATCTGCTTGTCTAGTTCACTGATAATCCTATCTTGATGTGTATAAACCCCAGTCCTCAACAGCGTATCTCTCTCTTCTATCAACCTCGCCACATGTTCCTCAAGCGCTGCATCCTCTGCGTGGTGCATGCCTCCCTGTGGGTGGACTTCTGAGTTCATGTCTACTTCTCCTGGTTGTGAGGTTGGCTGCTGTTGCTGCTTCTCTTTGCTCAGTTCTCCATCTTTTAATCTAGAGGATCAAAGAAAAATAATATTTTCAAATTACATTATTCAAATCCAGATAAGGCATATGATGGGTAAACTTCCTAAATCTAAAAGCAACCGCTGGATGTACAGCTTGAAGTTCTCTCAAATAAAACTGGTACCGGATATTGAGGACTGATTGTCTAACATTAACGCTACAAACCCATGAATGCTAGATTATACGACCCTTAAACTCAAAAATTCTAGACTATCAAACCTCCATTTTCTCCTACATGATAATATACTGAATTGTACATTTGGCCTCTATAAACCTTTAACAATATTTTACATTAAATTTAGAAGTTAATTCTCCACTCAAACATATCATTTGAATGATTTATAAAATACTGATACTTAATGATCCATTGACTCTTTGTCAATTTTTTTTTACTTTGGCAATATCAGAGTTTGTATACGTGCATTTTTATCTAAAATTTCTATATATACATCACTATCACTAAAATATTTAATTGTCACATTTTCTTTTCTGCAATGTGTAGAAAAAAAATCTGCTTCCTGCATTTTGACTCTTCTCACTTATAAAGAAAATTAAAACAAGAATTCATTCACACCAACCTGCTGAGTTCTCCCTTGATCTCCTGCAGCTCCTTCTTCTCCTCCTTGGCCACCTCCTTCTCCTCGGCGGCCAGGTACCTGAGTCTCATGTGCTCCAGCTCCTGCTGCTGTCTCTTGAGCCTCTGCTTGGCCTCCGTCGCCTCCCTCTGCTTCAGCCTGGCCAGCTCCTTCAAGGCCCGGCCCCACTGCTGCTTGTAGTGGATCTTGGACTTGGTCACCGACTCGAGCTTTCGCTCTAGTTCAACCTGTGAAAGGTTGAAAGAAAGGGAGAGGGAGGGAGGGAGGGAGATGGAGAGAGAGAGAAGAGAAGAGCGTGAGAGAAATAAAGGTTTAGAGGTTGAGGATAAGAGAGAGAAAATGAGAGAAAATACAAAATTAGCACTTCTGCAAGAGAATTACACATTTTTGAGAGGCTCTTTAATTTTGTTAACTTTACTTATTCTTATAAACAAACATTAGATAAATGTTTATCCCTTGAACCTTAAAACCAAAGTGTACATCTACTACATGCTCCAGCTATTAAAGAATACTTGAATATCACTGAAATTTCAATCAATGCTAATACATTTTGAGAAACACCAATCAACACACTGTCATTTCTGAAAACACACATCCAAAATGAAGTTTGTTTATTCTAAACTTCATTCTGAACTGCATTTCATTATTCCATGTCATAAATCTCAGAAAATCGAATTTCAAAATATTACATCATTATTCTAAATCTTTTCAGGTATACCTTAAAGCCTGCAGAATTATTTCTGTAAATCACATATATTGCAATGTTTCCAAATAGAAATGGTGAACAAAATTTCAAACAACTATCAGTAACACTGCATATTCATATGCATATTTACCAAAACAGAATTTTGTTAAATTTCGGAAAAATAATAACTTAGTAGATGTGTGGAGAAAAATGTTTCCAGAGAGGAAACAGTTTACGTGGAGGCAGCTGTCACTAAACATTTACTCAAGACTAGATTATTGGCTCATGTCGAAAGAGCATTTTTCATATATTTATTCAATCGACATAAAACCAGTGTTGAAATGCGATCATAACGGGGTATCCATGAAACTTAAAATATTAGCACAAAGTAGGGGAAAGGGTTGCTGGAAACTGAATAATTCTATCCTGAAGGATGAAGTGTTTAAACAAAATGTTAAACGTATTATTCGTAAGGTTAATATTGAATTTAGTCAATTTGATAAACAGCTAAGGTGGGAAATGTGTAAAATTAAAATTAAAGAATTTAGTACAAAATATACAGTTGATGTTAATACAAGAAAAAAGAAATATATTGCAAATATGGAAAGTGAATATGATAACTTGTGTAAGAAAATAGATGAGGGTTCATGTGCATATGATATAGATAGAATGAAGTGTTTGAGACAAAAGATAGACAAGTGGTATGAATATCAGTGCAAAGGTGCATTTGTGAGATCTCGGGCAAGGTGGCTTGAATTTGGTGAAAAGTCAACAAGATATTTTCTTCAGCTTGAAAAAGCTAAAGGAAAAAAAAAAGAAATAGATTGTCTTGAAAGTAACGGAAAAATTATCAAAGATGAACAGAAAATTTTGACAGGTATACGAGAATTTTATTGTAAACTCTATAAGGGAAATAATACCGAGGCTGGATTTAAAGAATACGTATCTGATATCAACTTAAATGTTTTGAATGAAGAAGATGCAAATTTATGTGAGGGAAAAATCACAGAGAATGAATGCTGGGAAGCATTGAAGTCAATGAAGATGAACAAATCACCTGGAAGCGATGGACTCAGTGTTGAATTTAATAAATGCTTCTGGGGGGATATCAAACATATGGTAATTGACAGTCTGAATGAGGGTTACGACAAACAACAATTGTCGTGCACACAAAGTCAAGCTATCCTTACTCTATTATATAAGAAAGGTAACAAAAATGTTTTAGATAATTGGCGACCTATTTCGCTGTTAAACATTGATTATAAACTTGCAGCTCGCATTCTTTCAATACGATTACAGAAAGTTATATATAAACTTGTATCACAGGATCAGGCTGGTTTTTTAAAAAACCGCTCTGCATCTGAATGTACCAGACTAATTCAGGATACTATTGATTATTGTCTTTTTGCAAACAAACCAGTTGTTATGATGTTCTTGGATTTTAAAAAGGCGTTCGATACCATTGGTCATGTTTTTTTATTGTCCTTGTTACGGGAACTTAAATTTAAAGATTCGTTTTTAAGATGGATTGAAACGTTATATAATGGTGCTCATGGTCGTGTCTTAAATTTTGGTTGGATATCCGACAAATTTGCAATAGAAAGAGGCGTTAGGCAAGGTTGCCCACTTTCTCCACTTTTATTTATAATAATTGCAGAGGTTTTTAGGGAAAAGAATTAAACAAAACGCCAAAATAGAGGGAATCCAAGTCCCAGACTTCAATGAAGATCAAGCTGATTTTAAAGATATACGTATCGTTCAATATGCAGACGATACGACGATTATTACTAGATCTGTAAAATTTGTTAAAGAAATAATGAAAGAAGTAGCACTGTTTGGAGCACATGCGGGACCAAAAATTAACTGGACCAAATCAAATCTTATGAAACTTAATATAAATGACGATGAAGTTGAAGATTTACATTTCACTGAAGACCCTATAAAATGTCTTGGTATTTATGTAGGTAAAAATTCTTTTGACGTTCAAAATTTAAACTGGGAAAGTAAAGTAGAGAAAATAAAGAATACCTTGGATTTATGGAAAATGAGAAAACTTACATTGTACGGAAAAGTTGTTGTGATTAAACATTTAGTTATGTCTCAGATAGTACATACTGCCACGGCAGTTCCGATCCCTTCTAAAATAATTAAACGTATAAATAAACTGGCTTACACATTTTTATGGAATTCTAAAACAGAAAAGGTGAAACGAAACATCTGTCACAATCCTGAAGTAGAAGGGGGGTTGGGAATGATCGACTTAGAGTCAAAATGCCGGTCACTCCGTCTTTCATGGATTCATAAATATTTAAGAGATGAACAAAGTGCTTGGAAAATTTTGTTTAAATATTGGATCAAGAAAATTGGGGATTTGCCACTTTGTTTGCATTTTAATTGCAAAAAGAGCGATATGTATCGTATTTGTAGAAAAAAACAGTTGCCTAACTTTTATGTTGACATGTTTTGTTCTTGGGCTGAATTAAAATATATTGATATGTTTAAAGTAACAGATATTGAAAATGAAATGATTTGGTATAATAGCAATATTAAAGCTATGAATGAGTTATTGTATTTTCCAAACTGGATGAGAAAAAATATTTTTAAAGTGAAACAAGTCTTAGTTAACGGTATCTGGAAAGAAGTTGATTCTATTTGTATTAATTTTCAAGAAAATGAATTACTTTCCGCCTTCAAATTGGCAAAGTTAAAAAGTGCATTCCCGAATTTTTGGTTGCAGAAATTACGTAATAGGTTACAATATGTAAATAGTCCACCGTCTGCAGTGGAATCCAGTACAATAGAAATAGTAACAGGTGACTCCATTGATGTAGCGGTCATGAAAGCCAAACACTATTATAATTTGATGTTAGTAAAAAATAGACAGAATCTGCCGTGCATTTATTTTTGGAACGCTTATTTTGATTTACCCAATGAGTTTAACTGGAAAACGTTGCTCCATTATAAATTTTACTTTATAAATGACAACAGAATTAAGCAATTTAATTTTAAATATCTTCATAGAATATTGCCCAGTAAAGACAATTTATGTAAATGGAAGATTAAAAATAATAATCTATGTGATATATGTAAGATTCCAGACACAACTAACCACCTTCTCCTGGCTTGCAAGAAGGTTTCGCTTTTTTGGAAGATTGTATCCAAATTAATTGATACTTTGTTTAATTTTAAAATCCTTTTGAACGAAGAAATTCTTTTAATAGGTTATGAAATAGAGAGAAGAGAAATGAATCTTGTCAATCTTATTTTAAACTTTGCTCAATTTATTATCTATAGGAACTATATTAGAGAATGTTTTGGAAGTGAAAAGCACAGGAAACATGCTGTATATTGGATAAAAGAATTAAAGGTGGAAATTCGCACCTATCTCAATATGAAATGTAATCAAAAGAAATTCGATACAAACGAAGTTACAAAAGTTACAAAAATGTTTTCATTATTTTAGTTAGTGATTATGTCACATTAGTTTCATGTTCTGTACTATGTATGATATGTTACAACTGCATGAATTTTGTATTTAAACACTGTTGTAAATAGCTGTTATTTTATGATATGAACAAATAAAGTCCCTCGAAAGAGGATAAATAGAAAAAAAAAATCAGTAACACTGCAGTTATAGAATGTAGATGATAAACTCTTGTCATCTTCACATGATCAGTTCTGTAGTTATTTCTCCTCTTATATCATTAGATTATTCATTAGATTAAAACAAAAAATGATTTATACAAATTTATTTTACCTTTTCCAATGTAAGTAGATTGATTTGGGCCTGCAGCTTTATCTCTGGCGTACTGCTAGATTCTTGCTTGAACTGTTCAAACACCTGATCTTTCTTGGCGAGTCTCTGATCAGCGTCTGCTAGCTGAATGGCCAATCTTTTCTTCTCTTCCTCCAGTACACGTACGCGAGATCTGAATTACAAGAGGGAAGGAAATCAATACATGCATGCTTAGCCAAATGTACCTCAGAAGGTTCAAATTTCTTTGTAAATAATGTGATTTGTCACATTATTTTTTTTTTCAATATTGTTTTCACTTCTTTGCTTGAGGGGGGGGGGGGGGTCATTAAGCCTGTATTGTACAAATTTATACAAGTAGAAATTTATAAAAGTAGAAACTTGTATCAATTTATTCTAGACCATTTTATTTTTTTAGTTAGTTGTTAATTTTATCATCATCATCATCATCATATATGACTATCATTCAATGAAACCTGTAAATAAAGACCACCTGCATTTTGAGCACTCATGTTATTTCCCTTGAGGGGCTTTTCTCTGCATGTTTTTATGGTATTCAACTCTTTATTGAAAGTGAAACTGAAGTTAAAACGTTTTCTCTTTTACTACCTTTCTTTAATACAGAAATGCTAACTTATCTGTCAGATATATTATCTAAAGGTAATTTCTTGATTGCCTAGAAGTGAACATGAAATAAACAAAAAAATTGGCAACTTAGAATAAAGATGTACTAGTCTGAACTGAAAGTCAAATTTCTAAATTATTCCCCTCTGGCTCCTCTGCTTCTCTATAATCTCTACATATCATTTGTTAAAACAGCATAATGCAAACTTGGACAAAGAGATAGACTGTAGGAAATGTACTGTCCATGCATTCTTATAATTTCTTGAATTTTCTTCCATCCCATTTGTCTACATTTTCATTCCTTCCTTCCTCTTCATTCTCTATCTTCTATTTTCTTTATAGTTTCCTACTATTCTTCCAATTCCAATTTCCTTTCTACTCTATTGCAAACACCAATGACTGAAAGACATTATACAGGATGTACATGTAATTGACACCCATAGAATCTTAGCCAGCTCAATAATCAATAACAGGAAATACCAACAAAGTAAATTTCTTCTCTCCCAGCTGTGAAATCTACAACATTCATCTCTACCTGTCAATCATAGTACTTTTCATAAATTCAGTGTGGTAACTTAAAATGTAAATTACATTCAGATTTGAAACTCTATTGCAAACATCATGGACTAAAATACTAGCTGCATTTACACTGCAACCAAAAATCATCGGTTTTTCTCACATTCTGGAAGTTGCATACAGGGAAAAATTACACGGGGCTCAAATTAGCCCCCAAAATGCCCAAAAGAGCCCCCTAAAGTCATAAAAGAGCCCCCAAAATTTGCACAGAGTTCAATGCAAAGACAGTTATTTTTATGCAAGCAAGCTTGAAAAGTAGCCCCTGAAATTGTTTAATTTTTTTTTCCCTGGTTGCATAGCATCAAAAATTGGAAATGAAAAAACCCATGCACCTCTGGAGTCTGGAGTATTTTTGTTAACGCCCGCTGACATTTCAGCAATTGATTGCAGTGTAAAAGAAAGCTTAGGTGAGAAACTGTTTTTTCATCACATGTCTCTCCTAGCTAATGCATGCAGGGCACCTCCGAGTCACACATGGCACTACTCACACAAAAAACAGGATGAGCAACTTCAACAGTTTTTCAAAATGGTGTTTAGGGTGTGTAAATGGTCCCATATATTAAACAGGATGTACATGTAATTGACACCCTTGGAATCTTAGTGAGCTCAGAAATCAATAACAGGAAATACCAACAAAGTAAATTTCTTCCCTCCCAGCCACGAAATCTACAACATTCATTCACGCTTTATCTCTACCTGTCAATCAGAGTGCTTTTCACAATTTCAGTTTGGTAATTTACTCATAAGATATTTTAATGATAAAAGACAGGATGATATTGACCCTCAAAGAATGTTGAGTTAGTCCTTGTAGCAGATAACCCAATTTTTAAAATTCTAATTCAATCAACAACAACAACAAAACAAAACAAAACAAAACAAAACAAAACAAACAAAATTGAACTTGTGTTACAAGAATCAATATGTGTTCTATAAATCATTATTTTTACCAGGCTCTGCAGGAAAATATGAACTAATTTATAGCAGATATTGTGGATAAACTTTCTATAGTACACTCTTTCTATGAAATAATCTTTCTGCAATCTTTCTGTAACAATTCGATTTTCAAACATTCAAGTTGGATACATAACTTGTAATCAAACAAGCTCCTTGTTTTAATTAAAAACACATTTAGTACATTTTGAAACATGAAAATGTGCTTAATATACTTTTAATCCAACCATTTATCTTCATCTAATCACTAAAAGATTAAATATAATTGCTTACTTCTCAAGTTCTATCTGATGCAAGCAGTCTTCTTTTAATCTCCTCGATGCCTCCTGCATTTCTACAAGCTTGTGTTGGTGCTCCCTCTCCAGATCTGCTCTGAGTCTTACTACTTCTGCTTCATTTGCGGCAAGCTGGTGTTCTCGCCTATCCACATCTGCCAAATCAAACTTTAATTGTTCCTCCAGCCCAGCATACTCATCAGTCTGTGGATAAAAAAGAAATGATGAGTTTCAGGTCACTTGAAGAAAACTCACACATAACACCAGGGCCCCCTGTTTCATAGAACTTGTTATCCATAACAAATGGTAACATTCTATGACAAACATCCTCTCAGCCAACCAAATGCCGCTATTTCAGTAGATTATAACAGTTAATGTAACTTGTCATTGATAACAAGTTTTATGAAGAAGGGCCCAGGGCAGCATCTCACAAAATTTGTTAGAAGAGTAAAATAGCTGCCATCTCATTGAAACATACATGTTCGTTTACACACATTCCTTTGTGATGACAGTTTCGTGAAACAATACCCATATTCACATCATATAAATGCATATTGAGACAGAGAACCTGAAAACAAAATGCTTATTTTTTACACATTGTGTACTTAAAAGCCTATGGAATTATATAATTCAGTAGTCAACAGGTAAACATTCTCTTATCAAGATTTTTCACTTACTGATCAAACTTATACTATTTACTCAAATCAAGGACATGAAAAGAACACATTAAAATATAATCCAATTAATTGCATTAAAAATTCATTTCACAGTGTCGAGTTTCAAATTAATGTTGAATCATTGAATACTGTATGTAATAATTAAGGGGATCCGGTAACTTTGTCTCAGAATCTGAAACAAAATTCTGGATTTAGCTCATGATGCAATGATAATTATAAACCTTTAGGTCAGTCAGGAACCCTGTGACTTTTACAAGCCGATCGCCTGTCTGATTATCAAGATATTTATGATTGGAATTACAAATTTTGAAAACCGTTCGCCTGACGGTTTTCATAACACTACAGTCTAATGGGGAAAATGAGTATGGTAAAACCGGTCACTCAAAGATTTTTACTTTTTGAGGCACTTCTTGATCATTTTGAAGTGCAATTTTTTTAGGGCTTCAATATTACACCATATCACAGACACTGATAACACGTAGGGCCGTGTATCTCAGATTTAAAATTGTTAAACGATCCCTTTAAGCCTAGCACGACATGTTGGATTTTCATTGAACCTGCAAAATGTCTTGTCCAGAAACTTTCTGAAACCAAATACACTGAAAAGCAGCAACTGGATGTACGCAAATATTCAAAATCATATCGTAATGTAATAAAACAAGACCCAATATCATCCATAAAATCGAAATAGCTCTTAACATGTATTATACCTACATGTATAAGGTAGAACGCATGAGCTTTAAATTGAACTTGAATCAAATTATTGAGGTATTCTTTACCTTTTTCTTTAATACCAATGTTCTCTCCCTGTCTCTCCTTTTGAATTCTTCTGCTAGTGATTGAAGCTGATTTAGTTCTTTTTCTTTCATCTGAAAAAAAAGAAAGAAATATGTTACTTCAATCATTTATACTGGGTTAAAACAATATGAAAGATCTCATAATTATGAACTACATTGTAAGTGCACCATGTCTACTCCTATATTCTGTTCTGTAAAGCGCATAGAGACATACAATTGTGCCTACATGTATGTGTTAAGCGCTATACAAAATATGTTTAATTGTTCAAACGTATCATTGAAATGCAAACAAGAGCTCTAAAAAAATGCAAAATATACTCAATACTCAAGTGTACTTCTTATATTAAAGATGGTTGATATTGGCAAGTACTGTTTTGATTTTGCCACAATTTGGTTAACTTAGAAACAAGTAAATGACCGGCATTTAATGATACTAAAGCCAATGGAATATGTTCAAGTGAAAAGGGAGAAGGGTAAAGCAGAGGGGCTTCTGAAACGAAACATAAACAGGGCTTTTTAAGTCATAAGTACTAAATGCGTTAATATCCAAAATATTTACAACATTTTTCATGGTGTTTTTCAAATTACCGATCAACACACTTTAAAACACATCCCAGCTTTCACAATGTGCAGCATTTAGATGTGTCTACAATACTTTAAAGGTAAAGACCAGTTTTGGAAATGCCCCCCTCTCAAAAAATGAAATGGAAGCTCTTATTACCAATCATGTGAAAGAATATGTTTTGACTAATACGTGATGATACAAATTTTGCCGGGAAACCGCCTACTAATTGATATATTTGGTAAATTATTATCTCTGTCAGGACAGGATACCGGTAGATATCACGCTCGTGTCGCGTAGTCCCATATACATCTTTCTGTGTACAGTGCTTGTAACTTTACCAAGACTGGGCCAAATTTCTTATCATTTCAATGAAACCTTGCAGTAAACATCAATACTTATATGCTAGATGATCAACCTCTTCTTATCGATTCCACAACGTTTCTTTCACAATGCAATCGCATGACCAGAACTGGTCTTTACCTTTAAACCCAAGCTTTCTTACCTGGTTCTCAAACACCCCTGCCTGTTGTTCCTTCCACATCTCTAGCTCCATAGCAGCCTTGTACTCTGCCGTCTCCCTGGGGTCTGGGGGAGCCGGGGCCTGGGAAGGGGGTGGGGGAGGCTGCTGTCTTACTGGTGGTTGGGTTGAGCTGCTTGTACTGGTGGTCTAATCAATGAATGGGAAAGAATTTTGGAATATATAGAGAGTCTACATTATCATAACATGCTATTGCACAGAGGTTGCATGATGCATGCGCGGCAGACAATTCGTCCTTGTTTTCACGAAGTGACGGTAGTGAGGAAAATCGTCACGCAAAGTGAATGTAATTTTTTTTCACTACCGTCACTTCGTGAAAACAGCGACGAATTGCTCCACGGCCAATATCCTATACTATTATTCCTAACAAAGATTTTACTGCTGAAATACAACTGTTATTATGTCAAGACACTTCATAAAACTTGACCAACTTTAAACGTTTGTTAAAATCGACAGATATTCACCCCTTGATGGCTCACCTGTGACATGTCGGTACCAGGTCCCATGTAGACCTCCTGTGTCTTGACAGTACCATAGTCCTCTAGTCCTAGCACAACTTGAAGCTCGGCCATCTTGGTAGGTCTACCCTCGGTGGTCTCCGCTGCGACTCGCTCTGTGAAGATCTGTCTCCAGCCTTCTTGAGCATCTGTGCTGGTAGGCTGAAAACAAACAATGGAACAAGATGGATGATTTAGATTTACACAAGTACAATACACTCATACAATCGTAACTTTCTTGAATTAACAATATGAAATGCCTATTGTTAATACATTCTTCAATCTAATAAAATTTCCAGCTTTCAAGATAAAAACATCATTAAGTGAAGCATGGCAAATAAGATACAAATAAAAATGAAGTTATAAGGAGACGTGAATACTTCTAAATCATCAATACAAATTAACAGATGTGACAGCATAGTTATAGTTTAATATTTAGTTAATCTTTTTCTTTTCCTGGCATCCATGTGACTCACTTTAAATCTTACTGTTGTTTTGAAGTCACTGTTTCTTACTTTTGTCTTTGACAATAAATCATAATAATAATAACAATAATAATACTCACAGCAATTCTGGCCCTGTCTGCATTGATGATCCCTGATAGGGGTACTCTCGCTACACCCAGTAACCTGTCCTTCACCATCTTATCACGATGCCATACCTCTACAAGTAACGGGACCCTGAAACAGACAAAGATATATTGATCATCATCCATGTTAAAAAGAACAATGTGCAAGACAGTCAAATAATTACAGTATAATCAAAACTCCATGAAGAATGGATAGTGCAACTACTATACTTGTTCCAGGGCCATGTTTCATAAAACTTTTTAATCAATAACAAATGCTAAATTTCTATGACAAATCTGCTCTCAGCCAATAAAATGCCACTATTTCAGTAGCTTATAACAGTTATAAATAGAAATTTGTTATTAATAATATAGTATTAATGACTGCTTTGAGAGAAATAGTTGTTTTATTACGCTCAAGGGAAGGTTAGAATTGTGCTATTCCCCGAGGCTTGCCGAGGGGAATAGCCCAATTGTAACCTTCCCGAGAGCGTATGAAAACAACTATTTCTCGAATATTAAAGCAGTCATTAATACTTTTATATGCTGAAAAAAAATAGACTAAAAAATGAAAAATTAAAAATATTTATCAATTTTGTCGAAGACGGGATTCGAACCCTTGCGTACAACAAGAGGTGTACCGAAAACCAACGCTTAGACCACTCGGCTATGGCCCGCCTTTAACATGCTTGGCAGTTTTCTCCAATATATACATTAAAATGGATTGAAACCGGCTTCGCGTGTGATGAATGCTTCGCAAAAGCTCCATATACGGACTCTTCTTTTACTTTTGCAATGCATATTGGCACGAACTTAGATCAAGATCTATCGGCAGATGTTGTTTTTAATACTAGCAGTCATTAATACTTTTATATGCCGAAAAAAATAGACTAAAAAATGAAAAATGAAAAATATTTATCATTTTTGTCGAAGACGGGATTCGAACTCTTGCGTACAACAAAAGGTGTACCGAAAACCAACGCTTAGACCACTCGGCTATGGCCCGCCGTTAACATGATTGGCAGTTTTCTCCAATATATACAATAAAATGGATTGAAACCGGCTTCGCGTGTGATGAATGCTTCGCAAAAGCTCCATATACGGACTCTTCTTTTACTTTTGCAATGCATATTGGCACGAACTTAGATCAAGATCTATCGGCAGATGTTGTTTTTTGTTTTTGGAAGTTTATTTTCGTCTTCATGTCAACAATGCAAGATAAAATTGTCGGTAAGATCGATCGAGATTCAATTGTATTGAAATTACCGACCAATCCTTCGCACACATACGGCATCCTCCATCGCTCAAACCATTTTTTAACATGTAAACCTATGGGGTAACCATGGACGCTGACCAACTTTTTTTAATAACCATGGTTATTAAAAATATTGAAATGTTTTATGCATGGTTACCGAGAATTTTACAGGAACAGTTGAAGTTTATGAATGCAATTCGACCAATCAGATGGCTGGATTTCTTAAGTGAGGTATATAACAACTTTTATGAAACAAAGCCCAGGTAGCTATTCGTATGAGAATACTTCAAACCCTCTAATCACCGACTCCACACTGTCAATACTGATGACCAACAGATACACCAGATTCAGCTTTTACTTAAGTTGTGTCAACGAGACCAACATCAGACCAAAGATAGGCCAATCGCAAGTTAGATTACCCCGTATCACCATGATTGGGTCGGTTATCACTCGGCTGGAGTTGCTTTGGCGGTGTGACCGGTGCATTAGAATATATGTGCTAGCCAACATTATAGTGCATACTTTTACTTTAAATACCATACCTTCAACAATTTGTTATTTGATTTTGTACAATCTGTTACTTACCATTAATTTGAAAAAAAGATGCCCAAAGCAAAAGCTTGGGTGCTGTACCAAGCATCATCCTTTGGGTTATAACTCAAATGGACAATAAAAGTACCCAACAAACTAATGAAATCACATGTAAATCACAAGAAAGGCATCAAGAGCACGTACTGGTATCATGAACCCTGCTTTCCACAGTTGATTAATTAAGATATGTGACAACCAGTTAACAACTAAATCATTCATACCCTTACCAAGTTTTCTAATTGTTTATATATGTGAATAATTGATTTTCTTCTATTTATGTTTCGTGAGAATGTGACATATGAAAGCTTACATCTCATAGTATTCAACAAAGGCCCTAATTCAACTAATCCACCTTTCATTCTTGAGTTACGAAAAACACCCCCCAAAACATCAAATTTACAAGGGGTATTAATAATTCAGTTGTTAACTGTATCTCTCTGCTTACCTTAGCAATGTTTCTCTGAGCTGTTGGGGAGTTGTAGCAAAGTCAAAGGCACAGAATGAGTGTGGCAGGAGCACCTCTGTGTGTCTACGCACCTCCACCGGAGGGTGGGTCATGACGGGGGAAGAGCTACCAAAGAACGGGTAGGTGTACCTGAAAACAAACATGAGACAAAGTTGGGAACATTGGAAGTGAAAAATGAAATAGATGAATTATATATCAACCATAAGCTTATAAGCCATAGCTTACAATATTATCAATTATATGCTATTTTAGCATCCGTCAAAGGAGAAACAGCTCTCTGAAAACTCAAAATCTAAAGTTTTGAAAATCGTAAGTTGTCGACCTTAAAACTAGCTATAGCCTTGATGACATCATCTTATGTAGAGCATGCATATTCACAATGACTTTGCATTAATTAAGTAAAAATTGCAATTCTGCAGAAATATCAAAATGTTAGTTGCCTTGATGATTGAGCTATGAAACTTCTTACGCATGATAATCAGACCTGCTTACAATAGCTGTGTCTACCTCCCAAACATTATACAAATTCTAATGCTAAACTATATTCAAGGAACATACTATGAAGACGTTTTCACAAGATGTTGTTAATGCCTGTTTGAAAGAAAAAAAACATTAAAAACTATTCACTTACCTAAGATAGACACTGAGATTTGTTGGTGTGCTGACATCTTTGATGCTCCTCAGATCAATGGAGAAACAGAAGTGACGAACGGAGAGATCCATGAAGTCCAGTTGGACGTTAGCTGTAGCCGGACCAGACTTGGGCTTGGCTTTTCCCTTGGCAACAGGTGCATTCACTTTAACATCTGGAAGAAAAAAGACGAATGAATATGGATTAAACAAGTGAGTGCAACTCGATGCTGCTTTCTTGACAGCTGCAATACACAGAATGTAATTGTCAGATATCAGTATCTTGTAATAATAAAAATTGCATTTTCTACTAGAGAAATTATGATATGGACCTTTCTAGAGATCATCTACAAGGACATTTGAAAGTTGAGCTTATATGATGATTGTTTGCTGTTGCTATTCATTAGACTGACTAATATTATACAATATACAAAGGACATATTTTTCCAAATAATTTATTGCTCAAGTGAAGAATTTCACATAAGGATGAACACCATAAAAATCAGAATTTGTGATATTTTTTTTGGTGAGATAATGAAAAACTGAGTGTCAAATTTGAAAGAACATACAATTTAAATGACAAAATCATCTTTGTTTGATCAAAATCCGTTTAGAGACAGCTGAAATATCCATAAATATAACCATTTCTAACATTTGTGTACCACCACAAATATTAGATATTTTGAACCAGCCGTTGAAAAAACGAAAGGGCGCTTTTAGTGCTGTAGCCCGGAAGGCTTACCGGGTTCCAACCCGCCGGGTTGAGCATTTCGGGCCGGACCAGTTCTGGGCCGAACTGTAGCCAGAATTAGATCAACTCGGTAACAAAAACCCGGCAGTAAAAAAGAGTTTTTAAATAGCTCATTGTTCGTTATCTACTTATCTTTCATCACCATAAAACCTGTCAAAAGTAACTGTAAACAAAATTTATACAGCATGATGGCTCGATCTTTTACATATGTTGACCTGTCTTTGCAATAGACACAGCACACATAGATTTTGTGTTGTGTGTTCGAGTGTGTATATGTATCTCCCTAGCCCTGGCCCTGCCTGCAAGTGATGTGACTGATCAGCTTACTGTACTGACCAATCAGAAAGTTTCCCCCGAGTGGGCGGAGAGTGAAACCAGCATAAATTAAAGTTCAGTGATTGCTGGCACAGTAGAACAGACGATTCATAAATTATGAAGTTTGTTGACCTAGCTGATAGACGAGTGAATGGCAAATTTACATAATGTGTATGAGAGTGTGTATGTGAAAATTTGTTATGCCTGAGGTGGAGGCTGAGCTGAGATGAAGGCGGCAGAGAGTTAAATTAAAGAGTAATTCCATCACCAAAATACTTCCTGACAAGCGGATTCAATTAGCAAACAAGATAATTATTGGGGTCCATTCTTTCTCTTATTCCCCTGTCTCTCTCTGCCTTAATTCTCAACCAAAATTGAACAAAAAGATTTAGCCCAGATTAGAAGAAAAAAGAAGAAAAAAATGATAAGATTGTGAAATGTTGATAGTCTTTAGAGATGAGAAGGAAAAGGTTATCTTCATCATCATTCTTCCTTCCATCTTTATCTTTTTTTCAATTCTATTTATTCATCTTCCGAATGTGTTATAAACCTTCCCCCCCCCCCTCGAATCAATTTGATCTTCTTTCTTAAAAAAAAAATAAAAGTACAGAATTATTTACGTAATGTAGTTTTTCTCACGTTTCCTTTTCTTTCTTAAGTTTCTTTCATTGTGTCTCTTGATCCCCCCAAAAATTCATTCACATCTGATATTTCTCTTTCACTATCATGTCACAGAAATTTAGAATACAAAACATTCCCTGTCAAAGATTAATGCATGCCAGACAGCTTGGGCCCAGCTGGGTGTAACATTACACCGCGGTTTCTTTGAACAGGGTTCAAAGGTTCAAAGGTTCAACAAGCAGCCTTTGTCCTGCTATATGCGCATATTCCAAAATATATGCAAATATCAGTTAAACTATATCATGTGCCTTACATTGTGATTATTGTTTTTAATTGGCAGACAAACTGACCAATCATAGTAGAGCATGTTGTGTGGGCACTCTGACAGGGAAATGAGCTATTTTTAGGATGCCTACATACATGTACATGTAGCTAGCGTTATGCTTCATCTTTTTAGGGAGTGGATTAAGGGTGATAATTTATGCTGACCTGGGACTTATATCTGGACTCACAGACAGCATGATAAACAAAATGAAGCGATGTGCCCTCCATTCAGGACAAGGTCGGTAGATCACACAAGATGTGTTTGTAGTAGCTTTCAAATAGAATCTAGTCAATATTATTTTAGTCCAACTCTCACCGGGTTACCGGACCTTTCCGGGTCCCGTTAAGAAATTTGGAAAATTGCCGGGTCGGGCCGGGTCCGGGTTTTGGGTTCCGAGCTACAGCACTAGGCGCTTTATACTTTTTATTTCAGCCAATGCCGATATTGGCTTTTTGTTGGCTTTGTGTGTTTGTTATAATATTTTTTTGAAAGTGGATCTGAATTGGTATGATCGTATGGTTATAAAGTTTCACACATTTTGGGAGCTAAAATTACCTCCATAGCAATTGTAGGTCCTTGAAGGCATTTGCCGTCTGAAACAAGAACTCAACTATCCCTTTAACTTCACGCCTGTCTTTTTTGTCCATACATGAATACAACATTGCCCTTCATTACCTTCTTTCTTCCGTTTTGCTTGAGCAGCTTGTCTCTCCAGCTCCCCTTCTTCCTCTTCCAAATCTCTGAGTGTGTCTGCATCATCCTCTGTCCTAGAACTCCCTTGGGGAGGGATGTATCCCCCATAGCTGTCCTCACCCTGTGGAGGGGAGACAGGGGCGGGGTCAGCGCTTCTCTTCTTCTCCTTCTTGGGTGGGGTTGGTGGTGCTTCTTGACCTGCAGGTGGGCCCATGTCTGCTTTCTCTGTTGTCTGTTTGAAACGAAAATGGCACATGTTTGCAGACATCATCAGGAGAGACTCAATATTCTTGTTTAAACTATGTATGAAAACTGACTTTAATCACATGCCCATGATCATGATCTTGAGGTGTTTTTTTTAAACTTGTTTTTTTCATTCATATCGTAGGGTATGTGCTTGCAGATTAGAATCAAGCTGTAAGATCCACCCTGCCATGGAAGGTGAAGCAGGATGAAAAGTATGATTTGAAGCCCAACTCTCCCTCTTTCAAAAAAAAAATCAAAGAAAAGCACATACCTCAACTTGTGGCTGCAAGGGTATCTCCTCTCGTCTCAGAGCCACCGAGGCTCCTACACAGGGGGACGAGCTGCTGGCTACTGGAGGGTCTTTCTGATGCTTCTGAGCGGTACTAAGGATCTGGAAGGCACCTTCAATGATCAGAGGCTGTCTGTTGATGGCATCACTGCCGGGCTGGAGGAGGGTGCTCAGGCGCACGTCAGCTGTCCCTATCGTTGTCTCACCACAGCAAAGATGAATCTACCAGAGAAAAGGGGTTTTGATTTGTTTGTTGATTTATTTCCTTGACATCAGTAAATATTACTGGATACTGTTCAATACGATAATATTTCTGAAGAAAAAAAGTAAAGATAAAAGCTACTTGAATATTATCTAATTTAAATTAGCACAGAGTCCTATAATTCCAAAAGTCTAATATGGTCACAAATGGGCAAATACTTTTTTTGAGCTTTCACCCATCATCATATGCCTCTACCCCCCCTCCCGCCCCTTTCTCTCTCTCTCTCTCTCTCTCTCTCTCTCTCTCCTATTATCTTTTTATCTTTCTAGCTTAATATTTATTATCATATTTTCTTCTATCCCTCACTTCCTAGATTTCTTTTTTCTTCCTGTCATTTTACAATTTACAAATTAAGGTCAAGGTAATTCAGGATGGCTAAAATATAATTTTAAAGCCAAACCTGAAGGAGAGGTTCACGCTGAAAATAAACTCTCAGGATGTCCACACTGCTTTTCAGTCTGACCGAGGCTCTCTCTGCCGGGAATGTTGGGTTCATAAGGTCATGGAAGCTATCGTTGGTCACATGATTACCCAGGAGGGCGTAGGAAAAGAAGAAGCCTTTGTGTCGTGCTGCCAGAGGGATGTCTGGCGTGACTAACTGTAATGGATTTACGGGAAAGACAAAAGACATTACCAGCAACTACAGTACTTAAGTTGCATTTTTTTTAAAAACTGTAGGGCATTACACATGACCACATATTCATTCAGTAAACATAAGATATTTAAAAGTGGTTGATATAATTTGATCTTGTGTTTTGAAAAACACACTCGCATGACTCTTGCCCAAGACAACCCTTTCATACTTATATATATTTTTATTAACGAAACCATACATTATGTTATTTGGATATGAATCAAATCAAAATCAAATAGTTATAGATATATCAAATTTATTCACTGCTTATTATATTTCAAGACAAATATAGGCCCTGTTTTATTAACGATAATAGTTATCAATAACATTGTTAAATAATTGGCTATGACCAGATTTGTCACAGATTTGTAGCAGTTGTTATCATTAATAAGTATTATGAAACGGGGCCCAATTTTTGTTTACATTTAGAGGAGACCACACAGACTTGGCCCTCTATCTCTGGCATGTGGAAGTCTGTAAAAAAAACCTCACCTATATTCAACCTAACAGTGATGATGTCATTACAACAATTACATAAATATAGGATAACAATTTATTGAGGTTTATCATACAGCTGTTCCATTTCAAAATATACCCCGTCAATTTTCTATTATTAATTTACTCTTCATCTCTATAAAATTTTTATTTGTCACTCTCTTTCATTGTATTTTGTCCTAATAAATAATAACAAAGAAATAACATAAACATTTCTTTTATCCATTGCTCTTACCTGTGAGAGGTTTGCAGCGAAGGCAATAGTAACCGAGAGGACAAAGCTCTCAGTGCAAGACTCTTCTGGTCCTATCTTGTAAAACCCTTCCTCATTGTTGAGCATTGCTTTTAGAGTTGAGGGGTCTATCTCTGATGCAGGCAGAACAGATGGGACTACATTCCAAAAAGGAAAGAAGAGAAAATGGAAGTTTATTGATGGAAGTACTTTTTATCAACTGGAAAATAGTGGGCAGTTCTCAATAACAGGATTAATGATAAGGACCATTTTTTTTTATTTAACATAAAACTCTTGTTTCTAATAAAGGATGATTATTTTTTCTTTAAAATAATAATAAATGGAGGATTACAAATCATTTCATGCTCCCACGACATAAAATCAAACTGTATGCAATTATTTTACAATTAAGTAAGAGCTTTATTTAAGTCTGAAAAATATCATGTATGTTTTTAAATGAAGTCAAACATGACTTTGAAACCACAGACCACCTCTCCATAAATTCACCTTTCTTGTATCCTTGAAGTTGCGTATCTCTTTCAAGACAATCTTCATGAACACTTTTTTTTAAAGAACCTGTAAGGACCTTTTGTTTAACGGTTTCCCTGCACATGTTTGGTGCAGTAAATGCCACCCCCTCCAAGTATTCCTTTACTGTTGGTTTGCTACCTTGTCCCTTCCTTGGTGGAGCTGCTCTGGCCTTGAAGCTTTCATCCTTGACAGGTGTATCTAACTCAAGGGAAATCCCCAGCTGTATCTCGGGCTTGTGCTTGTGATACTTGGAGTTCAGTATATTATACCACTTGCTAGCCTGAAATAGATTTAAATATGGATAAAAGTGTTATCAAATGGTAGAACTTTTTTCAAACAACAATGTAATTTACTGTATTGGTAATTTTACTTTAAAAAAAATGTTTGGGATGAATTTGAAATTACTTCTTACTTTCTGAGAAGTACAGGTTTAACAAAATGATACCTCGGAAAGATGCAAGTATTGGAACTATAATAAGGAATAACAAACTGAAAGTCAAAAAGGGACATGCAAACATAAAGGCCATGTAGGCAGATTGTTAAGATACAAAGCTATTATTTTAAACCTGTATCCCTGAATAGGCATATAGAGTATATTTAAACTCTTTCAATGTTACAAAGCGTGAGTGAATGTACAACCCATTTTCCGGCAACAATTATTTTGTAGCCAACTTCCAAAACTGAGCAAATTCTAAACTTCAAGTTCAACATCAGGTCCAATACTTTACCTAACCTTAACCTGACCAAACATCCGTTTGCTACTCGAGCCCTACAATTCTTTTCTTTAATATAATACAGCTAAGTATTAAACAATTTCGGCAGAAGTAATTGTGGGCTAGTCATAGGCAATTTGTCCCATAACATTTCGACCTCATAACAATTTTAGTTCACCCAGTGATTCTATACAGCCCTATTGGAGCTTCGATCATACCAAATAATGAAAGAATGACATTTGCAATGTTACTTTTTGTTATTCTTCTTTCTTCTTGGTAACATATGGGACAGCAAAAACCAAATGAACTAGCATGACAAATTAAAGAGATGTGTTTAACTCTTACCACTGGAAGTTTGGCAGGGGCAGCGTCCTTGACCAAGGCAGACCTTAGATCAAGAACAACATATCCTATGCTCTCCCTCGTCTTGGTCTGTATGTTGACGGAGTAGCACTGGAGCTTTATGGGAGTCCGCTGCAGACGATGTTGATGGAGCGTCTTCTTGCTGAGCTCCCAAGCAAGCTCTGTATGAAACTCTGGAGACTCACTGTGTTGGACAGGGTCTGTGGCTAAAAGCTCTCCATCAAACTTAGACTCCACCAATAGCTCCTGACTTGGACGTTTCGGAAACTTCCTTCCTGTAAGGAGAAGAATATTTTGTGTTATTAGAATCCTTAATCAAATTTAACTTGTGGGAAGTATGTGAAGTCTATTCTGGTATCAGCTAAGAGCTAAACAAAAAATACACATGTCAGAGACAGTTGGTTAAAACTAATAATGGAACAGAAAACTTTGGTGTTTTATAGTTGCCATTGATTAAACACGAATCAACAATTCTATGATTTAAGGCAAATATCACCAATGGAAGGAGAAAAATAACATTACCTAGTGACAATTTGTTGTCTATTGATTGGGTGTGAAATGATAATAATAATAATAATATTGGCATTTATATAGCGCTCTTACAGACATACATGTGTATCACAGCGCTTTACAACATATTATTATTACCCCGGTCATCGGATTCAGGCTTACCCGCACACAAGGTATGCACATTCTCCACTCCCTGGGGAGCATTCCAGCCAGTCGCCATTTTACAAGCGCCACTTGCTAATCAAACCACATTAGCTTTCGCATCCTACCGGGTACCCATTTTAACACCTGGGTGGAGAGTGGTAAATGTAGATCAATGTCTTGCCAAAGGACATTAGTGCCGCGGCGGGACTTGAACCGTGGACCTTGTGATCCACAGTCCGGTGACTTATCCACTCGACCACGACACCTCTACGATGATGAAGATGTTGACAAAAGATCTGACAATTTTGAAAAAATATAACCTTACCGAGGAGGGTCTGAAGATTTTCATTTAAATATGAAATCAAAATTGTTATTAAAAAGTGATAACAAACAACATATTGTACGATAATTTAACTTGCAATATATGCAATTACCTTAACTTTGATGGATTGCTATTTTTAAAATGAATTGCTACTAAATCCTTGTGCGCAAATTAAGGAATCCTTGTTTTTATGACTTTTTTTTAGTTGAGCATTTGATACGACATCAAATTTTGAGATTGCAGTATTGCCAGAAACTCTTTTGACAATAACTTGGATAAGTTAGTAAAACTACAAGTACTTTATCAGTGAGGGCGCTGTTCCGAGAATAAGGATCATCAGCACAAACAAGATTGTCTCCGTATTAAAAGGCGGACAGACGCGTCCTAAGAGATAAGGATCGTCCACATTTTCATGGACGATTCTTATTTCCACGATGATGCTCCTTGATGCAGTTCATATTGACTTTGCACCGAGGTTTTCATGTTATGAACGATAAATCCTCGGAAAGATGGACAACCCATAAGTGTAGACCGTGTATTTGGGGTATTTTATTACGCGGAATCCGTTTTTTGCATTTTCAGCGCGTGGATCGGGAATCCTAATCCTACACCAGCAGAGCGCCAACGAAAAAAAAAAAAAAAAAAGCTTATTTTTTACGTTTACGAGGATATCCTCAATTATGCGGACGATCTTCATTCTCAGACCAGCACCCCTACTATAGCTGTTTATAATTTTAAGTATAAAGTTTCTAGTTCAGCAATTGCACCCATTTTAAGGAGCCGGTAATCGGCCAGCTCCAGTTTTCGGCCGATTGGTTGGATGCAACGTAAAATCCCTCTAAAATACATCGCATAATAGCATAACACATATCCCACACATGCCATACCATGCCAGTGTCACTGAAGAACCACATTTGCAATGAAAAATATATCCTAAAATATCACATTTAGTGATGTAATCGGCGGTCCCGCTACCCGAATCTGAAAAATTGAGTATCTTACGCGTGTCTGTAAGAAATATGGGTACCATAAAATGAGCTTTATTTCAAGTATTTTTTAGATTTCGAGCCCGATTTTGTGCTAGTCGCAAGCTCAAAAGTATCTCATCGCATGTATTAAATCAATGCAGCCGCACACCGCAACGCACACACGATATCTTTGTCTAATTCAGATTCCAATGTCCGATCACCGCAGTACTAGTTTTCGGCCTGGCGAGCTCCGGCATGGGATATCTGCTCCGCCCGCTAGTGCTATAGATCAGCGCGGAAACGCACGGCGCATGCGCGCGCTTCCTATTGACTTTGTACATACGGCCGAAAACTGGTACGCTATGCCGAAAACTGACTCTGAAACAGTGAAAATTGAAATGAATATCGTCATGGCAATTCGTGATTTTTTTCTGGGATTCTTGTTTTGTTTAAATAATAATAATATTTGCTTCATGATTTGAACAAAAAATGATAATAGATAGGAAGTAAAGGGTCCAAAAAATAGGATTTTGTCTTAAGTGGCCGAAAACCGGCTCCTTTAGGCTTTACTCTATTTTTAATTTTTGAAATTTGGGCGCTAGGGTACGGGTAGACTCTACTCTAGCCATCTAGGGGGAAGTGTGCCCAAACTTTGGACCCGTAACTTGCGAGAGAGTACCCTAAGATCTTTTGAAATATCTACCTAGGCTAAGGCTAAGAGCCGAAGCCCTTGGCTAAACTAAGAAGACTAAGTCTGTAAGTGAGTTACAAATAAGTGACAGGAATTTCACACAGTTACACTAAGTACCCGGTAATCGGTCAGCTCCGGTTTTCGGCCAATTGGTTGGATACATGGTAAAATCACTTTAAAATACATCGCATAATAGCATAACACATATCCCACACATACCATACCATGCCAGTGTCACTGAAGAACCACATTTGCAATGAAAAATATATCCTAAAATATCACATTTTAGCGATGTAATCGGCGGTCCCGCTACCCAAATCTGAAAAATCGAGTTTCTTACGCGTGTATGTAAGAAATATGGGTACCATAAAATGAGCTTTATTTCAAGTATTTTTCAGATATAGAGCCCGATTTTGTGCTGGTCGCAAGCTCAAAAGTATCTCATCGCATGTATTAAATCAATGCAGCCGCACACCGCGACGCACACACGATATGTCCGTCTAATTCAGATTCCAACTTCCGATCACCGCTGTGCCTGTATTCGGTCAGGCGAGCACCCGGGAGCTCCGGCGTGGGATACCTGCTCCGCCCGCGTGTGCTATACATCAGCGCAGAAACGCACGGCGCGCGCGAGCGCTTCCGATTGACTTTGTACATGCGGCCGTAAACTGAAACGCTCGGCCGATAACCGGCTCCAAAACAGTGAAAATTGAAATGAATATTGTCATGGCAATTCGTGATTTTTTTTGGGGATTCTTTTTTTGTTTAAATAATAATAATATTTGCTTCATGATTTGAACAAGAAATGATAATAAATAGGAAGTAAAGAGTCCAATAAATAGGATTTTGTCTTAAGTGGCCGAAAACCGGGTACTTTACTCTACGCCAAGTATAACAGATGGGACAATACTGTGAACACTGTCAAGATTTCACTCTCCCAATCAAGCATTTGAAAGAGGGATCATATTATGTCAACACACTCACCGCATATTACAGACACAACGAGAAGATATTGCTCATCTGCTCTCATCTTGAAAGAATCAATATCAATGAAATCACCAAACTGAAATTTTGTAAACAATCTCTTCAAATTTAGCGGCCATTTTGAGAATACATTACGCATGCGCATTGCCGATATCGAGCGAGCTTATTGGCGGAAGTGACGTCATCTCAAACAGATATGAACAACGGGGTCGAGGGATCGTACGTGAATTCTAATCAATGGAAGGATTACAAATCAGGTACTGTATATTCGTCTCCTATTGCTATATTTTTCAAGAACCGTGCTTGATGTGAAGACAGTAAATATCGTATGTTTTTGTTTTGTTCATTCTGTATGAATTACTCTTGTGTGGGAAGAATATTCGTTTGAAATAGACTTATTTGATCAGCCTACCGCCCATGGCAACAGGAAGTGGCCAACAAGCCACCCGCAGTGGCATGCACAAGTGCTCCTCATCATTCATTGCTACATGAATGATGAAAAGATGTGATGATACCGAGACTCCACTGAGTCTTAGAAGATGTATGTGCATGTTATTTCCCTGGTGTAGCTTAACTTCTTACCTTCAAGTCACCACTCTAGTTAACATGTGTATTAAGTTTCTATGAATGATGGTTTGCAAGCTCGAGTTCGACTTCGTCTTCGAGTTAATTTCATTTTCAGATCTGTCATGTCGGTCAAATGATTCCCTGTGACATCATTATCGGAGGCTCGCTGAGTCACCAATCAACAGCATGAAGAGAAAGGAAAATAAGAAGAAAGACACAAGGACGGCAAAAGCCAGGGGAAAAGAAGAATGGAAATAAAGAACGAGGGCAAAGTAAAATGTTTTAAGCGTGATAAGTGTGAAGATGATGGGAAGAACGGAAGACAGATTACAAAACTCAAAACAAAGCGTGCGTTTAAGTTGAAGAAGAAACGTGAGGAGAGACAAATGAGTTAAATACAACAAGAACAGAAGAAGGAAATAAAGAAGAGAGAAAGCAGAAAAGAAGCAAAAGAAAGTGAAAATCAGAAGGAAAATAAAACTTAGGCAATTAAAAAGATAAAAGGGCACAGAAGGAACAAAAACAGAATCAGCAAATAGGAATTGGAGTATCAGATGAAGAGAAGGAGAAATGAGGTCAAGTTCAGAAAATACTGGGGCCAGGGATTGGGTCTGAGTTCATTCACAATAAATTCTCGCTGAAATGCTTGTTTAAAGATCAAACATTTCAGGGAAATGTTGATGAAGTTGGGACTTCTTTGCTATATTTATAGCTGTTTGCACCAGATTACTTTGTATTTTATTTTTCCCTTGTGTAGGAGGTCCATTAAAAAATTTAGGGTCTGGATGAATGAGCCTCATGTAAAAATTAGATGATTTTTGTATTTTTTAGGTGGAGGGGGGGTGGGGTCAAGGATTAAAAAAAAATAGGTGCCTAATGCCCTAAGCAAATCAGGTACTGTACCAGTTAGTGACAAGCTCTGTCCTTTTTTAGGATGAAAGGCTAGAAGCTAACCTTGAAATCTATTTTAGGTCCCATGTGTATCAGGCAGTGTGTGGAACTTCTTTTATGGATGGAGGCGGCCCTGAAAGGTTTCAGGTGGTTGTTGCAGCTGCAACCTTGCACCTCTTCTTCTCATGCTAGTAATTTATTATAACTTGAGAGTAATAGGTATTTGTTCGTACTTGAATCTCATGTGTAAAGACAATATTTATTTGTTTAATTTTGTATCCTCTTTTAAAGAAAACATAGATAACAATGAACATTTGAATGAAATTTTTAGTTGCTCAGCCAACGGGTTTCAATTTGTCAGACAGAATGGAAATTCTGACATATTTTGGTTGATGTTGCTCTTTGACATGTACATGTATGGTTATCATTCATGATTGTAGTGTTTGATTTTAAATTCATTGATAAAAGGAATCCCATCAGCATTCTTTCCACATGTACATGTAGCTGTTTTGTATTTGTCTTTGTCTTATTTTCTTTTCTCTTTTACATGATGTTAATTATTTCATTCAACTCAATATACTTTGCTCAAACTCAAATGATCTTCTTTTTTTCTGAATTCCATTTATTTTTAATTCAACAATTGTCCATTTCTCATATATCTGCGTTCACTCAAATTAACTGTAGGATGGAGTTATTCTTTCAAAACAACACAACCAAACAAAGCAATTTTAAGTTTTCATTTTGGAAATGCAGTGCAGTAAATCTATATAAACCAATCTCAAAGAAAGGGAGGGTGTGTTATAATATTACTGGACTACATGTACACTGTACTACATGTACACTGTACATACAATACAAAGCTATTTGTGTATGCGTGTTAGTCATCACATGACCTGGGTGGTTCTGGAGAGAAGCTGTATCAATACCATTGAATTGAAAAGAGGGAAACTACCAAAGAACAGGATAGTTATGAATCATCATTTCCTTTTTTTAATTTCATTTTATTATTTGTGTGTGTGAGGTTTCATTTTTAAGCTCAAGAATATTCATAAACAAAATTTATTAGTCTGATATTCATAATTCAGCAAATCATTGATAGCCTTATACAAACAGAAAGGTATTGGGAAAAATAAATCCATTGGATTTTGTGCTTAACATATGATTGCTCAAAATGCAGCCATTCCAGGATAAACTTTGTATGGCTTGTGTTTTACCGTCAAAGGTCATAGTACTGTACAACCTCTTCGTCTAAGGTAGAACAGTCTTAAGAAATCTATTTTGTTCATCTATTTAACTTTCACCTTTTTAACTTTCACCAGCACTGCATATAACCTACATTCAAGTTCCTGTTTTCTACATATACATGTATGACGTCTTTTTATAGCAAGTTGAATTGTATTCAGAATTAGGAGTGACTAATGAGTTATTGGCTTATTGCACTTTCATTGCTCAAGAGTCTTGTTTTTCAGATATCTGTTTGATACTCTATTGTATTGCTTTCACTGCTTTATGTATTAGTTACCAGGGAATTGTTTATGTTGGCTACATGTATCTTTCTTTTATTACTCTAATATTTGTACATGCACATATTTCTTTTTTTTTAGAAACACAATAATGTTCATGTAATGCAGGACTTGGGAAAAAATTTAAGGAGTGGGGTTAAATGATATTCCTGTAATGTGCCTCTTGCTTGTTAAATTTTATGCACGCATTATTATACATGCATAATTGCACATGTAAGCGTTACATGTACTTGTACAAAATATAGTTCAAATAACAGGGCCACGTGCTACTGAGCAAGTTGCTCTGGAATTCTGGAATTGTTAGCTGAATGGGAGTCCCCCTAAAAAAAATATTTAAAAATGTAAAATAAATAAAATAAAAAAATAAAATAATAAATAGATATGGGAATCCCATTCCTTCCTTACCCAACACTGTAGAGATGAGTGTATAGAAGTGTTGATACAAAAATAAAAGATTTCTGTTTGCGGGAGCTCTTTTAGGATTTGTTATTATGAAAGTATGATTTTCTCACATTGACATTTACATACATGTAAGTACATGTACATGTGTTGTTATATTACCAGACGTCTTTTCTAGTTTACCACAGCTATTTTGAAATTTTCCAGACAGTATACATGTAGATTGCTTACCGCACCCGTGTATTTTTTTCTTACTGATGTACATGTATAGTGTTACCACACATGAAGACAGTACATGCAGCTCCACCACCAACTGGGATTTATACTGCCTCAAGCACCCATACAGTCATGTTGATAGAGATCTCATTGATACAAGTCCACTTGTTTTCCTGTTGATTGAATACTTGTGATTAATTACAAGCTGCGTGCAAATGATCCTTGAAGGAGTACGGAGGCCCAAGTGATTTGTATTTTATGAACCTTTAGAGTCATTAATTTACATTGGTACAGTCTTCATCCATGTTCTTGGATCATTCTGTATTCATCTGAAAGGAAATCTTCATTTTTTAAGCCGTTTATCAATGTAATTTCACATAGATTCAGAATGGCTAACTTGGTTACTATTTATGTTTTGTTTGTTTGTTTGAATTAATGTTGTTAATTCATTGCATTCTCAAGATATGTTTACTTTGTTTCTATATTCACAAATAAATTTTCATTTATATCTTTGCAGTTAAATATTTCCAAGGGATACTATTTTCAACCAACCAATGGACGGACCATAAAGGTGAATACTAAGTGGACGTCCCAACCGTGGGATACATTTATCTCCTGTGATCAACGATCTTCGGAATTGACCATTCAAAGTTTGGTGATGCGGTCGGTCAGCAGGAACATGTGTTCATCCTGATGAGTACATGTATTGGATAACCGCATTTACAGTGAATCGTCTTCTTACAGTGGATTTAATTTGGAGTTACTACAAATGAAAAACAACCTTATCATTGAGTGTGTGATTGAATCTTAATCATTGTGCTGGTGCTACTTGGCTCGACAGAGAGTGACAGAGGGGAGGAAACTACTGAACTAAGCTCGGAATAGCGAAGTCGGATTCAAAATGAGCGGAACACATAAATATGACGATAATCGTCACCGCAAAAAGCCCAGTTCGAGGACTGGCAGCAGTGGGGGACGCCAGAGCAATGCAGGCAATCCAGGAGTACTTATGGTTGGACCCAATTTCAGGGTGGGAAAGAAAATTGGATGTGGTAATTTTGGAGAACTAAGACTTGGTGAGTATGGATGCTTCTATCATGGGAAGTAAGGGAAGGCCATCACAAATTACGAATGCGTTTTTCTATTCGGGTATTTACACGTACATGTACATGTAAATGTTTATACGTACATGTACATGTACATGTATGCCCCAAGAACGAATGTGGTAACCCACAAAATATTGTGCTCATTTTAAGCCTCTTATGTTTGTGCACTATTTTATTTTAGAAATGTCTGGTAATTTTCATGTACGGGTCATGTAAAAATCAGATCACTTCTTATTAAAGTGCCTCCATATATATCGTCGCTGTTTTCATGAAGTGACGGTACTGAAAAAAAATTGCATTCACTTTGCGCGACGATTTTCCTCACTACCGTCACTTCATGAAAACAAGGACGATATTGCTAATTTTTCCTTAAATGTATATAGCATTAATTCTATTTTAGGATTTTGAACTTCTTTCTTACATTCTTTCTCCTATCATATTCTGACTACTCAACTACTGAATTTTAGTTGCAAAATTTTACATGTATATGTACATTGTATGTGTTTCACATGAAATGTTGCAGGTTAGCGAGATTGGTGCAGCCTTATTGTCAGGATACATTGTTGTAAGTCAAAGGTACTTTGTGCCTTGCACTGCAGACTCCTGGGGAGTGTTTCACAAAGATCCTAAGTAGAACTTAACACTAAGTTGGACTTAAAAAGTATGGACAGCCATTGGAGCCTTAAAATGAAATATATTCAAAAGCAAAAATTGGAGTATTTTAGACTTTTCATCAATTCCACATCAAGAACATGAAATCTCCCATGATAATAGAAAATATGAATGATTTGAATCAACATTTTATGCCTTCTAAAAAAAAAATTACAAAATGTTTTCAAGGATGCTAATGGCTTCCCATGAATTTTAAGTCCAACTTAGAGATAAGTTCAACTTAGGATCTTTGTGAAACACCCCCCAGACTTTGTATGTAGAATGTACGTGATGATTTTTTCGATCTTATAGTCCTACCATTGCCTGGATAATACCAGACATAAAGAAGAACGAAAACTCTGCTATGATGTATTTTAATGTACAGGAGACAAATTACCTTGGCCTTGCCCTTTATTTTCCCATCTTTTAAAACCTGCGTGGAAATATGCACAACTTTCTCATCTAGCATTCTGTCAACCTTGTCATCCTTGGAGCTGAAACGTGATTATGCCAGCCTTGAATGTCACGGAGTACCGTTGCATTCATTAACACGGTATGGTACATGTACAGACTTGACAGATGGATGCGCAGGGGAGATGTTACAAAAAGAAAGAGTTGGATTTGGTACATTACATTACATGTATGTGTCGACAGGAAGGACGATGCTCATGTTCATGTTACCACACTAATGTACTGGTGTAATTTACAGGATTAGGTTGGCCTAAATAACTGGCATCTCGTTTACCTCTAGGACATCAATTCATTACTTGTGTGCATGCTCCTCCTCTATCAACAGATGATTAATAAGGCTACCATAATTAGCATTCACATGTACATGTACTCTGTAATGCAACAGTGCCTTGAGATATTTAAGTCTTCACTGTGTTTACCGTACATGTACATGCAGCTTTAATTTTTCCAATCAAATTGGCAATTCTGTGCAATTTGTCATGTGTGTACTTTTTTGCATAAATCCCAAAGTGAAAAATATCTTGATAGTAATAATGTAATAATGGTACTGCTACGGAACCAGAAAGAAAAAAATATCAGGGCTTGACACTAACAGGCACCCAAGACACATGGGCACCCAAAATCTAAGTTTGCCCCCCCCCCCCAGAATTTCTAAAATGTACATAGGGGTATCGCATACAGAGCAAACAAATCTTGATCTTGATTCTGACAGTCTTCCAAAAATGTTAGTGTAGAGCTGAGATCAATGGTCATAGCACCAGATTTTCAGTTTTTGATGAAATGAATGCACATGTCTTGGAAAAGGATCAGGCAGCTTATCCCTTTATATGTAAACAAGACTTGTCTGCCAGAATCGCCCTCCTTTATACCTGAAATTAGCTGTCTTCCCTGTAGAAGGGTTGTTTTGCCAAAATATACATGTATATGTACATCGTATTCGTATGTTTACATTTATACATGTAAATGAAGGCTATTATGTACATGTAGGAACTTGGCAAGCATTAGTTGTTGTTGATGCTGCTGCGTGTAATTTGCTTTCTAATTTGTATGTTTTTCCATATTCCGATGACCTTCATTCTGCAGTGTAAATCAAATTCACTGTATTAAAAAAGAAATCGTCTGTACTAGACTTTAAATGCAGAAATTATATTTAGTATACATGTACATGTATGCTTTGGTATGTGGAATAAAATATGCAAGGTCAATGTCAACTTATTGCCAGGTCAGAAAAAATGAAATGTAATTATACTATATTCTTTTAATTTCCCTGGAGATGGTGATCCTTATTGGGCTGCAATACTGTACATGCATTAATACATTGTATAGATGTATAGCAACTTCTCCCGTCTCATTTCACTGGCTGATATTCAAGGTTACCTCATCGCAAAGAGAAGCAAGATGCTTCAAGTCCGAATTGACTGCTGCCTCTTGCGCAGTGCATAATTTACATTAGGGCTCGTACAAAAGGCTGCAATCACTACCAGGCATTAACCAGACATTCAATGCATGCAGGGAGTGTGAATAAAAGGTGTACAAACTCAACAGCATGCAAAGTCCATTTAACCCACCTGTACCAGTTACCTGTTGGGCTAGAAGTTACAGATTCTATTAATGATTACTTAATTAAATTTCGCAAATGTATATTTCAATGGAGTTATATGTGTATTAAATGTATTTCAGTAGACAGTGGATTAGGAATGGTTGCATTATTGTTACTGTTTGAACTGTATCGGGTCATGCTGACACAGATGGGTGTACCCTATACACACACCCACACCAAAAATAGGTCCCCTCATCTGTATTTACTCTTGGGGTAGACTTCTATTCAGCATTTACATTGAGTGTCCATGCGGTTCTAACATGCTTAGTCATGCCTACTGTTCTCTACATACATCTACATTGTAGGCATGCATAAAATGGCAACAGAAAAAAATAAGAATAGAATTTGATTTGCATGCCCATATTCATCGCATTGTATGTTACACATATATGTACAGTGTACAGTATATGCTCAGAAATAGAAAAGATTGTATTGAGTGCATTCATAATGGGTTTTTTTTTCAGGCCATTGTCATGCTTTTGATAAAACATTTATTTTGTGAGATTTTTATATACGGTCTTCAATTTGATGTGAACTTGTAGTCACCAAGTATTGTACGAAATCTTGATATTCGCAATGATTGTTGTTCACACAGGCAAAATATCTGCCCTCCCCCCCCCCCCCCCCAAAAAAAAAAAAATAATAATTTAAATAATTTAAATAATTTAAAGTAAATAATAATGATAAATAAATAAATATATTTAACAAATTATAATAACAAACTAATAAATAAAATATGAAGAGAAAAATAAAGATGATAAAATATGTAATTATACATGTACCACCCTCTGTCTGGCGACAATAACAGGATATTTGTTCAAAGACATTAGTTTCACTTTTTTATTCAGCAGGAAATATCCAGGTCAGGCTTTTGAAATTAGTGTGGAATATGACACCTCCAGCATTCATATGGCTCTAATTATTGTAGTCTATGAATGTGCACTGTGCATTTTACAGTTTTTCATTGTGGAGAACAGACCTGTTTACCAAATTGTATGCATACCTTTCAAACTAATTTTCTCATGGCAAATTAAAAGCTTGCCAGAGGCTTGTACGACATAGCAACAGCTAATATTTAAGTGAAGTGGATTACATCTGTAGAGATAAAGTATAATGATAATAATATTTGGCTTTTATATAGCGCTTAATACATCAACGATGTGTCTAAGTGCTTTACAGATATTATTACCCTGGTCATGTACAGGTATGCATGGCAGGTGAATTAAAGGATTTGGAACCAGGAGTACAGAGGAGAGAAACATGCTCAAATTAATTAGAAACAGGTCTATTCTAAATATATTTAGTAGACCCAGCATAAAGAAGAAATATTGCTACATGTTTAAATGCATGCATACATGTACATATGTAGATGTACCCTCCCCCAAAACCATATTATGATTGTTGTAAATGGAGATGTACAGATAATCATGTAAATTGTTTGTAGATTATTATCTCCATCAACCTTTACTGTATATTCTGTGATGGCACAATTGACCTCAAACAGGCTGTCATGGCGTGTTGGTGTTACATGCATGCGTATATGTTTTGGTGTAAACACTTCATTGTTTATCAACAAAATTCTATGACAGCAAACATTGCAGATCCTGTGCCCGATAGCCATGCACATGTACATCTCACTTTGTAATTGCTTCTTTGACGGATAAATATTTTGGTAAACTTACTCGTAGATATTGGAGGCAAAATAAAATGGTGAAATTGATATATTGTCTCCTTATACCGGTAGTCAAAAGGGCATTAATGCTGTCAAAAGATTTGAATAAACGCCCTTCTGGCTCCATATTAGACACTACATGTATGTTCATAAATTGGATGCAAGTGATTCATCCGAAAGTAATACAGTCTTATTTGTGTATGGCACAAGTGTGGCAAATGAAATCACTGCATACGGTACATCATTTACATGTACGGTACATATAAATGAGTTGAAAGCATAGTACACTATCAAGTCTGCCCATGCAGAATGATGTAAACCATTGAGAATGAAAAACCTTTTATTGTAATTTTATTTGTTTGCACTTTATCTAGCAACTTCAATGTAAATACTATGTATCCAAATTTCCTTTGTCTGCTATTTGAAGCATTTGTAAAGCCATATTCAGACATGACAAGTTGAATCGCCCACTAAGACTGCCTTACCAAACTAGGCATGTAAAATGAATGGCAAAAACAATATTTTTTCTGGGGGGGGGGGGGGGGGGCAGAGCACGGCTTAACAATGACCCCTATACATTAAATGTATGTGCTCCCTGACCTACAGTACATGTGTTTTAATTTACAAATATTTAAAGCAAAGTATGCTATTTATGAATCGATCTCGTTTATTTTTGCATTGGCAGTTGATGGAACTTTACTTTAAATTCTACTTCTGTCTTAATGGACTCTTACAGATGAAGCGGCAATGAACATGTACAGCCCCTCTGTATAAATTAAATACCGCCTGCCTGGCAATCTATAAGTTCAATCATACAGTGCAATAATTAAATATCAAGGGGCCTGGGTTATTGTCATCAAAGCAGCCGGCTGAACACTACTTCTATGGCACTACTGGCTGTGGAGACAGTAGATATTAAAAGAGGGTCAGGGATACAGCAGGGCATCTACATGTATCTACCGACGACGGACGCCTCGTATTCTGGCCGGGGAGCCACAGTCTGGCGCACATGACATTTTGTTACTTCAGTGTAACGATGATGCTTCATTGCACTACTTATTAATATTCAGCCAAGAATCCGGCCTCACCCAGACTTGGGGCCACATTTCAAGTTGATACTCTCTGTACATGTATACTATTACAGTACATGCTGTAGATTGTCTAATATAGAAACACGACCTACACAGGATGCATGGCATATGAATTCTCTCCCTGTTCAAGGGCAAATGAAATGTCCACATACCTTTATTATATGTACACTGTAGTTTGTTATTTTTAAAAGTTTTTTTTTTAAAGATATAAGTACTACGTAATGTAGTTTTCTGGAAATGTGTATCTTGATTTTTTTTTAATATAATTTCTTTCCCCTACTTTCTCTCTCCTTCTTTCTCTCTCCCTCTCCATGTCAAAAGTAAATGTCATTGATTATGAATATGACTAAAATGTATAAGTACATGTGATTGTGTTCGTACATGTACATGTACAGTTGTGTACTTGTACTTATATGTTTTTGTTTTTGTACAGATAAAAACTACTCATTTCCTTCTCTTATTAAGTCTTTGTTTACGGCAGATTTGTCAGATAGCAATGCGTTGTCACATACATGAAGAAAGGTACAGCATATACAATTTTGAAAAGTACAAATATACAAATGATCATTCAATGCAAGGTGATTATTTCTTAGGGATAGTGTACATGCTTGGAATTCCGAATTACCAGCAGTTTAAATTCATATGATATTTGCAACTCGAGTTTAGCTTGTAATCCATGCACATACGATTGACTATCTTCTCTTCTTTTTTTCTGCCTACAGGAAAAAATCTGTACAACAATGAACATGTTGCAATCAAATTGGTAAGTACTTTTTTACTCTTTTTTCTAATTATTTAAAGAGGTTCATTTACATTATGGTTGTAATCTGTTTTATAATGTTATTTTACTTAGTACAATACACAATGACTAGCACCTGGAATTCTTGAAAGCTGACTAAGGGTGTGTCCAAGCGCTATTGGAAGAGAACCGTAACATACAATGTACATGTACCAACCCGTGGCGCTCCAATTGGTACCGTACCAGGGTGGTTCGTTCTGAGATTGTTCAGGCGCTTATGTGGGAATCCGGGGGATGGGTGGGGGGCAACATGTTAAAGGTGAAGTATTTGGCACGCCATTTCGAACAACTATCGAGGTGTCTGGCCTGCACCCAATCACTATTGATATTTGGCCTGTTCGATTACTTTAAAAAAAATTGTACAATTTTGAGTTTGACAGGACAATTCCAGGACAAATTAGTCCATTATGGAAAAGGGTGTTGACAAGTACATGTACAAGACTAAATTGACTTGAAATGCTATGGCTACATGTACAGCGTATATGATGCACTTAACTTAAAGGTAAAGACCAGTATTGGAAACGCCCCAATTTCAAAAAATGAAATGGAAGCTCTCATTACCAATCATGTGAAAGAATATATGTTTTGACTAATACATGATGATAAAAAATTTGCCGGGAAACCGCCTACTAATTCATATATTTGGTAAATTTGTTTCTCTCATGGTCTGTGAGAGATATAGGGTAGTCCCATATACATCTTTCTGTGTATAGTGCTTGTAACTTTACGAAGAATGGGCCAAATTTCTTGTCATTTTGATGATTCCAGAACCTTGCAGTACACACCAATTATAATATGCTATATGATCAACTTTTTTTGATCGATTTCATAACGTTTCTTTCACAATGCAATCGCATGACCATAACTGGTCTTTACCTTTAAGTCTACATACACTAAATAATGTTTGTTATTGTAATTGTTTTTACCTACTTTGATCTTGCACTTCTTGCCATAAATTTTCTGGCCCAAATCGAGTCAGTGCGGAAAAGAGAATCACATGGATTTTTTTTTTTTTTTTTTTGCTTGGCATGTTGATTGGGTAATAAATGAACCCTCTGCTGAATTCCTTGTAACCTTAGTAACCCAGCTGTAGGAAGTGCCCATCAAATACGATCCCATTGGCTAGCTAGGGTTACGCAGAGTATCAAGAGCTTCAGCAGTGGGCTTGCGCTCGCTCACCTCACTCCCCCTTTCAGACTACTAAGATTTATTTTTTCACTTTACAAAAACCTTTGTACAGTATGTAATTCATTTTTTTCTAGTCTGAATGTATATAGCATAACATTGTATAGTGAAAACTGACGTTTTGAATAAAAACTTGATAGTGAATCAGGCTCAACTTCCAATGTGAATGTGGTATTGTACCAAAACTACTGTATAACTGGGCGGGGCATATCGTGAGTGTGCACTGATGGTTGGCTGCACCTTAACCCCTTGACAACTGGATTATTTTATTCCAAGGGGCTTGATACAGTCCTGTCTAGGCAATGGGTTAATTTTGTGTAAATTTTCCCGTAGTCTAAATGGGGCAACTTTCAGAAAGGTTCCTGTATGTCCGTGAAATTGTCATGAAAGAAGCTTGAATGGAGATCTAAAAATGAAATGATTTGGAAGTCGTCGACTCCTCTGGGATGGGTGTTTGTTACAGAAAAACAAGTTGACACCATTTTCTCAGTGACGTTTGTTCATGTATGTCCATGTATGTCAAAACTGCGAAGGGTTACATGTACATATTTTGAATTCATGGTGTTGCATAATTCTTCTCTTTTTAAAGAGCTTTTGGATTAATTAGTTTTTATTTTGAATTTCAGTATTTTCTTCTCGATAAATTATTAGCAGAGATCTCTTTGCACTTGTGCAATGTTTAATTTGATAAAAACTTGCATACTTGTACATGTATAGTATACACTGTAGTACTGTACCCAAATATAGTAGCCTTTGAAAACTGGAGAAGGCCTTAGTGTGGACTCAAGCAGTCCTCTACTCGGAAATCATATTAAGATCACAACACTAAAATAGAATCTCTGCTTTGTGTGATGGAGTGCAAAAATCCAACATGTTTCAAATTGTCTTGCCTGTTGCAAATAGTTTTCTTGTAATGAGGCTTGATTTTTCCAGGCACTTGTGACCTCATTTGTGTACTTCAGTGTACATGCAAAGCTTTAATTTAAAGCTGTCTTTCTCTACAGATGAAGCAATTTTCTTTTTTCTGGGAATTCTAATCTATGTCTGATTGTCTATCTGTGTTCAATATTCCTTATTTCCTTCCATTATCTGCTCATAAAGAAGGCTTGTAAAATCTCAGGGATTAGAGATGAAAAGTACTACACCTGTAGATGAACTAAAAATAGCGGGATATTTACCATAGGCATACAGATCTGCACATTAGGCTAACATGTTCATTAAATGGCATGCTTATCTTGTCACAATAATTATAATAATAATAATAAGACATTTATTTTTTACATATTGAATATCCTGTCCAAACAATTTACAGTAAATCATGTAGTGACTTTCCTGTCTAAAGATCATTACAGCAAGTTTCAAGTCATCTCATTGTGTATGCATGTCTATTTAGCAAGTGGAAAATGTCAAAGGTGGAATGAAGAAGGCAAAAAAACAATTTGCGATTGATTTTCCAAAACAACATTAATACTGCTTGAAATGTGCGTATGTGAAATTGGCGGTCGTTTAGAAATTTATTAAATGCCAAGGTCTCCAGGATGCATGGTCATGTACATGTACAATGTAAAATTATACAGGAGGAAAAAACAAAATAGACATAACTTGACTTTAATTTCTTGTTATTGTTACTATACCAAAATTTATACTGGGAAAATTACTATTGTCAAAGAAAATATTGAATCATTTGAGTGATTTACATGTAGGTATTTCTCGCTGTGTTCATGGAGACTTTGATTTTTAATAGGCCGTTCTTAAAAAAATAATTACCAAACATAAATACCAGTATGCACATGCAGGTATGCTCGGTCTGTAATGTTTTAAAGGGCTTCATGGTGTAAGCCTATTTATTTCAGCATGAATCATGCTCAGTGCTGATGATATAAAAAAGAATATATGGTTGAATATTTTACCTACAGTGAAGATAAAGATAAGATTGAGCATGTGACAAATTGTATATGAACAAGTACATTTACATGTACATGGTAGGCCTAAACCTTGTCTCTTATATTTCTTTGGAGTCCCAAGCAATTTTCTTGGGATCTGTTGAAGTGGCCCTGTACCTGTGCCCCATTTACATTTGTAAATTGTCGGGTCCATATTTTGGGGCCATGTTTGTGTATCGTAGACCATACAAAGCATTCAAAAAGGAATGTGTGCACTGTCTTCCAGTATGATGATTTTCTTGGGTTTCAGGGGAATGCTACATGTACATGTCTTGAGTGCGTTAAGCAATTGCTACATTAGGGAGTGGTCCATGTGCAGGCAAGGTGTAAATTTTAAAGCACGAGACTGCTAAATCACTTAAGTCCTCTTTCTGGCTGGGATCATCCAGATGCTAATTGGATCTGGTGATGTACTGCGCACCACCGCCTTGCATGCCCACCATGCACAAAGCCGATCGACCGGACGGTACTACTAGCTGGTAAACCATGCACATGTGTACAACAAGCAGACTCTGTTGGAGTCACTCTCCTACAACAGAACGCTGATGAATGAATAGCACACGCCATGCTCCGTTAACCATATCTCTCCAGCGGTATATGGCCCACGTTATGATAGATTATTCATCAAGAAATATGCCCAGGAGCTAGGCAACGTGTGTGTGTGTGTCTCAAGTACAAAATGGCATCCGTTTGTTTTGTGCGTGTATTCTTTGACTCACATAATGGCGCTGTAAGATCAGCGGGATGGCCAAAGGGTTACGTAGTATTCATGAAAGAAAGAGGAAATTGCAAGACTAATTGCCAGAGGAGAACGAAGTGGCATGGCAAGGGGGAAGCCCTATGGATCTGATGGTCAATTTAATTTCGTGTAGCTCATTATGAGCTAGCCTTTTCATGAATCACGCCTGCATATCATTAAACAATAGACAAGGGGGATACCCAATGGACCTGATGGTCAATTTAATTCCGTGTAGCTCATTTACCGCCTCATCATGGGCTACCTTTCTCATGAATCATGCCTCCATATCATTAAAGAATAATAAAGGCCTTCATGTTTATTCTGAAACTGTACAGTAGTGACTGGTAAGTGGGATGTGTGGAGGCAGTAGGTACTATAAATCCAATTACTATAAGTGACACATATATTTTGCAGCTTGAAAAATCAAGGATTAAAGTAAAAGGTCATCAATTTATCTTTTGTTATCTATTCCCTTCCTTCCTCCCTCCCTCCCTTTCAGCACAATAGAAAGGAAACAAACAGTCATCTAGAAGGAAATACATGTTGCCATAGAACCGGGTACAGTGTAGGCTTATAGTCGAAATGCATGTACACATGAAAATGAAGAGTAGGGTAATGCCAATGGCAGATAGGCATTCTGCAGTAATCGTACATGCACACAAAGGCATGAATGGCCGCATGCCTTAATACAGTCTGATCTATCTCTTTAACCAGACACTTGGAATAAATTACTTGGCATAATAACCTCTGCCAATGCAAATTGAAATCACTCTCTCGCTCTCTCCCGTGTACGCAGCAGGGTCGATTCATTTTGTTCTGTTTTTCTGATGTGTTATGCATGTCCTCCCCATTCACTGAGCTCAATCAAGTAATGACTATTATTGCACTGTGTATGATTAGCCTTAGCAACCATTGTCATTGTTATCATCTCCTTTGTAAAGAGGCTGTTTATCTGAGCCCTGTTTTGCCTGTACCCCTTCCTTGCTTCTTCCATTCAACCCCACTCCAGGCATCTTTTGAGGACAACACTCGACTCGCCCCTCCCATCCCTGGGTTATTCTAGTCTTAGCAATCAGGCCTGAGTTCATTATCTCTTA